CCCGAATACATATCCGTAATGCAAATGTCAACCGCCTGTCCTTCTCACTCGGCCATAATTACTCCACACGACATACACAGTACCAATGCCTCAGCCTCAGCCCAACAACATATCTCGATCGGGTAGCCCTGACCATTCGTCGATTTTTCAGCAAGCGAGACGCTTGCAGTCTTCCCTTCCAGCAAATGTCAAACGACTCTGCCAGGGCTTTCTCTCGGTCAATCATGCATCCATGAGTACAATCTTGGCAGGTGGCCACGTCTTAATCTCCGCATCTGGACACCGCTCTTTCCAAAAGGCGAGAAGAACTTGTTGAAAGGTGTAATGGACAAGCCTAATTACTCCGTCTCCCTTCTCGGCTGTCACAAGACCACAGCATATGTTTAGCAAGAGGAGCAAGAGACTGGGCTCGTAAAAACCCGAACGGTCGAGCTCCATGTCGCCAGGCTCAACAGCTAGAGCCTCACGCAGCTCTGGCATTCCCAGAGGCCTGTTGGCATAGAAGATCCAAGAAATGACCTGTTCTGCTAGTGTGGAATATCCTGGCGGCTGACTTCTTATCCTTTCAAGGCCGTCGTGGAAGGTCTCGTTCAGCTTCTCCGGCAAATGATTCAAAGCCTTGTATATGTTCCGTGCACTAGGTCTGGTGTACCAACGAATCAATCTGGAGGCGCGCGAGTAGAAACCTAAACTGGCGAGCTTTTATAATAAACATTCTATACAATTGGGGAAACTACATTCCATTCGATTTTTGACATATTGTATCCTCGAGGTGCTTCTCCAGCGCAGGATCCTGGTCAACTATTCTCCCCAAGGCTGTGTGGTCAGTCTTTCCGGCCTTGAGATAAGAACGCAAGTCCGAATCTTTGGCTTGGATCTTTAAGGTTGTGCAACCCGGAACCTCTGCGGCCACATTTACGTTACGGCGAGAGGTAACAATCAACAAAGATATGTGCGCTCTTGGAAATCCTGAATATCGAAGAGACCATCCTGGCTCTGACTTCGTCGGAATGGTCATCGAGTCCAGGACACTCATCTAGCGCATCCACAATCAAGAATGTTCTGCGGAAGCTCTTGCACAAGAGCTGGATCATTGCGATCCACTGCTCTGTGGTGAGAGTTTTCCGATCTTGGCCAAGAAAGCTAGATTCGTAAAGAGACTGGATCTCTCGGGGTGTGTTTTGGAGATGCTCTAACAACTGCCGAAGTAAATTGGCCAACATTACCGAGACGTTTTAAATTTTTGTGTCTTTGCAGTCGAAGAAATATATGCGATTGCAGTACCATCCGCGGGAAGATTTTTGTTCAAGTAGTGAATTACCGCGGAGCTATACGACCTTTATCAGGTCAACAGGAGAGAAGATGTGATGTCAACACACGTGTGAATTGTCTTGCCCGCGCCGTCTAGACAAGCTCATTAGCTTTCTATAGTTTGCTCGAATACGCTTTTGCGTGCTTACGTATTCCAGGACACCAAAGGCAAGATGACTCTTCTCCACCTGACCACTGCTGAAAATTCTCGTCTTCGAGTAGCCAGGTGCCGGTTTTAGGTGAACGACGACGAAGTATGTCTGTCTGCTTTGATGAAAAGTCGAGTTTGGGTATCCATTGTGGCAACTCATTTCTCTCTTTGCCGTGGGTTTCTGCAACTTGATTGTCTTTGGAGGATCCAAATCAGCTGACGACAGAAGTAAGAACACATTAGATTAAGCTCTTCATACCAAGTAAAGTATGAATGCCGGCTTTTATATCTTCGTCATCCGTCTCCATTCCTGAAAGTGATGAAAGCGATTTCAGTACAGCCTTAAGTTTTCTCTGTGCCTTCCAGCAGGATTGGCATGGATTTTGAGATCTTCTTCGCATCATCCAAAGTCCGCAATTGAAGGCGCAGAGTGGCAGATACCTCGTCGGCTGTGTTGGCGAGGATTCCACGCTAAAATTAGTCGCAGAACAGCATGGGATATTTGAGCAACTAGTAGGAAAGAGAGTACGTCTAAGATTCCCACAAGATTCTTTGTCTCGAGGATTCCCCACCTCATAAATTATGCATTTGGATTGGCGAGTGCATCCTGAAGATGGGATAAGAAAGAGTCATCGGGCAAGAGTAAGAGGCGGAACCATGGGTTCCCCTTCGAATGTTTATTGCAAAACAAACGGAGTGAATGTCGACCAGAAAGACAGAAAACACCAAGCCTCAATATCTAGTGCGTAGTGGAAAATTTGAATCCACAGGTGAATGTCCGAGACCGCTTTCTGGTGTTCCTTTTCTCTAAACGACCATATCAGGCTTGTCACACTGTGGTGGAAAGATGATTCGAATTTGAGCGGATCTCTTGCAAGGTGGCTTTACAGACATCATAGTTCAAGAACAGCACTGAAGTGTGTTAAAAAATTTGTTCGTCCAGAGTCTTCCTTCTTGAAGAGGATTTCTAGATGCTGGAGTATTGTCGCAAGGGCGGCACCAGGGGGTGCAAGAAGTGAGTAAGGTAACTAGGCCGGATTTAGACTGCAACCAAGGCCTCGAGAAGTGAAAGGATATTTTTTTAAAGGAAATCTACATTAGAGTAGATAAGATATCTAAGCGATATACTTAGCTAATAAATAATAATAATAAAAATATTAAATTAACGATATAATAATTAAGTAGTATAGAATAGATAAAAATATAATTATTTAATACTGGAGAAGCTATATTCAAATTCGATCTAGTTATCTTACTTACTTCTTATATTCTCTAATAATATCGTAAATGCTAACTAATTAAAATTCCAAAATTTATCTTCACTCTATACTTCATTCCCGTAAGTTGATAATCGTTCAGACGCGGAATAGAGAATATTCGCTAAGTTAGCCTCTTCGAAGTAGAATAGTATTCGCGCTTATATTATAATTACGAAATTTTCGCGTAAGATTTAAATAACTTATAAATATTAAATATTAAATATTTAATAATACTTTATAAAGATCTCGAAAATTTCGAAGTATTTTTAAGATTATTTTAAGTTAATTATAGAACTATCGCGAAAATTTCGAATTATCTTTTAGAGTTTTAAAATTTTCGAAATTTTTAATATAATAATAGTATTTTTAAAATTATTTTAAGTTAATTATAGAATTATCGCGAAAATTTCGAATTATCTTTTAGAGTTTTAAAATTTTCGAAATTTTTAATATAATAATAGTATTTTTAAAATTATTTTAAGTTAATTATAAAATTATCGCGAAAATTTCGAATTATCTTTTAAAGTCTTAAAATTTTCGAAATTTTTAAATTAATAATAGTAGTTTTTAAATTATTTTAAGTTTATTATAGAATTATCGCGAAAACTTCGAATTATCTCTTAAAGTCTTAAAATTTTCAAATTTCTTAAATTAATAATAGAATTATTACGAAAATTTCGAATTAATAATAATAGAATTATTTCGAAAATTTTAAGATAATTATAGAGTTATAACGAAGACTTTAAAATATTTATAAATCTCGAAAATTTCGAGTTTTTATAGAAAAATCTCGAATTTTTCCAATTATTTATAAATTTATTATAAAAGAATTATATATAATAAAAATATAATAAATTACTAAGTTATTAAATTTATTTAAAAAAATAACGTTTATAATATCTATAAATTATAGATATTTTTAAAAAATAGAATATTTTATATAATAGATTATAGTATTTTTATATAATAAAGAAAAAAAGCTTTAAAATATAAAAATAAAAATAAAAAAAGTAGATTAATTTTATAGTATTCTTATATATATTAAAAAGAAAAGAAAATAATAAATAAATAAGAATAAAAAATAAATAAAAATAAGTAAGTATATTAATAAAGAAAAGAATTCTTATTTAATATATATACTAATATATAGAATAGTTATTAATTAATACTTCTAGAGAATTTAATTTTTTTTATCTCGAAATTATCGTTCGAAATTATCGTTTAAAATTATCGTTTAAAATTATCGATTAAAATTATCGAAATTATAGCTACGATAATTTCGAATAAAAAAATCGAAAATTTCGAGTCGCTTAAATTTTTGCCAAGGGTAACCGTTCGGGACGGTTACTAGATTACTTTAAATTTAAGTTTATCGTATTTACTAGCCAAATTTATATATATAAAGAATATATTTAATATGAGTTAATAACCGTTCCCTTGATGGTGGTAACCGTCTCTAAAACTCGAATTTTTCGCTATAATAAATATTGTCGAAAAATTCGCGGCGCTTCGCGTTTTTATAAATTGTTAGCAGTACCCCTACGGGGGTCCATATTTAGGTCCAAATAGGGGTGTCTGGCTTCGGGGCTCGATGACGAGCTCCCTACGGAGGCCCTACGAAGGCCCTACGGGGGGTGCTGTTATGATATTCTTCTATTTGTAAAGCGAAAATATCGAATTTCGATATTTGATGGTAGGGGGTAGGGCTTAGGGTAGGGCTTAGCGTGGGTCACCGGCCTGGACGGTTACCAGACCCCGTTGAAGGCCACATTCCTTCTTACTGTACAACTACGCAGTCACTCTTTCTAACCATCGATTCTGGAAATCGGACCGCAAAAAGCTCTTGATCATGATTCTGATCGCTTCAGGAAGAGCATTAGTTCTGGAAATCAAAATGCCGAAGATAAAAACAACGCTCATGACTTCCGTTCAAGACTCTGACAGCTTACGAAAGGGATTTAGTTCTAGGCTTTCGACGCCACAGCGGAATGTAGGAAACAAGGCTCCAATATATACGTATATCCATTGTTAGCACTGTTTCGGGATGTGGGACACTGGAAGGAAATACCAGCTTACAATGCACGGTTGAGCTGTTGTTTTTCTCCCCGTACATGCACTTGTGCAGATTCCTCGAGCATGAAAACGACGCGCCAGTTCGAAGGACAGTCAAGCCATGGCCACTTGGCTCTTTAAGTATGATTGTATGGAGATCTCTTCTGACTCACTCTCTCCCCTTGCCTCACCCAATACCAACACGGTACAGGCTCTCCTGTTCCCCACTAATATACGGACTCCTCAGAACGTCGAAGTGCCCGCAACTCCCATTTCCGTATTGAGTTACGGCCCCCTTCACAACTCTGCGGGCAGGTGAAATAGTAGCATGGTCTGTCATGGAGAAATTGGGTACAGCTTAGGCAGTGGATGGTCGTCCCTGATCTTCTTTTGACTGTAAATACCCTTTGCAGCGATGATCCGTCGACGGGGGGTGTTTTGCGTGATATGGAGATGCCGTCCTGAAAGGTCTCACCGCTCAACGTAAGCCCATACTTAACCACTTTCCTAACAGCGTGGGGACCATCGGAGGAAATGGGTTCTGATCGTTTGAGGAGCTCAGTCTGGCCCTTTTTCTTGGGCGCCTCGATCTCTGCTCCTTCCTTCGTGTCTGTCCACACCGCTTTGTAATACGAAGACCACATTTTTTGCGTGAATAAACGGAGGAAATCATCCTAGAAATCATCCAGTACTTATGCGCTTTGACGTTCGGTGACTCCGGTAGTCACCACTGCAGACTCATTGGACCTGAGACGCAAGAAAGCACAATGTTCGGAGGGGTCTGCGTTCTCAGCCACCGCTTCGTCGGCGTCGTGTCTCGGGCTCCAGCAGACACGAATAGCCATACCCAGACCAGCATATCATCAGACCAAATACTCTCTCAGGAATATCCCTTCTTTCAAATAAGTACCCCCCAGAATATAAGGCTTATACCTTCATCCTCAAAGACTCTAAGCACGCACAAAAGCAGCCAACAAAGTCTACCCCAGCAATGCATCCCTCGATTTTCCTTCCTGCTGTTTCCGTGGCCCTGACAATCGCCACACCCGCTGCTATCAAGTAGACCAGACAAACTACGGAAGCGTGTGACTCACAACACACATATCCTGGTGCTAACAGCTGCCCCGGTGAATGCTACCTAGTATGTGGATACTACCTCCTCCAGGTTACATCTGAGTCCGGAAACTACTGAGCCGACAAGAGGTGATGCGCGATAAGGGGTCCTTAGCGGAGTCACACAATGCGTTGTCGTGGGCAGTTGCATTGGTGAGAACTACATCACAACTGTACTGTGGATTTGTCCAAATCCTACGTGACACCCGTTAATCAGAGGGTGGGTATCAAAGGTGAAAGGGGCCTGGGATGAGTGGTTGGCAAAATCATCCTACACCAACAAGGTCTCCGTGAACATTGTTGGACTTTATTTCCAATGCGTCTCAAAAGTCGACATCCAGAAGCTAACTTGCACTTCTATTTGCGTACGATTCATGCTTGCACATCCAATACGACAGAGATTCGAGGCTAAGGTCAGATACGGGTAGAGTTTGGCACGGTGCAGCGTGTCTCGCTGATCTCGTATTCAATAATACGAGGTCGCAAAAGATCTTGGGGAATTCGCGAACTACAAGAACGATGACCATCCTCGCCTCAAAGACACAATTTTCACACAACAACCATTCTCGGATGGCCCTCTCTTTCTTCGCTAGGATATTTGCCCATCCCAACCCTCTCAGCCCCAGCGTTTTCGACATACTTCGCGAAATCCTGACATGTACTCTCATCCACGTCATTTTGTGCACTGCATACTGTCATCTTACTTGCCTGCTTTGCTATATCATTAACCTCTGCTCCGCAAAGAAAACGCGTCGCGTTGAGAATCTCGTCGCAAACCTCGGTATTTCTCACACCATCTGTGGCGAACCGACCGTGCTCTATGCGTACATTACTGCCTGGATTCTCAACGCCCTCTTATTACATCTACATGATCATGACCGGTCGGGTTCCTACTGGTTTCTGGTAAAGTCCATTGCGTGGGTCTATGTGGAGACATTGTTCTTCTTCGGCATTGCGCTCGCTATGACGCTGCTGCTTCAACTTCTGGAAACTGTCAGTGGCGCCGGACCAGACGACGATGCAAACAGGGACAAGTTCAAGATGAGGAAGGGGCGGGATGGGTCTGATGAGGAAATGGGGGAAGCGATGGTAGATAAGAAGACGATTTTGTGACTTTCTAGCCGAGAATGCGGACATTCAAGATATACTCGTTGAGTATCTTCAGGGGTCGGAGACAGGTGTCCAGCAACACTAGCTGCAAGTTCGACAATGGCTTTGACAATCTGATGATCTCTGTTGCTGCTAGTCAATAACCCACTGCAGGACAATTGCACAGAGCTACGACTTCTCGAAGAATCAGCTTGGCAAAGACAGCTGCCCTTCATCGAGCGTACCAGGATAGGTAATCCTAGGCTTGAGCTCGCTCTCGTTCATGTGCATCGCCGTCAGGCAAGCTGCCCGAAAATTGGGTAATCTTGACACACTCTACACAAAGCCAGCTCAAAATTCGAGGAAGAGTTGATCTTAGTAGCTACAAGCCTCAACGTTTTTGAAAAATGTACATGGAATAGCTGCGACTTTTTCCGCAGCGCCTGCCATTAAAGATAATCCGCGACTGAGCTGCGGAAGGATCGCGAGCTGCATGAAGCTTGCAGGCACACCAACCTATAAGGAAAGGTCTTCATTGCCCGCATCGACACGGTCCAATAAGGAGCAGCTTTGAAAGATAGAGGGATAGCGAGACAAGGCAAGTCTCGCAGGGGCGGAGCTGGAGTCCTGCGAAGTTGGGGCGAAGTTGGGGCGAAGTTGGGGCGTGGTAGCTGGAGGGATAGTGGCTGTAACCTAACGCCCTACTCAAGTCTGCTTCATTGTATCTTAACGCCTTTGATTTCCGGTCGATTCCTCAGAGTCTCCTCAGTTTCATTCCAATGGCCGAACCTTTCTCGAAGCCACCGGTGTTGCCGGTATCATCAGTCTGATCATCGAAATTACGAAGATCACTCATGCATATATGCACGAAGTCAAGAATAATCCGAACAAGGCCAGAGAGCTTAATCAAACTCTCACCGCCACTAGGGGGTGCAAGAAGTGAGTAAGGTAACTAGGCCGGATTTAGACATAGCTTCTCCAGTATTAAATAATGGTAGCGGCTACGCGTACAGCCCCTACCACTAGGCGTACAGCCCCTATTCACTAGGCGTACAGCCCCTATCTACTAGGCGTACAGCCCCCTGATCCGGTTAGCGGCCGCGCGGAAGCTAACGGAATCTAATCGAAATGGTAAAGAACCCGTATAAGCTGATGGACACTAACCGAATATGGTAAAGAACCCGCATCTAGTCTCTTCGAGATTCTTGCGGAGATGCTTGGTGGTAGCAGGGCAAGCCTCCCTATGTCTCTCCCTGTAGATTTATAACATCGGACGGTTTCAATTGTCGCTTAGTGAGGTTTTTGAATAATTTCTCTATGGCGATAGCTGATTGGCGGCTACCCTCTCTGCTTGCTACTAAAAATACGCCCATCATACTCAATTGTCCACTACCTATCGGCCAGCTGGTCTTCCTACATCTGAAACGTATTGAACATAGCCTCGTTACCCTGCATGTAGGCCGATGTAGCACCACCCGTGTAGCACCACCTCGCTGTCCTCGTGTAGCACCACCTCGCTGTCCTCCTCTTGTAGCCTGTCCAGCCTGCCCACCTCGCCGCCCTCCTCGTGTAATGCCTAGTCGTCGGGGTGGCTGCTGGCTGCTGCAGCGGTCGCAAACCCCCGCTGTGATGCTTGCAGTGTAGAGGTAGGTGTAGAGGTAGGTGTAGGTATGCGCTCTGATCCTTGCCTATTGAGCGAGGGATGTAGGCGGGCGGTGGGGTGGGTGTTGATTCTACTACCATATCCTACTGTGAAGGCATTCGGCTCGAAGAGACTAGATGCGGGTTCTTTACCATTTCCGATTAGATTCCGTTAGCTTCCGCGCGGCCGCTAACCGGATCAGGGGGCTGTACGCCTAGTAGATAGGGGCTGTACGCCTAGTGAATAGGGGCTGTACGTCTAGTAGACAGGGGCTGTACGCGTAGCCGCTACCTAAATAATTACATTTCCGTCTACGGAGGTCGGCACCAAAAGTCCTGGACATGCCAAGACAAGGGTTCAGGTAGGGCTGAGTGCTTGGCATACTTCCAAATTTCATAGATAGCATCATTATTCTTTATTTTAATGAGTATCAATACTCTATATAATAGCGACGTAGTATATATATACGAAGTATAAATATATAAAGTATATATATAATAGCGATATTAATAGAATATATAATAGTAATAATATTAAAGTATTAATTATAACGTAAAGAAATAGAAAAGAGTATAAAGACTTTTAATATATAAGTCTTATTTATATAATATAATAAATAAAAATCTTCTTACTATTCTCTATTTTAATTATCTTTTATTAATATATTTAATACTTAAAGTATTAACTATAATAATAAATAAGAGTATAAGACTTAAATTTAAATACTTACTAAGTCTTATTAACTATAAATAAAATATTATATTACTTAAAAACTTAAATTAAAAATTTATAAGAAAGTCGAAAGATAATAGCTATATTATTAAAAGTATAAGTTTACTTAAAAGAGAATTTAGAAGTAAATAAAGTAAATATCGAGATATATTATAAAGATAATATATTTTAAAGATAATAACGAGTATAGAAAAGATTATAAGAGAGATAATATACGATTATACGACTTCGTCGAGCGAGCTAATAAGTATATACGTAATTATATAAAGCATTATCGTTAAATAAATGTAACTATATAGAAAATGCCAAGAATGCCAAGAGTGCCAAGTATTTTAGCGCTGTCCAGGACTTTTGATGCCGACCTCCGTATCCCATACTACTTAATTATTGGGAAGTAATACACGTACACCCCCTTTTGATACATGTACACCCCCCAAATCCGATTAGCTTCCGCGCGGCCGCTAGCCGCATAAGGTATAAACTCCGCACATAGCCGGAGTAGGGCCGAAAGAGTAGGGCTACACGAGGCGGATAGCGAGGAGTCGACAGCGAGGTGAACGTGGTACGCCAGCCTACATACAGGGTAACGAGACCATGTTTGATACTTTTCAGCTGCAGGAAGGCCAGGTGGTCAATAGGTAGTGGATATTCGAGTACGATAGGCGTATTTCTAGTAGCAACGAGAGGGTAGCCAGCCAATCAGCTATCGCCATAGAAGGACAATCCAAAGACCTTATCATTCGAGAGATCTGGGAAGGCTTGCCTTGCTACCACCAAGAGTCTCGGCAATATTCCCTAGAAAGCTATGTGCGAGGTTTATACCTTATGCGGCTAGCGGCCGCGCGAAAGCTAATCGGATTTAGGGGGTGTATATGTATTAAAAGAAGGTGTACATATATAAAAAGGAGGTATACGTATATTATATTCCTTATTATATCGTTAATTTAATACTTTTATTATTATTATTTATTAGTTAAATATATCGCTTAAATATCTTATCTACTCTAGCCTAGATTTCCTTTAAAAAAATATTCTTTTACTTCTCGAGGCCTCGATTGCAGTCTAAATTCGGCCTAGTTTATTACGAGCGTATTCTTAATATACTATTAGCCCTATAGCCTAGTATCTTAATAGAAGATATTCTCTATTATATTATATCTTCTTTCTATATATATAATTCGATAGTCTTATTATTTTAATTCTATCTCATCTATATTAATATCGTATCTATACTAGTTCTAATATAGTTATCTTACTTACTTCTTATATTCTCTAGTAGTATACGAAACGCATCGTAAAGCTTAATATCTTCGCTTATTACTCTTTCTATCTAGTTTTTATAAACTAGTAACGAGATTCACCTATATATGATATCGACTACGAATCCTCTAATAAAGATTTTTATATCTTTAAAAATCTACTCTATATTTATTTAATAGTTATTACGCGTTAATTAAATTCTAACTTATTAGTTATAATAAGTATAAATTTATAATTCGATATATTAGAGAAGTTAAGAGATTTATTCTTTAATTATAATAATAATTATTTATATATAAGCGAAAATCGAATAATAAGATACGTTAGATCGAGAGTTAACGCGTTTTTTTTAAAGAATTTAATATTATCGATATAATAATAAGTTTTATCTCTCTTAATCGACTTATATCTTTCTCTCTTAATAATTAATAATTTTTTTTTAAATATTATAAATATTTAACTTTAACTATAAATAAGCTAACTCGTTTATAAAAATTATATAAAGATTTTCTATAAAAAAGAGATTAGATAAAAGAGTTAAATTTAATATATTTAAAAAATATTCTTTTAATAGCGAAATTAATAAATAATAAATAATAATTATATATCTTTTAATTAGCTATTAATATATAAATAAATCTTAATTAAATTTTATATTCTTATAGAAATTAAAGCGAGCTCTTAACTTCGATTTAATAAATATTACTATTCTCTCTTTTATATAACGATATATAATAAAATACTAAGTATTTAAATATATATAAAACGAGTAAAAGCCTATAAATTAAATTCATAACCATTTTTTTTGATTAGGGCTGTCGAGCAAATTTGATAAGCGATCTTTAATAAGCGATATTTGAATTCCTTACCCTTAAAGAACGATAAGACTAAATTTTATAATTTTCTCATTTCTAGAAAGCGCAAATTTCGGTCTATGATTTGAAAAAAAAATCTTAAAATTTTAATAGAAAATAGTAAAGTTATTAAAGGGTTAAAAGTAGAATAAGATATTTTAATAATTGCGGACGCTAATTTATTTACCCGCGATAACTTAGCCGATCTAATCAAAGAGCGTAGCGAACTCGAATTTATAATTAACTATATATACAAATTCAAGATTTTCTAACTTAGCTCTATCTTATTCTTTTATATATATTAATAAAAAGATTAAAGCTTAATCTTAAGAAATATTAAGAAAAAGATTTTAGAATATATTATAGAGTATAATAATATCTAATTATAATAAAAGCTTTAAATTTTTTTTAATATAATATATATAGCCGTAATTCTATAAAATTATAATTATTTATTATATTTTAAATAGAGTATAAATATCGGATATAGCCGTAAGGCCGAGTGGGTAAAAACGATTACACTCTGGGCTACGTCTTTTAATGGGAAGGGGTATGAACAGAGGCACGGCCCTCCGATATAGGAATTACACACACATACACACACCTAGTTTTTATATGTAGTCAGCAACAGCCATTGATTCCACCATTGACAACCTCCACCAAATCATCGGTTAGTCGAAATTGAAACCATACAAACCCACCAAATAGGCCAGTATCGCGTTTTTCGTGGTGTGGCAATGTCTTTCACTGAACGACGCCGTCAAGACCGTTCCCATAGGCCTATTATTACGCCTCCTTCATTCCCCTTACACCACCGCAGTTCCTCTTATCCTCAGTTAACACCAAAGTTTATTCCATTCGCTGATACGCCCGCTGATCAACACTCAATTGGTGAAAATAGCGACGATGAGATCAATGGCTAATAAATTCATGTGGGGAGGGCAACAAGCGAAGCTGCCAAGCTTTGCGATGCGTTTTGCACACCGTAAATTCTATCGTGCCAAGAGACTTTTTCGATGGCAGCCACGCACATCTGACCTTCACCACCACTCACTCCCGAGAGCTCACATGGTCCCTTCATATCCCTGCCTCTGTTTTTAGAGACACTCATTACCAAAGTGTGCACCCTGAGTGCATTGGAATTTTAACTGTCTAACTGAGTAATTTGTTTTAGTGGAGCGAGGAACTTCCAGCTCCACCCAAGTCCTCGTCATTGAGACTTTTGGCATTCAATGGGTGGAGTTGGAGGAAATTTGTCATCGTTATCAAAGGAAGGGTAAAGCTTGGTATCTACACTTGCTCTATCTTGGTGGTAGGTCATCCCGTGGAATGCGAAGGCGCGCTACCACCAATAGCTTCATTACACAATCGATGGACATGCAAGAGAGGACAAATAGTTGGGGTCAGGTGGCAATCATATACACAGCTGAATGGTACGGATACGATTCTCGTGGAGTATTCATCTCCAATTTATCCTGCTTACTCTCAATGACAAAGCTGACCTGCCCCGAGTAGCATCGTCTAATCCTTGTTTAAACAGAATCCCCAATCCCTGCCACAGCACCTCATGAACTTCCTACCTGATCCACACGGAGAGGCTTTGTTGCGGGAAGTCACCGCTGCTCCCCCGCCTGCAGATACCCTTTTCCTCTCGTGGCTCTGAGTATGAGGAACATCTCCTCTCTATCTTCCATCGGCGCATGCATCACGTCCGCCCGAGCGTTCTGATAGTTCCTTCCTGTCTCATCCTTTGCATGCCACTGAAAATGCTGATCTTTCATCACCCCGACATCTTCCATACCCAATTCCTTCAATGCTGCGATGATCTCCTTGCTTCCAGAACCATCAGGCTTTCTGCCTTCGATTTTAGTTTTGTTGTAGTGCGCGCCATCCTTTCGGGCTTGTAAGCTTCTAACGTATCGTAATTCTTCTCGATGTCGATAATGATGAGCACGCCGTTGTGTTTGAGGCGGTTGATCAGGGCTTGCAAACCGTGCTTGAGTCGCGCATCTTGCTCGGGGCCGGGAGGATCCTTTGTGAATAAAAAAATCGACTGCGAGCTTTGATACAGGAAATCAGTCTGGCTTTCAATAATTTTGAACTCTTGAGGGCGGAGCCACTCACACACATAAGACTACCATATCGAATGACTCAAATTCACCATCTAAATCCCCTGAGAGCTGAGCGTTCGCAATCTTGGAGTCCTGTGGCTTCTCGTGATCAATGAGGTCACCCCACACGGCCTTGAATTCGTAATTGGGCTATGCTCTCTACGAGGCTGTCTTTGCCGCGATCTTGTTGAACTCATCCACCATATCGCGAGCGCTGTCGATAGCAAGGACTTTGCTGACGTGAGGAGCAAATGCCTGTAAGCACACGTGCAATCAGTGACTGCCTAGTTCGCTGACCTGACCGGATGACTTATCATACTAAGAAACTCAGTCAGCCCGTCCGGCTACAGCAATGGATGTATATATACCACCCAGCATGTCTGGCATTCTTGGAGATTCGTCAAATGCGACAAAAATCGACAAATTACCGCCCAAAATTGTTGTCAGTCCTCGAATATGAACGTGTCTGGAAGTGAGAATGCCAGGCCTTTATCAGATCTAGAAGTCGCAGCACTTACTGGCCTCGAGACCTTTAACATTTAGTGGGAAAAGAAATGCTATGAATCACGCGCGAGACGAAGTCCGCTAGCAAGGCCTCGTCGATTCGGTCAATTCTATCTAGTAAGCGGTGAATCTGTGGTTGTGCACCTGTTGTGTGGATGCTCGCGATTATAGCCGATGTGTGTCGCGCCGCAACTATAGGTGGAGGGATAGGTGGAGGTCCAGCGGCTCACCGGAAGTATCCTTCAGCGTGAGTAATGTAGTCGAGACAGCGCTCTTTGATGAGACCTGAAGTATCACGGCGCAACCAGCTCGATAAAGGCAACAAATACTCCAGTACCAGAATGCAGCACCAGCTCCAATCCCACTCCAACAACTCAAATTGCAGCCTGTCCACCCGCAAACGGCACGATATACACCGTGGCAAACACACCGACCCTGCCACAACCCACACAGACCGGCCTTGCAAAATATACTTTAACATTCGAGATACTGTGCGACACCAATTGGCCAGGCGCTGGTGCAATAGTGGATTTGCAAGATATTGGCAACGTCACATCCCTGCTGCGAGAGTGCATTGATGGTTGCGCGCAGTTCACCTACCTCACCTCGCAGTCAAGACGCTGGGATTATAAATAGTACCAAGGCTGCACTGGGGCTGTATGGATGAGTTGGGGGGGGGGTTCGGCAATCTGAATCCGGGAACAAATGAGTGTGTCCTGAAGGCGAATGTTACGCTGTCCAGTCCTAATGGCACCTACGAGAGTCCTGGGTGGGATGGCACGGTACTGTTGTATTGAACCGGTCCTTTCCTCTGATACCATAAAGAAGTATGCAGCTGTTGGGCGGTGAGCAGACACGAAATAGGGTTCAAAGCAGGTTCAAGTATCTAGCATCTAGAGTTGAAAACTTGATCTATCTAGCATGGAGACGCTGCTTAATGTTGTGCTGAGTACAGTCCGAATTTTGTGCTTAGGTGCTGCGATCGTATTCACGCTGCCGGCATCGTGTTGTACCTCGCCTTTGAAAGACAAGTCACTGTTCTAATCCTGAGGCTTTATTAGCCAAGACGGCCTAATCCAAGTTGGGAATGCATATCGACGCTAGACGACTTTAGGATTAGCCGGCCAATCTCGTGCAGCAGCAGCAACTTCGCATCGCAGCTTCCGAGGTTATCCCTCTCGTCATCCGCCAACAGCGTTGCTTTCCCATCCTCTTCGCATGCTTTTCTCCATCATGCTAATCTCAACATTTTTATGTGGTTCTCTGCTTATCAACACGATATAGAAGGTCTCGGAATCTACACCGATAGTGACCATCACTATCTCAAATTCCTGTACAATCTGGAAAACGCTTTTTTTCGTAACATAAATCTGAAAGCCTTGCCTCTTGCTTCCCCCTCCTCGGTTCAACAGCTCAAGCATTCCGACGTTAAATTGTCCATTACTAGCTACCCAACCAGACCTTGACATATAGCTATTTCGGGCTCAAAATGGACGGAAGAAGGGCCTGAATTTAATGGTTTTGATTAGTGGCGCAATCATAAGCCGTCTCCGGATCGGATAACTTGGCCCCTTCCTGTTGAGGGAGTCGTTGGCATGGTGCACGAGTGATCAAAATTCCTCTTTCCGACATGGTATTCCGCGGAAAGCCGTCGAAAGCGTGTCATAGATGCAGGGAACGTCGGCTGAAGGTAAAACACACCACTTTGAACTCTTGTCAATGCATATGGACGACATCGGGACTCCAAAATGGTTACTAAAACAGGCCATAGTGCGACTTGGTCAAGCCCAGATGTACCCAATGCTTGCGGGCCGGGCGGAAATGTCCCGGCTATCGGCCCCAGTCGAATGACAGATTCCTTGATCAGACGGCCGAAGTGGTGTTCAAAGCTCGACTCGCAGAGGACGCTCGGACCGAGCAAGTGCAGTCTGATCAAGCAATGACCAAAGAACTTCCCCGCAGCCTCTCGCTGCCGATTGAGGCCCGAGCAACAAGCTTCCTTCTCTCAAATTTTATTCAAGGTAGCAACTTCGAATACCTGCCTTCACTTTACGCTCCGTACTCAGTTAGAGAGGAACATCTCTCGGCCAGTATCGAAGCTGTAGGACTAGCCAGTCTCTCAAATCAGCTCAGATCATTGCAGGTCTCGAAGCAAGGCAGAAAGCGCTATATCCATGCCATCCAGGCGACGAACACGGCTCTGCGATCTCCGGTCAGGGCAACGGAGGATAGTACATTACTCTCAGTCTTGCTTCTCAGCCTATACGAAGCAATCACCTGCACAACGCAGCTCACTTTGTGCTTATGGGAGAGCCATATCAAGGGCGCCATGGCACTTATCCGGCTCCGTGGCCGTCAGCAAATGAATACCCAGCTTGGTCTTCAACTACTCAGTCAGACCACCTTTAGTGTAGCCATCAGCGCCCATCGCAACATGGCCGCAGTCCCCACAGAGATTACCTCTCTCGTCACCCACGGTCTTCAGTACGCAAGTGAGGACGATCCATCATGGAGTCTTAAACTTATCTCATTCCGCGCTGCGGATCTTCGTGCTGCGATCAAGTCAGGCAGTCTGTCCGACCCGGACGTGATAATTGCGGCCGCAATGCAGTTGGACCACGACTTTGTGCTGTGGTCGAGTACACTGCCACCGTCATGGCAATTCAAGACTGTTTTGGCAGAACACGCCGATGGGACGTTGGTCTATGAAGGGTATTACCATTTGTATTCTACCCATGGCATTGCTCGGAGCATGAACGCTTGGCGCATGCTTCGAATGCAACTCAAACTGACGATCAGGGAACAAATCCTTCGGCAGCACACGTCTCCCCTGCGATCTCAAGATTACACCACGCTGATGCGACACGCCGAATCAATTATAACACAACTTTCTTCCGAGATCTGCGCCACCATCCCGCAATATGTCGAACTCCCAGCCAGAGTTCCTATATCTGTGTCCAAAACGCAGCCTCCACATTCCACCATCTCCGATACTCCCTTACCAAAGACAGAGAGTTCTACGTCCGGCTTTACGCATGCAGCCCGCAGCTATGGAATCATTTGGCCCTTGATGTCCGTTGCCACTTGCCCCGTCTGCCATAGTTCTCGTCGTGCGTGGATAATCAATCGGCTGCAGTACATTGGCCGGCAAATGAATAATCCGCAGGCGCTATTGGCTGTGAAGATACTAGAGAGAAATTGGGACGTCGATATAAGGTAATTCGATATTTCTGACAAACCTTATATTATATTTTGCTAATTTTGCTAACGTATTGGCATAGAATGCATCTGTGTCACCTGCTCTAGCCACACTCTTCCAGCTCCTTCCGCAGAGTCTTGACCACCACCGGCCTTCCCGTCCGCACAGACCGATCATCCGCCGATGTGCCGCAGTAGCACTCACCTCTTCTTGGCTTGAAACAAAGCTTCCGAGTGCAAGTTCTCGCTTAAGTCGTGCAGATTTCGTCGACAACAGCTGTCAGAGACTATCGGGGGAGACTGTGCGAAGCATGTTCAGAGTGGTTCTTTGTTCCTGCTTTCAACCAGCCGTCATCTTCATCAAAGACTAGCTAGCATTTTGCTCTCGATGTCTATTCGAGCTGACGATTCGACGATTTCAGGAGTGTTCTTCTACTTTTAGCCATTCACAGAGAACGAGTAATGCTTTCAAAATTGCGTGGCAAGTATGATGAGAACGACTAAACACTCAACTGATTTCTTATTTCTCAGACTCCTAGCAAAATCGCAAGCGAAAGATCGCCTAATTTGTTCCCAAAACGTTTGAAACAGCATCTATAGCACTCAACCCTCTCCGCAGAACAAACCTTGCCTCCTACAGAGCCCACACCCTCGTCCTCCTCTCCCTGTTCCTATTCCCACTTACATCCGCCCCTCCCTTCGCCACCTTACCACCTGATCCACCAACGGCACCACACTCTTGAACCCCATCATTATCGGTAGCGATACCGACCAACTACTCGAATCGCAAAGCCACACGCTCAAATACATCGCTCTGAGTCGGCAACATCATCCAACAGGACTTTCTGCCGCGAGTTTTTGGTGCTTAAAAATATCCCGAGTCGCAGTTCGAATGGGGAGGTACATGTGTATAAGGCTACATACACAGGATACTCGTTCGGAGAACAAGTGAGAGAGGAACCGAAATGCGAACCTGTCAGCAACAGAGCAGAGGAATAGGAGTCTGTCTAGGAGATGTCTTGCTGTCTGAGGTATACTCCCGTTGCTCCCTCCGCTACTCCTTACACCCACCACGCGAGCGTGCCAAAGACAAACTCTACTTGAACTCCCCAGCCCACTTCCCTTATTTAAAACCACACTGACTCCAAAGCCGCGTCGGTATTTCATACCGGACATCAGTACGCATGAGTATCTGGTTGAGTTCCAGGCTCGACCCTGTGCAGTCTACGTGAATCACCGGTTTCGGCATAGTAGGGTAAGGCGTCGTCTTACGGAACATTCAGACGATTTGAAAGTACATTAAAGGCGCCCGAAGGGTGCGGCGAATACTTATAAGATAGTTTTGAAAAACGAATAATGTACGTTCTGATTCTTAGACTCAAAGCCTTGAGTTCTAGCGAAAAAGCTCAGCCATTCACTCTTAAAGTACATACTTACTTTTGCGGCCTGCGGTAATGCCGAGCCTCTGATAAGAAAACATCACGCCAGAATAGACATGAAGATGCCAGGCTTACACTAGAGTATACGTATGCTATACATCATAAATCCTTCGATGTATTCCGTTGACCGTAAGCTCTGATTGAATACTTTGCGACCTTCCTTACTGGGATGAGAGAGGCTAGTGGAATTGGGAAAAATAAGCTCTCGTTACTGTTCGTCCATGGCCATCTTCCTAGGCGTCTCTTTCACGTGATCCTTCCTTTGTAACGATGTCTTCCCTCCTCCTCATCGACCTCCAACAAGATTTCGTCAGTCCAACACGAATCCCTGCAAAACCATTCATAGACTCTCTTCCACCCCTGCTACGACAGTTCACAACGAGAAGAAGACCCATCGTCTGGATCGACAGCGTGTACGAACAAGGCAAAGGAACATGCGAAGAAGACGTGTCTTCCAACGATCCACCTCAATCCGATTTCGAGCTCTACCTTTCCGGAACTCACCGTTCCGGCCGTTTCTGTGTCCACGACACTCCAGGCATACAAATCCACAAAGACCTTCTTCCCTTTCTCCATGCACATCACATACGCATAACAAAGAACCCACTACTCCGCAATCTCACGAAGACAGCACTCCACGACACTCTCCAACAAACAAAACATTTCTTCCTCGCAGGAGTCACAACAAACACATGCATTGCTGCCACTGCCGTCGATGCACGCAAATTGGGTTACGAGGTCACATTCTCGAGGACTGCGTCAAGGCATTCAAATAGCACACACATGATCGAGCAATACTCACTCTCACTGAGAAACCATATGACGTCGACTGGTGCACTTCCAATAACGTTTCCTCTTATCTTGGCGACGACAAGCAGCTCCAGCAACTTCCCGTGCTATACTGGGTCAAAGGATCCATTCCAAGTTGGAGAGTCATGATCACACTCGCATGGATGAAGATTCCATATCTCAGCAAGCGTCTCAGAGTCATGACTGAACCTAAGGAAACTCGAACCCCGAGTTCGCACTGATTAATCCGAGATGCAAGACTCCAACGTTTGTCGACAGTGATGGCACGATTGTCATAGAAAGTATGGCCATCCTTCAGTATCTCGAGCGCTTTTCCCCAGGCACTCGCGAGAATCGCCCAAGCGATCTTTCCAAATCGGAATGGACACAAGAGACTGTGAGATTTCATGAGTCTGAAAAACCTAACAGTATATACGAGCCTACCGAACTGCTATACGATGCAGAGTGGGAAAAGCATCGTGAAAACATTCTCCAAGCCTACCATGATGTTTTCAAAGAATTCGAACATTGGGAAAGATATCTGACCAATGGAGGGTTCCTTTCAGCTCGACATGCTTTTGGACTGGCAGATTGTGCTTTTTATCCTGTCCTTGCATACATGGTGCACCGTGGGCTCGCCCTGACGTCGAAACTTTCGGGCTTGGAAAATCATTATGAGAGGTGCGGCGCGCTCCAAACGGTGCTTGAAGCCAGTCCGGATCATTGGGAGACACCTGGCAAGAGCCTGTTCCTGAGATGCGAGAAGATGCTTAAGGAGTGAGATAGTTGTGCTGGTAGATACGGTAGAAATCATTCGCTGGGAGATGTTCATGAACTTGATTGGCCGTGATTGACCTTCCTTAATGTTTGGGCTTTTGACTTACTGAAAGCTCTTTACTATCTGGTGAAGCTGCTCCGGATCTGAAATTCTTTAGTTCGCCAATTCTGTTTCTGAATACTCTCACGCCCGCATCTCGTTGAGTGTTTGCGGTCCGTGGGTGGATTGAAGTTTGTGAAAAGGGTCGGAGGGTGCGTAGAACGGCTGTGACTGGTCCGATTCTATTGCGCTTTCCACGTCTCTTATTGACAGGCTTGGCCTGATCCAGAGCCTCTTGTGGGAATATAGCACGGTGACTGTCAATGATTGTCTGTGGCAGATGAGGAACACAGGGGCTGAGATTATATTATTTTCTTATCAGAAGGATTCCGCGAGGGTTTGGTTGTTGGAGTGGTGGGAAAGGGGCACATTGATTTGAGAATTTTGGGGGCTGTAGGGTTCATGCTATACGTAAACGTGATTTTTTGTTTGCACGATATGTTCAGCAGAAGGTCTGGAATACTCATGGAGGGTTTCTGGGCGAGTTGTCCCATCGTCTGGCAGGGGTAAAATTCAGGGGTTCCGACCGAACATCAAAAAACACCCCATTGCAAGTTAGTGTAATTCAATGACGCCTGCTTTCACAACAAAATACTTAGTACCGCGATTAATCTTTATAAATGGCAGATCTCAAATTCTGTAATAAAAAATAAGTCTGTGATTCTTGTCGTTCAAAAGTCGTTGTGTGATGAACATACAGATATTTGATGTTCTGCCAAGACCCTTTTCTTTACCCCCCCCCCCCGAGGGGGGGGTTTTTTTTTACCCCCTTTTCTTTACAAATGAAATGGCAGCTACAGTCACGATACTGTTTTCGTATAATGTGTACAGAATTGTTGCGAATGCGTGGCACCTTTATTTGCGCCTGACCGATATTTAAAGTGTAGCAATCGCAAATGCTCATACTTGCAACAGCTTCGAGGAAGGAAATAGACAGCCCATACGTCTTCTGTATAGACTGAGTCAGGTGTAACGGATTCCGTAGCCTTACTCCCTACGATTGACCCCCTCCAGGTCCCCACCTTCTCGCTCCTCTCTTGCGCAATTCTTCGTAGATTCTTTGGAATCTTCGTAGATGCATCGATACAACATCCATATAAGACTCGTGAATCAAGGAGCCGCCGGCCTCCAAGCAGGCAGATGCAACTCGTCCCTAATTGAGCAGCACAGCACCAGCCACCGCGGCCGAAAGTTGAACACACCTGTGCCACGTCGCAGGAAATTTTAGACGACTTTTCTTCTTCTCGGTGCGCTCGTCTCGGGGTCTTGCGCGAACGTAAGCCGTATCTCACTCTCCTCGAAATCCTTGATAATGCCGGAGTTGCCGCGAAGGCTCTTCAAAATGAAGGTCTGAAAAGGGTCGGCCAACCGTGGCTGCCCCAACACGACTTCTTGCAGATTTGGGTATCGCAATCTCTTATGTTTAGCGATCTCACTCAGCTGCATCATGAGCTCTTTTGGCAGGGGAGGAGACATGGGTTGGAAAAGTCTAACAATCCACGTGAAGTGCGGTTCACCTTCCAGTCTCAACATCCGTATTGCTGGAGGCAGAACTTCCCAGATCTGTGGCGGCGTTTGGCTATCTTTGAAGAACAGCTCTCTGTACTCATCTGAGACCACCAGTAAACGTTTTGGCACGCAAAGGCGACTCAATGCCTTGAAGTTATGTAAATTTCCGAAGGTGGCGTCATTAATATCTGTTATGGTGCGCTTGTATGGATATTCGATAATGCAGAGTTCACGGAGTGAACTTTGCTGTAAACCAATGCACTCGGCCAGTCTTCGGGGGAGAGCACATTTGCAAGGACTTTCTTATTGCGAACAGGAGGCGGTCCAAGCTCAAAGACTTCCAAAGCTTTAGGCCACGACAGGATCTCTGCCAAGTCATCTCCGAAAGGTATACCGGTCGGAAAGGACAACGATGTCACGTTTGAAGTTCTCAACCTTGCAGAATGTTGAGGACGATGCCACCGAGGAGACGTGTCCCAATCTGCTGCAATCTCGATGGAGAGATTTCGGAGAGTCGATATACGGAACAAAGCGAAGAGGTAGGAGTTTCCAGGATCCCGGTTCGCCCATATTTCGTGAGAAATGTTCAGTGACTTGAGTTTTATGTCTCTTAGGGGGTCAAGTTTGTAGAAGACGGGTGAGATATTCAATGTCTGCAGCGACGGTAGAAGTAGGTCTATGATGTAAGAGACCATGTCAACTGTAGCCTCAGAATCGGTGTCCAACAAGTCAAAGCCTGCAGTAGCGATGTAGGAGCGGATTTGTGGACGCGTGGTGATGCATTCAAGGAAAGGACTGAGCCTGACAATCCTCGATGGTTGGCATTGTGGCCAATCTCCACGGGCGGGTCTTATCGCTGTCGCGTAATTTGCACAGACGAGAAATCCTTTATTGACTCTGTCGCTGTCACATGTATCGATTCCGCTGTAATGCACGCAACGGTAGAGCCTAGGGAGCACCAGACGGTGGAGTTGACGGGAGACTGATACCAGTGCAGGTAGGGATTTATGAGCCACCCGTTGAACAATCTCGGATGTCAGCTCTTCTGGTAAAGCACTGAGACAGTCCATGTGGGCGGTAGCTTGCGGTTCAGGTTCGATTGAGTAGAAATGGTTCGTGCCGACGCTTCCTCTAATGGCAGACGCTGAGCGTGGATAGAGCAGGTCCAGGCTGTGCTTTCTCGTAGGCTCTCAGTCCTGCGTCAAATGACTGTGGAAAGCTGGGAGCGTTCTAGTCAAAGGCTGGCATGACGCCGGGATTGAAGAGGAAGGAAGGACAATATGCTCGGCGGGTCGGTGTAATGGCAAATAGGATACACCAGCGCTAAATCTCAATAATACCTTAGTCTCTTGGCATCAGCACGGTTTTTCGTGGTTCTCTCTGTGGAAAGACCATGCTACTTATGCTCTTGCGCTTTTGAGCCCTACGAATTGTTCTCAAGAGCTCAAGACTGGACTCCTTAGCTGGAAGAACTCTGCAGTTATGCCCCAAAAGGCTGTAGAGAGCGCCATCTTTATACGTTAAGGAATACAATCAAGTCGCGACGAGTTGGCAGTGCATTCGGCTTCCTAGTGATTTTGCTCCGGCACTCCTTGCTTCCCACGCCCAAATAAGCTTTGCACTGTGATTGTTGGTACTATCAAAGATTCAGGGAAGATGCTCTTGACAGTCACACCAGCTCTATCTCAATGCTAGAACGCGAGTTGTATCGGTATATGTTTCCTGTCAAGCAACCCCAGTATGGCCTCAATTCTTTCGGTCACCCGAAACCCTTCCTAACCCTCCAGCATTAATCTCTTCTTGGCTCCCTTACCATAGCCACATGCGTATAAATACCCTCCAACCCACCCAACGTTAGGTCAATATGACACTCATCCATCCTTACGAACCCCAACTCTTCGCAAAGCTTGACTCGTTCCCCTCCTTCTTCGCAATCGACATAGCACATCGCCCCCTCCCTATCCGCTCGTTGGAATGGCCATGACAGAAGCAAGGTACTAGCATCACCCTTATGGGTGGGAGAGGTAGCCAAGCTGTTCAGCACTGACCGTCAAACAGAACCTGGTCAGAAGTCTCATGGAGTGAGCTCAATTAGCCGTAGGACTTACCAAAAGACATCTTTTCCTTCAAAACTCGATTGCGCATCTTCATCTCGGCGCGACTCAGCGAAATCACAAATCCCATGTTCATGCCCCATATTGGAGGCACACCGTTTACGGGTTGAGGGTTTGCCGGTCCGTCATATGGTAGCTCCCATGCCGCCCATGCGATCATTCCCTCAACGTCCACAACTTTGAGACAGACCTGTTTGACAATGGTAGCTACAGCACCCTCGAGGAATAGAGGGTAGTATTGCGCGAGATGTTCTCTCATGGCTTTAGGGGTGGCGGAGCCGAGCTCGATTTGGAGACACCTGGACATGGTGGCAGTTTCGAGGGTGGCGATGGTGAGACCATCTGAGGGGATGCAGTGAGAGACATGCAGGGACATCCTGGTGAATTCTAGTGGAGCTTAGAGCGAGTGACGGATCTATGTGTCGCGGAGAATGAGGTATTGTCGCTTTTGGCGTTGATGTCAAAGGCTGAGAAAGAAAGTAAGAAAGTATGCTGACGATTATCTTATAGCCCGAAGATTTTAACACAATGGACATTGTGTGTCCTCAGATGTGTTAACACTTTCTTACCATTTTTTGAGACTAGGTTGAGGGATACCGAGGCTCTGTAGCCGCTGGATCATAGAAGGGCAAAAACCGGTGATGAAATTGTACAAGTCCTACGCGGCGCCAGAGAAAAGTAACGTTTTTCACACTTTTCCTAAAAAAGATTCAATCGGAGAGGGCGAAAATCCTCCATAGAATCACGGAAGTCCTGTAGTTTGGGCGCGGTGCCAGACAAAGTGGGCGAACTTATCACCCTTTCCTAAAGTTCGTCATTCAATCTGCAAGAAAATTTGTTCATACGCGTGTAACTCTCTTGATTTTTTTCCTTTGATAGCAGAAGTCAATTTTTCCTGACCAATTTCCTAAAATCCATGCCTAAGCGAAAGGAAAGAGAACTTTTCTCCTCTTAAAATGTGAAAAGTTCGAAATCTCCTCCATGCATGACTTTTGCAACATTCTCCTACTTGACCAAATTCAGACTCATAGATATAACTAGATCCATATGGGTCTTTCAAAGTATAGAACCCCGGTCAATATCACGCCTCACACATGTACAGACCTAACCAATGTTTTCCAATGCATGTCCTGATTCGCTCTTACTCCTTGAGCCACCGGGAGACAAAGTCACACGCCATCACCACCGCCTTCTGTCCCCGGCTGCCCATAAAAGTCCCACTCTGCGTACTGCGTTATAGTCTTTGTATGCCGTTCCTGAAACTCTCTCCTCTCGTTGGTGAGCACTTTTCGCATCCTCAGGCCCTCCTCCATCGAAATTGGATAGCCGTTCACTTTCTCGATAACAATATCAAATATCTCGAGCGGAACGCTGCTGCAAATGGCGCTCGCCTACCAATCACGTCTCTGGCTCTGTACCAAGCTTGTGCTCATGATATCCCTGTTCGGCTTGTCCAGTGCCAAATCACGCACGACATCTTTTGCTGCCAGAATCGAGAGGTTCCGCGTCACGGCATCAATTCGTCGAGTTGTAATCTGGCACCAGACGCGATACAACTTCCCCAGTGGCGCAAATGTCGGCGTGACCATTCTGGGCTGTACACTCTTCTCGCGAGTGGTTCCTGAACAGGCAAGGGAAGTGGTAGATCGCTTTGTCGACTTGAAAGACATCATTGAGTGGGACGTGGAAGACCATACTGAGCGTCACCAAGCGGACGTGCAGTGGTTAAATCATGAGGTCGAGAAAATCAGCGAGGCAGATCCCGAACCCTTCGGTAGACAGAAGAACCAAGAATCCAAGATACGAAAAGAGCACTGTCGATTCGGGGTTTATGACAGACCTCAGCGGTCAGATATGTTGGAAAAGGTCGACTGGGAAGTTGTGGGCATTTGGCCACACGCATTACAGTGTCGATTTCAAAGATGAGGAGACCGGCAAGAGGGTTGTCGCCAACCAAAAGAGATATTACGCCAAACTACCGTCGAGCAAGAAAGGCGCACATGGAATCCCATTTCACGCAGGGAAAACCCTCGACGTTCGTGCACAATGACAAAACATACAGCTGCACTACAAACGGGTCAAACACCAGCTTTGCCTATGTATCTGGATAGCTAATTTTTTACTGTCATCGAAACAATTCAGAAGGTATGATGGGTCAACTTATGGCCATTGTGCCTTGCTTAAAGCAAAGCTGATTGTTACGTCTCGGAATGTAGACGGCTAAGGGGGTCATTATGCACCAACGAGAAACCCTCGTCATCGGTACTAGACTTCAGAAGAGATTGAGGAGACTTCAAGATAGAGCAATGGCCATTTGAAGAGACAAAAATTCCCACCTCTAGCACGTGTACAATCAAAGGTGGGAAGAACCCTTCGATCTTTTCCGAACTTGACATGACATCGCGGCCAAAAAAATTCAATGCTTCCTCGACGAGTGACGTTTCGGTAGGATTGTAGGCCTGTGAGAAACCACCCGCAAACTTCCATGCAATTCTGAATGCATCTTCCGCGCCCAAGGCAATACCAGCAATCAGCGTCCGTTTCAGTCCAACTGTCGCTCTTCTGTAAAGTAGACACTAGGCTATGACGAACCTCACGATCGCTATTCGGAGACACTCCAAACTGATGTTTGATATTGCTCATGGCAAAGCGTCGACGATAGCACGAGTTAGCACGCAATCCCTATGTAGGCGAAAAAACTCGCCGCGAGAGAGGGCAAGGATTCTTGGCTTCTTCGTCTGAGTGATACCAGATTGAAATGCAGTTGCTGCCTGTAATGTTGTTGCACTGAGTTTTCCGCTCCATCGGCCAATGGTTTGGTGGAAGAGTCTCCTTGGGTACCGAACTCGATCCTCGCTTCAGCCTTCACTGTGGCAAATGAGAGCAGGCCTACAATGCACTCGTAGTTAGCAGGTAGTTTGTTTGGCGAGACGGTCGGTAGTAGATTCAAAGAAGTCTTTGCCGCCATGTTGATTTCAATGTATCGTCAAATATTGGAAACGTCTAACAGTTTAGATCAAAATTGAGAAAAAAACGCCCCGCCTGGAAAAAGGTCTTGGCAGAACATTAAAATAATACTTTCGCGAATAATGGCTAATGATAACTTTAGATAAAACGTTAGTTCTAAGGTCAGAAAAATCTGCAAAAAAAAAACGAAATATAAACTTTCTAGGGGTCCGTTGATAAAGAGTTACAAGACTGTAGAGCAGTGCCAGGGCAGAAACAAACATGGTGACCAACTGATTTAAAGCACCGATGTTTCCCAGGACAGATACAAATTTCCATACTGTAACCGTCGACCGAGTAAGGTCAAACACGGTATGAGATCAATAATTTCTCAATACGTTCAGGTTTAATATCCTGGTACCGCAAAGCTACCATACTCAGAGCTGAGTCTAACCAAAAAAGCGGACTCGGAGCCGGGACTTGCAACCAAGGAAGATACGAAACTCAAGGCTGTCGGTGACAAGGATGTCTGATGGATCGAGCGCTGGGGAAAAGAGATTGTGTGGAATCGAGATCCAAATCTAATGTCCAAAATGAATCTAACGTATGAATACAAATGTTGAAAACTAGGACAAACCCCCAAAGCTCGGCGACGTCGTAACACCTCAACAATCAAGATATAAACCAGACGAAAGCGAACACGAATCCCAAAGCCCACGCTGTCAAAATTCCTCAACTCGATCTAGCGCTCTCGAAAAGTGTTGAAGAGAGCAGTGGTCAGGAATAAGAAGTGTTAAAGAAAAAAGTATCGTACGGATCCTATAAAAGCTCGCAACGTCTCAACTGTCAAGCACAGATGAGATGAGATGAGATGAGATGAGAGAGATGAAAGCAAACGCGAATCTCAAAGCTCACGCTGCCAAAATTCCTCCATTTGGTCTAGCGGTCTTTAAAAGTGTTGAAGAGAAGTGAATACCCAGGTATCAAAAAGTAACTCTTCTCGGTCTAGTGTGGGGGGTAGAATGTGTCGAAAAGCGTTCAATATGCAATCCCCTTAGCTGCCAGCAAAGATGTTCAATAGGCTTTAGCATTCAATCGAGAGCGAGGACGGTCCTTCCTTAGATTCAAGTTGGCTCTTATGACCAACAGCTTCCAGAGGACCAGGTTCCAGAGAAGGTAGATTCAGTGTGAGTAGAGGCAGGGGAGGAGGGAATTAGCTATCAGAAGCCCTAGAACACAAGTCAGGTTGCCTTCCTACATCTATAATTACACTACTACTCCCGGCGTCCACCTCGTGTTCTATGATATCCTCAGCGATCCTTGCCTACAGCAAGTCCACAATTTTGGCGCCCGCATCCCGGATGTTCGACGTCCAGTACTGCGGCGTTGTCTGGATATACATGACCCCGTTCTCAAACACGCACTCGTTATAGGTACCCTTCTGCAACTTATCCACAATCCTGAGCCCGATCTCATTCTTGTCCGCGGTCTCTTGGTATCCCTCCTGCAGCATGTCGTCCTTGGCGAAGCCTTGTCCTTCAAGCGAAGAGACAAGACTCTCAAAGTATTTGAACGTATGAAACCCGAGCTTCTTCTGCCATTCGCGTGGGTATGTCGTCGGTTGCTTCCCGGAGGCCGTGTAGGCTGCGATGGCGGCGAAGTTGCGCTCGAAGTTGGGGTGGAGTTCCAACATCGGCAAGCCGAGGATCGACTGTATCTTCGCCTTGACATTGCCAATCTCAGGTTCGTAGTCCTTCTTGATGCCGTTCTTGGCATTAAAGTCCAATGCCGCACCACCCTCGGGGTTGGACGACATGCCGGCGTTGTTGACAGCGGTGGCGAGCTCGGCGCACACGGTATTAATGTTGGAGCCGAGGTATTTATCACGGAAGACGAGACGAAGCATGCCGCTGCTGATCTCGCAGCCCGAGTAGCTGATTTTGGGATTCGTGGTCTGCTCGAGGGTCATGGTGTGGGACGAGGCAAGAGTATTGAGTTCGGATTTTCCATCGGCGCCGAACTGTTCGATGTAGTCTGAGATGCCTCTGGTGGCGCCTTGACAGTATCTTTAGGGTTGGAGGCCACGTTAGCTTGTGTGGGATGGGGATTGGGAAGAGGCAGGGGGCTGGGATCATGTACTGGGTGAACATTTGGCCGGGCTTCTCTTTGGAAAAGCGGTCGTCGGCTAGGGTATAGAGATGGCCTGGATCGAAACTGATCTTCCATGGCTGACCAAGGACGGAGGAGAGATTTGCTTCGAGTTCGGGGATCTTGGTTTCGAATTCGTCACGGACTGGTTTTGGGCGAGCAGTCAGCGTTCAGGTCTGCGAATATTTGGCTGGATGGGTTGTATACCATTCTTGCGGATGGCCAGGGGCAGCTTGGTCTTTGGGGCGTCTCCTCCAGCGGTACTGGGGGCAACAGAAGTCGATGGGGTATTGATGGTACTGGTAGCGGGGGTGCTGTTGCTGGATGCGGGCTCTGCGGCCACAGGAACCTGAGCTCCGTTTTGAGACTTATCACCGAAGCCTAATTGAGCAGTGGCTTTGTTCAGGTCTCCCTCCAGCTCCTTCATGGTCTGTTTGGCCTTCTTAAGGAAATCCATGGCTGGCTAGGAAGGGTGTGTTTTCGGCTGAGTCTGGTAGTTGTTGTGAAGAAGGTAGGGTTGAGGGGTCTGGGTGCTCCGGCGAGAGGCAGATGTGTCTGGGTGATGATGAACGGACCATGGCGTGGGAGCTGGGCTCTTTATGTCTCTGTCCTCGACTGTTCATTTCCCCTGAGTACATCGATAACAATGGTTCGTGAGGCCTAGCCTCGCTGCCTGGAATCTGCCTCTACATTAGCCCACCGTCCTTGGACCCCATAGGTAATGCGCATTGAAGATTTAAGACTGGCTTGATGCATGTCGAACAGGTGGTGGTTTGAAGACGATGATTTGGTGGGGTAGGTTGAGTTGAGGGCTAGAGCCCAGATCTCATGGTTTCCAGGGGGATTTCCAGGCTAAGGAGCGGCTGAGCGTTGACTTGCCGCTACTTAAACACTTAGCGAGCTTTTAGCGTCTTTTAGGGGTTTCTTGAGGTGGACCGCGCCCCCATCACCCCTGGTGCCCCTACCATTTGGTCCACGATTTACACCGCCTTCGCTTCTTTCTCCCACAAAGGGTACTAGTATATTAAGGTACCAGGATTCGAAGCAACCTGGTTCTGTGAAGCCTGAAAAAAGCCCCCAATGCACTACAGTAGAGTACGAGGTTGTGCCTTTGATCGCCAACTTGACTTTGACCTACGAACTCGCCATGTGCTCCATATACCGGCATATGATGGATTTGCCTAGGTGCCTGCTTCGGATGGATTCCAACCGGAGCATCTTATACGAGGTGCATAATTCTATTAGGCTGAAGCTGTAGTTGTGTGATATCAAGCCTTTACTGTTGCTTGTCTCAGAAGTGCGTTTCCACATATCAAAGTTGCAGTATTATAGATTTACTTACAGTATGGCAAAAATGTAAGTCAGCACTTCCTTCCGACATAGAATGAAGCTGACACAGAGAACAGCCCCCTGAAGATCCGAATGGATCTTCGTGACCACTGGGAAAAAGAAGATTGTCCAGCTCAAAAGTCAATTGCAGCTCTCAAAGATTTGCTGGGGCTGTCCGTCATCATACAATTGGAACCCTTGATTCTATGGAGCGAGCTGCAAAAGTTCTATTCTGACCAGAGTACATTTGTGCCATGCATCACCACTGTGATCAAAGCATGGCTCGATTGTCTCACAAAGAGGTTGGCAGACGATGCGAACGCGGCATGGACCGAGCAACTTCTTGAGCATGTCAATCAAAGCGGTAGGAATTTGAAAGCCAGAGTAGAGGTACGTCTAAACGCTACGTCGAAATGCTTTGGTTTCGAAGCGCGTTCGAGTATTACTTGGCCAATGTTGAATTACGGGATCAGACGCGACCAGGGCCTCAAGTCAAAACGGAGCTCGCGAAAACAGGAGCAACGTTCATGATCGGCATCCCCGAGTCATCGCCTCCATACAAAAACGTATCTACGTGCTTCATGACCGAGTTTGAAAAGCTCTTCACCAAAAGCTCCAAGCAGACTGGCTCAGCCCAGGCGCAAGGCGCTGAAGACGAGGACTGGGCCGACGTGACAGTGCCATCAAGAACGCGCGGACAGACCAGCGATATAGTGTCAACTACAATGCCTTCCCTGGACGAACTCCCGCGACCGGAAATGCTGTTTGCCGCCCAAACGCCGTACCATCTGATTGTCAAGGTCGTCCATAATGGGATGGTAGTGCAAGGAAGCCATCAGGGGAGTTTGGAACTTCTTACCGGCTACTTGCAGAAGTATACCAGGGATATCGAGAACGTCTCTGTCAAGGTGGGTTGTACACTATTCATTCGCGAATAAATCCCACTCTTTCTACACGGCAGCTTGCGGGCCGCATGCTTACTCCTGCACAGCTTCCCATTCTCAAATCCGAGCTTCAAGCCTCGCATTTCGGCTATGGTGCACTGTTCGATTCACTCACCATCACGCCCGGTGACTCTCGCGCCGGCTGGGCAAGCATCAATCCCATTCTCATCCTTTCGTTCATCGAAAGCGTGCTCGGCTACTCACCCGTCGCGAGTGGAAGCAGCGAGTCTCAATGGTATTTCAAGCGCGATGTAGGATTCAAAGAATAAGTATTGAGATAAGATAAACTTTGAATAGGTGTGACTTCGTTTTGGGAGAGCAGAGACAAGATGACATGAGTATTGCAAGCCCAGCAAGAATTGAGTTCAGAAACGCCTGTCCCATTGTCAAAACAACAAAAACCCCCCCCCACCGCAGATCGTGCTCATCTTGCAAACATCCTTACCCAAAACCACCGCTTCCAATAGTATCTCCAGAGTCCAATCACGAGCTCTCTCACCTTTCTACCACTTTTCAACCCCCCAAGACTCTCCCACTCCTCCCTCTATTTCCTCCCCCTTCCTTTCTTACCCGTTGTCATCGTTCCAAGCATAGCGGGCGCATCGTTCCCAGCAATGTCACTTTCAACCTTTTCTACTGAAGATCCAACACCCTTTCTCCGCCGAAGGTTGTGCCCACCCTTCCCCGACAGCTGACCTTCAAACTGCTCTTCCTCAACCCGACCACTCTTCCCTGTTGCCGCCCTGCCTTGCCTTTTCCCCTTCCCCACCGCCCTCCTCCCCCCTTTCTTAGGCGCGGGAGCAGCAGCAGCACCCTCCTCCTCCTCCTCTTCGTCGCGCGGGCGTTTCCTCGTCTTGCCATGCGGCTTCCCGGACCCGTCGCCACCATCCGGTCGTCCGTCGTCCCCGTCGTCGGCCTTTTTGGTCCTCCTGCCGCCTTTGGGAGCTTTGGGCGTCGCGGAGTCCTTTTTCGGTCCCCACCTATCGGTCCTCTCGTGTTCCTTGATCGCGTCCTCCACCGATTGGTGCGTCGTGTGGTCAAAGGCGTAGCGATAAGCGCCCGACCAGTGCGAGATGTAGTGTTTCATCTCGGTGCCTCTGAAAAGCAGCACGGCGCCGTCGCCGTACCCGTCGAGAGCGATACCGAGCTTGTTGATACACATCGCCGCTCCTGCACTGATCAGTCTTCTCGTCCTTTTTTTTTGTTGCTGACAGCTTTGCGTACCTTTGAAATCACCCAGTTGCACAAGCCCCGTCAGACCTCCTCTGATGTCCATCTGATCGCGATGTTCGTCCGTGGGCCTGTTGCAGACACTGACGCGCAGACTGTACGTATCGGGATGGTCCTCGTTCACCGGCGGCAATCGCGCGAACTCGGGCGACCGGGCGTAGATGTCGCGGTAGCGCCGTCGCAGCTCGGGTTCCCACACCCCGAACCAGAAATCCAGCACCCTGGTCATGGGCCCGCCCGTGCCTTGGAGGAACTGGAGCAAGAGCTGTTTCTGCGTCGCGTTGAGGTTGTGCGAGTCGCCGGTTTCGAGGATCGGATCCCGGGTGTGTTGTTGGGCGTGCCAGTGGCCGTAGTGATCGCTGCCGCACCAGTACGGTTTGAGTGCCGCGTTGTCTCTCAGATGTTCCCGCTGGGAGATGTGGCGTTTGTTGCTCTTGGGGTTGGGGGCCTTTATCTTCGAGTAGAATTCGTGCGAGTCGTCTTTCATGCGCTTGTGGACGTCGTCATCGTAGGACCACGGGATTCCTTGAGGGTCGAGGAAAGCGATGATCTTGTCGTTCCGGTCGAAGGCGATGTAGATCGCACTCACGTTGCCATCCACGGTGGGCCTGCGAAGGATGTTGTTCGTCGCATCAGAGGCAAACAGATTGCGGTCGTTGTTCATTTTCTTATCCTTGGTCCACTCCTTGGCCCCGCTTCCCCAGCTTTCCCAGCTTTCAGTGACGGCAGCATAGCGTTTCTTGTAGAGGCCTCTAGCTCTGGGAAACCCTTCAACGTCCTCCCCTTCCAAGGCTCTTTCTCCGTCTGCGATCCAGTCCTCCCATTGGTCTCGCTCGCGGCTGCCCATTGTTTCGTATGCTGATTCAATGAGCTCCTTAATTTCCTTTTCCGTTGCGAGCTTCGCTTCCGTTGCTTTTAAGGCTATTAGATATTTGACAAGTTTCGTCCGGATTCTTCTCTCCTGGGTCATTGACTCATCATAATCCGCCATTTTCAGGTCGAAATCGTTGAGAATCTGGCTAGATTTGAAACCATCTTTTGGGTCACTCGAGTCAACTTTGAGAAAGGTTTCGCAGTGAACGTCCCGACCCTTCCATTCGACATCGACGTATTCAACTTCTCCGTCATCGCCGATGGGAGTCGGTGCTTGAGAGTTTCTGAGTTCCATGAGTTCGCTTCGCGTCTTCTGTTCGAGTTCTTCCCAATTCCTATGCAGGCGGTTGACGAAATCGCAGTGACTTTCATCCGTGCATCGTTCCCAATCATCCTTCGGCCCCCGTCTTAGATCTTCAAAGGGTTCTGGTTTGCCACCTTTCCACACAAAACGGTCACTCAAGAGCTGTCGAGGTTGTTAGCGAGTAGGTTTCATGCACGTACTCCGACCATCAAAGTCCATGGAGATGACCTACAGCTTCTGCTGCAGCTACCGCACGCGCTGTAGTGGCAGCTTTCTCTTCGGGGGGTTTTCAGCACTCTTGTAGGTTTTTTTTCTTCGTTTCATGCTGGACCAGCGTTTGCTCATCATCCTCTCGATCGTCCATCCCTGCAGCATTCTCTCCGTTGTCGCTGTCTCCGTCGTCACTTTCTGCCTTGCCTTCTCCATCGTCTGGATCAGCAGGTATCACTACACTATCCACCATCTCGACATTACCCTCCAGCTTCTCTTTCTTACTGTTTCTTGGTGCCATTGCCGCTTCTGCAATTGTGTCACAGGACAGTAGAGTTGAAGTGACAAATTTTTGGGGAAAACCAGTCGCAGGCCTGCTACTTTTTCGACAGAGATGTAAGAGGTTTGTCGCATCCAAGCACAATATCTCAAAGACGACCCCGAAAACGAGGATGCACTATGAAGGGATCATCGAAGCCATATATTGACCCTTGATGGCAATTCATTCAAAGGCTTGCGCTATACTCCGAAAAACCAAACAAGCCCTAGAATTGCACACCGAGAAAGGTCAAGCAATGGCGTATATGTATATCCTTTGAGACTGGACACGATTCGTAAAGCGATCGCTTTGAACCATCGCCGCATCCGGACACAGAATTAGGCCTTTGTGTTCGCCTCCAATCCCACATCATCCACAAGCTCGGCTTGGGTGACAAAGGAAACCAGTCCGAAGCGGGTGATTTTCAAGCACATGGCTTCGGCACAAATAACAAAGAAAAGGTTCTTCGGTATGGCAAGCTCCATCATAGAGCGCATCATTTTACAGCTAGCTGCAAACAGGGTTGAAAAGATAAAGCCATCGGTCTTCCGGCGTTACCTTTCACATCTTTCACGGCGCTTTGTAATTAGAGGAAATCGACATGTACGAATAGATCATACGACTGCAGACAAGATAGCATGCCGCCATCATTCAATACATAGTGAATGAATGGTGATGATGAAGGAAACGTTCTCAGTCTTTGCGCGTTGGCAATGCGAGTAAGCAGAACTTCCATAAGCAAACGTGTCACATATGTTTGCTTCTGGATGATTGTATAGCCCGCACCTTCGTAGTTTCTAACATTAATTAGTAGAGTTACGTGCTTTCGGCACGTCGCCAGTTCCGGCCCGAGTCACATGGACTGGCCGCGTTCAACGACATAAGAACCCTCAATCTCATCCATCTTGATAAAACAAATCAAGAACATTCCTTCTCATCTCAAAATCCATCACCTACAATGCCTCTCCCCACCATCGTCATCGTCCCCGTCGCCTGGCCAAAAACCCGCCCACTACCAGCCCATCGCATCCGCTTTCCAAAACGCCAATTCCACAGTAGCAGTCATTCCACTCCCATCAGTTGGCGCATCACCTAGTCTGAAGAACTTTGACGAAGATGTCGCCGCTATCCGCAAAGTCGTGAGCAGCTTGGTAGACGACCGCGCTGAAATCTCCTGCTACTGCACTCTTACGGCGGCTTGCTCGGTTCTGCGGCTGTGAAGGGCCTGGGAGCGAAGGAGAGAGCCAAAGATGGCAAAGAAGGCGGGGTGAAGAGGTTGGTGTATCCGGCGAGTTATGTCTTGAGAGAGGGAGAGGCGTTGCTGAGTAAGGATGATTTGGAGATGATGAGATCGTATGGTGAAACTTTTGATGAGAAGGTGTAGTGGTGCCCATCGTTATGGAAACTACACGCTGAATCAATGACACCATCGAGGCCGGTACGTTCCTCGTCGGCAAGGATGTCGCGCTCTACACCCTCTTCCATGACATCCCCGTCCCTAAGGGCGAGCATTGGGCGTCTTTACTCGAACCACATAGTGTAGGCGCTACGTGGAGTGATCAGACTTATCCAGCGTTCAAGGATATCGCGTCCACGTATGTAGTGTGCGAACTCGATCGGATTGTGCCTGCTCCGTTCCGAATGCCTTGACGCCACCACCTATTTCGAGATATGCTTCCTATCGCTGCAAAATTCCTCTTAAATCAGGACAAGTACTTGACTCGGGCACAGTTTATTCGGATCCAGCTTGAAGTCTGCACTACAACCGCAAGCCGTTTTGCAGTAACACGTAGCCTCAAACTGGGAACCCTGCGGCCCATTCTGCTCGATATGCTTCGTGCACTGCGGCAAGCACGTACCCGTGGTGGACAAACATGGTGGAGTTGTAGTTGGCGCGATTGACACCCCCCTTCGTGAGGGCTGGGGTTACAGCAGCGAGCGGCGAGCTGAGAGTGAGCGTTGTTGGAGCGGCAGATACCGAGCTCGGACATGCATCCGCGAAAAATGTGGTGGTCGGAACACTCGCAGAAATGAAAGTAATTCATCGAGCTGAGCGCATGGTTGACGAGGGTGCATGAGACGCTGGGTGAGATGGTGGTCTACGAGGAGTAGGCTACTGTCATGCTGGCGGTTGTTGCTTGGCTGGGACGCAAGGAGTAGGTGTCTTGATTGGAGAAGTGATCGTAAAGAACGAGATTCTTTATTATATATGATAAGTATCTTAAGTATCTATCGCTAGGAAAACAGGCAAAGCGTCAGTAACAACATAAAGCATCTCAGAATTGACATGATTGCTTCACATACTTCAGCGCAGATATAATTGATGGCCTAGAGTCAAAATCCACCGTCGTGTAGACTGCCCGGCATAAAAAGCGTTATATGTATAGAATCCGAAACTGCCTCTCTTAGCATCGCGTCTCGTGTGAGCATTGAATAGGCGATAGACTTTCAGTAGCTCTTTTCATTCATCGCGTTGAATGTCGTGAAGACCTTCCTCATCGCCTCAGATAGATTTCACTTCTCCTTGCCCATCTCGAGATCTCATTCCTATTTCGATGTCAAAGTACTCGTCATCTGAGCCATCTGAGTCATTGATCCCAGTGAAATAGTCCGGATCTGCCCCATACTCTAGCAAAAGATCTGCGACCACCTGATGACCTTGCGTGATCGCCTCTTGGTAGGCTTCACTGTATGACTCTCTCGCCCTCGGGTATGTTCCGTTGTCGAGTATCAACTTTACAATGCCAACGCGGCCGGCACGAGCAGCGAGAACCAAGGAAGCAAGGCCCCTCAGACCGTAATAAGCCGAGGCTGCCTCAATGGTGATTTTTGCGCCCCTTTCCAGGAGGAGCCGTACGATCGACTCCCGACCTTCCATCACTGCGTAGTCTAGCGTGGAGGCGTAGACACTACGCTGATTGACATTTGCACCGTGGTCGAGCAGCAATCGGACCACGCCCTCGTGCCCCTTGTCCGCTGCAACTTGGAGAGGAGTGCTCAGACTTTTCACCAGGCCGGTAGTGGACTCGGTGGGAGGGTCTGCACTCACTCCTTGCTCTAGAAGTATCTTGCAAATATCGAGTAGGCCAAGTCTAGATGCGTGATAAAGGCGCCCCTCCAGTTTGAGGTCTGCGCCATCGTCTGCTGTCTCTTCCATGACTTGAAAATTGCCAAAATAGGGGCCGAAAGGCACGATTAGCCAGTTGGCGAAGGAAAAGTTTTGGGCGAGAAAGAATTCCTTCAAGATAGAAATGATACGAGTATCGCGGTTCAGATCTCCGGAACCGCTGACATGAAACTCCCACTCTTGGGCAGAGTACCGGAGTAGAGGATACTCGGACAGATACTCAGCTGTAGAGTCACTCAGTGGTTGTTTGAAGTGCATTAGATAAGCAAGGCATGATCTGGCTAGAAAAACATTTGTGGAGGCTTCACTGATGCTGTAGAAAGCCGCTCTGGCTGTTTTGATTCGCTCCGAGACGAGATACTCTTTGACGGAGTCGTGCGCCAAGCGTACCTCATAGTGACGAGGATAGTCTTGCTCATGCTCGTCCGAAGATTCTGTTTCTGACCGGCTGTCAGCAGAACGGGCATCTTCGACTACAGACACTCGCTCTGGCACACCAGATGGAAAAGTGGAACCATGCTCTAAAGAGATACTACCAGACGAGCTCGTATCCCCCTTCGGCCGGCTAGCATGGAAGTAGGTATTTTCGTATGTGGACACCAGCTCTGGCAATGGTTGCGGGAGAGAAGAGCCTCCCCTTAATGATGACTTGAAAGATAAGCCGATGGGTCTAGTCGATACAGATATCAGACTAGAGCAGATGGCTAGGATATCTGTGGGGTGACGGAGTCGATCTTCAGGATCGAATCTAGGTAGATCGTCCAGTGTTATTGCAGTAGCTTCGGCGATTTCTTTTAATTCCAGTGGTCTCGCAGAAAAAGCAAGCCACTGCAAAACTTTCAAGGCGTCTTCAGCATGGTCTTCGTCGATGTTGCACAGTATACGCTCGTAAGTATCGTCTAACGTTTTTGGAAGCGAAGCCAAAGCTTTCCGGAGGGCGGATGGCTTGATGCACTTACGCAAGGTATCTAATTGACAGACAGCCCAACGAAACCTTAGTTAAATTAGCTAGGGAAGCAATGGACAGCAGTTGACCGAAGATTCGAGGAAAAATCGATTAGAGAATAGTCTTACATTCCCTTGGAGCCTTCGTATAGGGTCTTCTCAACGTCGAGTTTAATATCTTCAGACCATTGACTCAATTCAGGATCACCGCGAAGACATTCGCGAACGAGCAGCTTTATGTCGGCATCCACGAGATGGTTCTGAATCTGGACCTGGTCAGTGGTTAAGAGTCGAAATCCTTTCTCTATAGTTATCTCTTTTCGGCTTGTGACGAGGATGTGCAGATTTTGATTCTGCCAGCCACGAATCTCATCAATCAATGAAATCACTGCTGGTATATCTACACACTCATCGAGTGCGTCCACAATGAAGTAAATCTCCTTGAACTGCTCAGTGAGTTCTCTCAAAGCTTGAGCCAAACTTTTAGTGGTCGGTTTCCTCTGACCTTCGCCACATTCCATGAAAAGTGCCTCCATTGTCTTTGAACTCTCTGAACATTGACCAAATAGCTGAGTAACTAGCGAGCGCACGAGACCCTCGCAAGTCTGTTTCTTGATTTCGTTGAAGTCGAAATAGTAAAACGCTAGAATGCTGTGAGCATTCGTCTGGCACGTGGGAGCAATGTCGTCGATGATGGTAGAGCATAGTACAGTTTTACCACAGCCAGGGATTCCATGAAGCCAAAGAAATGATGCTCTTTGGTTCCTCCAGTTGATGTAGTTCAAACTTTCTAGAAACCAACGTCCCGTCTCCCGCTGTTTGGTCTGACAGGCTTTAATATGGTTTGAAGATGGGTCTGGCGCCGCTAGCCATCCGAAAATCTGTGCGATCCTCTGCTTTCTGGCCACAGTTTGAAGTCTTTCGGTCAAAGTGACCAAAGTCTCTTCGGTCCTGGATGTGACGTTTTTTATTGCTAAGGTGATAGTGGTCTGATCCGCTGTTAAAGCAAGCTGGAAAAGTCCCCGCTGGCGGGCTAAGGTACCAAGGGTCTTCTGGACATCCTTCTCCTTGAGAGGCCAGATTAAAACTCGCCCAACCTGCTTGAGGCGACCTTGTGCTGGGGCCAACTTGAGTTCTAGTTGCTTCAATTCTACCTTGCATATTTCGAGGGGCCCCCCGAATGGTTGAGCGAGTCCAAGGCGGGCAATGCTATCGAGGCCGAGTCGTCCTGGGAGTTTGCGATGTCTACAAGTCTCTCAAGAATGTTTCGAAGGCTCCGCAGCTCGTGCGTGATCTTGACGACATCCTTGGGGTAGTGCCGAGTGCCGTTTTGGTAATCGTAGCAGAAAGATGCTACGGTTCCGATGATCTGAAGTATAGTAATGATAGAGGAGGCAGCTCCTATCACCTCCATGACTGAAAGGTTCTAAAACTGTATGGATGAGTACATGCGGTACTTGAGCACCGACCAAGGATAGGAAATGAGGCTAGCTGCCGAGAAGGGTAGCACTTACTGTCGAGAGTGCAATCCAACGCCTCCAGCTGGCTGACTCATTATCTGAGCCGAATTTCGAGCCTGCCCAAACACTGCGCGCGGGCTTCGAATCGAAGAGTAAGACCGTTCTTCTGGGCTGGCGAGCGCGGCAGTACACTTCGGCAAGGCTTCCAAACGAATTCTGAGCGCAGCAATGTTGCATTTGTCGCCTCCGTCTCAGACTCTTGGATTTTGTACCGCTTTGACTGTAGATTATAATGCTTCAAGGGGACACCAAGAACAAAAAAAGAAACATGAAGCAAATCGACAAATGGTTCAGCCTGTCAGCCCGCCTCTGCATGAAGCTAGTCTCAATGCCAAGTCCCGAAAGAGGAAGGTGCTTGAGCGCGAACGCCACAGCTGAAGAACTTGTTGGCGTCTGATACGTTGACACCCGCCTCACATCCGGGCACTGTGTCCGGGTACGATGGGGGTCAGACCCGACATACTCTGCCTCGCATTTTCAATGGCACTTTCCGGATCAGCCTACCGTTGACCCCCAAAGGGCTAGTCTGTTCACGATCCAGCGCACCGAAAGAGTGTAGCCAGCAAGACCACGGCACTTAAATCACTCAAGACTGCGCCCCACCCGACCAGCCTGGAAGTCGTACCCGGATGCCGGGGGTGGGGGCGGGGTTTGTCAACGTACCTAGCCCCAAGCTGTTCTGGCTCACTCATCATTAATTTTCCTTTGGCCAGTAGTACGGCCCACATACTTGTACTGATGCCCCGTTCCGTTACCCCAAATCAGCTTCTTTGCCAGTAGGCAAGACTGGCACACCGAATGGATAGTGAAACCGGAGCCAGATATAAAGAGAGTCGATCATCAACTATCTGCCCACCCCCCTTCTATGCATGACTCTGACACTGCGCGATTGTGAAACAACCATTTTGTTCCTAGCGCCTTCCCCACATCCGTGTCGAAACAATTCATTTCGGTGATGAAACAATGATTGTATCGTTTCAAATCTGCCTTTTAAAAATCGATTCGTATCCATGGATGCTGACTCTCCAGCCCCTAGCGCCATTACTCCACTAATAGCACTCTTTCATAGCGGACGTAGTCACAAATGTCGTGTCCTACCCTTAAGGACCCCTATATCAAGTCCCATCTCCTCAGAAAATCCTCTCCACGCCCAATCTTCATCCTCCACCTCCCTTCCATCAAACCAACCCACCATACCCCACAAAGAAACCCACCACCATGCGTCTCTTCCTCCTCCCCCCCCCCATCGTGCTCTCCACCCTCGCAGCGGCCGGTCCGCTCCCTCACCTTCTCGGCAACAATCCCCAAGCCCGCGCACCCGCTCTAGTGAGTCGAGCCCCCTTCCACCCCCACCGCCAAGAACATTGCTAACACACCTCTCTCTCTCTCTCAAGTCAAGCCAAGAAAGCAGTCTCACAGCGCCCGTGAAGGCCAGATCCGTCCACGACGCCATCCACACGGATAGCAAGGAAGGCTTCGTCGTCCTGCTCAAGCGTGATGTTTTTTCGGATCTGGGGCATATTTTCGATAAGTTCGGGTGCGATGTTGGGGCGTTGGTTGGTGGGCAGTGCGGTTGTCCGGGCGTGGAGTGTTGAGGTTGGTCTGTGTTTTTTTAGCTTGCTGGTTTGGTGGGATGCAGTAGGGTTTACGACGGGCGGAAAGACTTTTGCGCGATGGTGGATGGATGGGTTCTGAATGATGTGAAGGGGATCAAAGGAGTGGGGAGTGGGGAGTTTGGTTTATTTGTTCCTGGATTTTCGGGGAAGAAACCGGAGGCGCAAATCAAGCAAAGTCCAAAGATTTCCGCTCTCGCTATGAGTAATTACCTCGCCCTACAATAGAAACCATTCTGAAATCCAAGAAAACCGACCCACGCACCCCACCCAAATTCCATCCCTCACTCACTCCTCCCCTACCACATGCGCCTCCCCATCCCTCCACCGCCACCCTCATCGCCGGCATCTCCGTCCCCTCCGTCTGCATTTGTTTCCTCAGCACGCGCTCCGCCCTGTACATTTTGTAGAACCGTCGCACTAGAAACCACATCAGTGCTAGCAGGAAGAGTATGAAGACGCCGAATACGATCGACAGGACCTGGAACGGATCGAGGTGTTTCGCCACAGACGCATGTGAAGGCGCGGGGATGGTTGAGCAGAGGGGGGTGGGAAGGGGGAGGAGGGACGTGCTGCTATCGATTGGGCGAATGAAGGGGATGAGAGGGGTTGTTTCTTTTTTGGTGGTTGTGGGATTGGTTGGGGTTGGAGTGGGGGTTTGCGTTTCTGTGGTTGTGATTGATTCTGTAGTTGTGGATATGTCTGTGATGGTGGCGGTCTTGGTGATGAATGAGGTGTCAAAGATTGATTCTGTTACTTCAACCGTGTCCGTGATGTAGACTGTTACCTCGTCGGTGATGAAGACTGTTACCTCGTCGGTGGCGGTGACGGTGACGATTGCGCGGCCTTTTGGGACGCGGGGGGCGAGGGTTATGGTTGAGATGATGGGATTTGCCATGGTTGAGTGTTTCAGAGTAAGTGGATTGAAGTGTTTGACGTTCTTTGTCTGCGAGGCTGAGTGGTGCCGGGAATTTTAGAGGAGTGTGTGAGTGAGTTGATGAAGGGTCTGGCTGATCTGCGCGAGGAAAATCTCGTGTGGAAAATGGGATGAGGATTAGGTTTACGGTGTTGTGCTGCCTTATGTTGGTAACAAAGGGGAGAAGGATTGGGAGTCGCTCTTTATGAAGAACAAAGCCAGCGTTTCCGCAATGCAATGGGATTGTTTGCGCATGGTACAAACACAAAGAGCTTTGATGTCTCACTGCGGTCCCTTTGGTCCTCACCCGAACATCTCCAAGGACACAATCAAAGACGTGAAGCTTAGAGGAATCTTCCTCGTAGGGAATCTCTTTCCACAGCGTTCCGAATCATGCCAGGACCTTAGACAGGCCACTGCAAGTGAGCCCACTGGATTGAGCAGGTTCAAAATCTAGTCGCCAGTGGATTGAAGGAGTGCCAATGTTGATGGTAGGAAGCTGCGCAGTGCGTATCTGCTTGAGGGTATCCCATCCAGGTGTAGACTGGGTCGATCTTCGTCGAAGATGTCCACCCATTGGTGTCGAGGCTGCTGCTGGTAGGACTATAGCCCACGTTGGCGCGTGTGGGGGCCCGGATCCAATTAACGTGGTCCCAGAAGCCGTCGGATTTCTGGTGATTGGCATAAAACTTGCAGATCACGTAAACACTGTTGCCTGTATAAACGCATTTGAAACCTTCCTCCGTGACCACAGATTGTTCCCAGAAGTCAAGCAGAACGCCTAGACTTTCCGTTCAGGTTGTGCCTAGGCTCTCCTTACAGCAGGTGAGAATGCTGAGGGAGTTGACTGTTGGCTCTGAACCTGCGGATTTTGAGAAGCCTAAGACTTCCGTGACTAGTAGAGGGGGGGTCGATTGATCCCGGCCTACCGCGTCTCACCGGATCCGGCAGAGGGGCCTCGGGGTCGAGAGGGTTTAGTGATATGATGAGAGCAGCATCATCAGCGGCGGAGTTGATATCATGAGGTGCAGCATTCGCAAGAACGGAACATCCAAAGATAACACTGATGGGTAAGACACCGAGCTTGATCAAAGCCATTGGTGACATTGTGGGGACATATTAGTATTATCGCAAAGAACCGAGACTCTGGAAATACAAAGGGTTGTGATTTAGGAAAGATCTGGGTAGATGATCAGGTTTTATGTCCACTGTGTATAATGAATACAGTCTAACAATAGGTAAAAGCTCGATTTAGGTCTCCACGCGGAGGACGACCATACGAGCCCTGGCCGATTAACACTGCCTCACCCGGGGAAGAGACAGCAGCGTCCCCAAAAGGCTGTTTCAGAGACTGCATTGACAAATTAGATGATGCCAAGTCTACTGGTGAGGGTATCAGCGTAGAAGAAGAATCATTCCTGATGAAGGTGGTGTGTCAAGCCCGTCATGGCGTGCATGCTCTGCATAAGCCGTCCATTGACCTTAAAGTCTGCGACGAAATCCGGGGACGGCATGAAAAATGGGTTTCGCTCTTTGAAGCCCAACTCAAACCGTTAAGCCATCAAGAAAGCGAAAGGCTGGCTCGGCACACTCTTGAGGACCGTCCCGTCCCGCCGGGTCGAATCCGCCACGGAGGCCGCATTGGGCCCCAACGTCCCGTGCGCACGGCATTAGCTTACAGCACTAGCAGTGTGTCGATGACCCCTCTTAGATGTGGTCTTATTTCAACTCGGGCAGCGTTGATGAACCGCTTTGTTCTAGTATATTTTTTGCAGAGGGTTCGTGGTACCCCTTGCCTTCTTTCCGGAGGAACAACGAACAACGTTTTGTCTGAACCCGGAAGGAGGAGGCGCAAGGGACTTACGAAGCCCGGCAGTGTCCCGGATAGAAATTTGCAGACAACGGATCGTACGGGAAACCCAGACTTCGTGCTTTCATGCGAGAGTCGTGAGACAGTGACCAACAACCCGTATATCCAACGCGTTCATATCAGTCCGGTGCGGCGATGAACTCACCCCGACGATTATCTGAGAAAGATATACGGAGTACTTTTGCTAACGCGCAAGCCAAAAGAAAGGTTGCGCTGCCCAAGTTGATCGAGCAAAGTAGAGCACCAACGAGCTTGGTCGCCATCACATTCTTGAAAACGATTCCGCGCTATCCACAGCGGCAGCAAAACGAGAGTCTTACCGATGACTCCATTCTCAGGTTTCAGGCAGAAGCGGACAGACTGGCGAATGTTAGTTGCGAATATGTAAGAAAGTCCTATGTAACTTTCGACCCTGGAGGTGTTGTAGAGCGGATCACGGAGGTCACTTGATTCAGTATTTGCAGCTTCTGAGTATGACTGTGTTGTTCGAAGGAGATCGACCATGGTATCGTAGAGAAGGATCATGGATGACCAATACAGAAGGTAGAGCCGCGCAGTGATAGGTTCGGAAATGAGAATTCGGGCTGCGATGTGTCAGGATCCGAAGTCTCCTGTAGTGTTGAGGTAATAGTGTGCTGGCAAAGTGACAGACGAGCCGTCATCGTGTGGAACCAGTCTAGAAATGCTTTCTCCAGTCGGAAAGCCATTTGAAGAAGGGCTGACCACCTTGCGTACGCTTCGACGCTCGCTGGCAACACCATTGATTCATCGCACTGCTGAAGTACTGTCGGGAGAGAGGTGATCATGCGCAATAGTGCTCCATACATATCGTCCCCAAACCGGTCAACGGTACTTCGCCACCACTTGGATGTGGAAAAACAAGATGGTTTTCGAGCACCAAGAGCGTCGAAAATGCAGATAGTCTCAAGAAAATGGAAAGACAATTGATGACTAAAAGCGCACACATCAAGCTTCGGGAAGGCGTTCAGGTAGGAAGAGGCTCCTTCGATATGGTACATCCAGCCACGGCTTTCGTTGGCGTTAGTTCCCTGGAGCAGTTCGTAAGTAGCAAGCGCCATGGCCGTTGCGAAGATCTCGGCTTTAAATGCTTGAGTGGGTTCTGCTATCACTCCCTGAAACGCTTGCAGTGCCCTGTCGTAGAATGTGAGACTGCTTCGTAATAGCCAACGTTCCTGCATGACATGACTGATCTGCACGAGGCAGAGAGCCTGGATGGAAGAGTCCAGGACATCGTTTTTGTTGACAAGGTCTGGGATCAGTTGAGCCCAGTGCGGGCCAGTCTCTAAGGAAAGAGGATCTCCGTTCTGTACCGTGGGGAAGAATGCAGTGGCAGCGTTTGATGTGAATTGCTGGCGGGATACTCGAGCAGCATTAATCTCCGGAGGTATTTCCACCAACAAGTTGAACTTTCGGAACATGGGCGAGTTCTGGTTGATCTCCGAAGATGCGTTTATTTTGCAAGAATGATCCACTTAATCGCGCACCATCGGCCGGAGGTTATACTGTTGCTCTGGTGGCTTAAGACTTGTGTCCAAGGGGCGCGTAAAATCATCCTGGCCCCATTCTTCGAACACGAAACTGAACGGCTCCTTGGGCGATACTTGAGATTCTCCGGATATACCATTGGGGTGCTTGCGTAGTCGATAAGCCTGAACATTGCGGCGTACTTGAGCTCTTCGAGCTATCTTGGCTTCTTCTTCGCTTCGTTGGATAGGTGGACGCCCTCGAGGCATTTCTAATCATAGTCACCCACAGAAGAACGGAAGGCAAGTGCAGCATCAGTGCGTGCTACTATGGGTATCTCGAAGTATTGATGGATGATGATAGATCTAACGAAGGAAAGTAAACGTTCAATTTCCGATTTCCCGAATACGAAGCTAGTCTTCTTACAGGTTAGCGTAAGATCGTGCTTTGTCGATCCCGATCGCATGCTTAAAGAAAATAATCTTTTCAGAAGGCTAAAATTCTCACTCTCTCACCAATGAACCTTTCAGCCTGCAAAGGACAGAAGAAACAGACATACGTCGCTTTCAATGATCTTGTATACGCATATAATTGTCTACTCACTGCAGCTGCAAGCAGCATGAACTCGAAAGAGAGATTGAACGGGATGTTGTTGCATAAGCGGTAATGAGAGGTGTCAACTTCACAGCAGTGACGCCAGTTGCCTGCGTCTTTGAGCGCAGCTTATCACTTCCACTCATATGGTGATTGAAGCAATCACGGAGGCAAGTGAGGCAGATTTTCTCAATGTTCACTCTTAGCCTCATCGACTGTCTCTGAGTACTTGATTATGATACCCTCGTTGAACGATCATGTCTGTGCAGATCTTTTGAGACAGTACACCCACTGGGACTACTCTTGTCAGATGGTGAATGAGATCTAAGACTTCTTGGACGCCACATCAATGCGTTTAAGGCGGCACTTGCCTCTGATACAATGAATCACGGCGCCACGTACGAGTACGGAGCATGCCATGGATCTTGATGTCTCGCCGGCTGTCTGTTCCAGGTGGTATGGTGCATTATCGATGTCGAGGTCTGGAGCTTCTCAGCTGGGTGTGTGGTGAAACAGCGAGACAATCCAAACGCAAAACATCAACTCGGTCCAGCTCGACAAATGCCGTGGCGAAGAATATCCCTTTGAGCGCATGATTGCCATATCCTCAATCCACATTTTGGCATCCAGGGTCCGAGACATCTATCTGATTTGGACAAAGCATTGTTTGTCTTTGGCCCCTCGCGCTAATTCGAATTCGGGAGATCGGCATGGTCCGATATACGCGTGAGACCAAGCATCTACCGAACATCTCCCCGAATGATATGTCGAGATGAGGTTTTTGCTCTGTGAAGAGCTTCGTGGCTGATTGGCTATTCATTTTGGGCCCCTCGGACTTGGCGTAGACTAGGGTGCAGACTGACCTGCCTGAACAGGAAACTGGCTTTCTCGGTCTAACCCGTCCGTGACCTTATCAAGATGCTGCAGCCACACCACCAATTAATTATCAACAAAGGCGATTGTCAGCTCCTATCTAAAAAGAAACAGCGCATTTTCTTGAATTCCGATTTGCACATGATCGACGTCATAGAAAAAAGATTGAGCCAATGATTGTAACGACCACGCATGAGCATCACCAGCGGATGCGCTCGGTTGCAACCATGTTCTGTCATGTGTCTGCATCGAACGAGGAAGCTCAGCGACAATTGGGAGTTTCTCCGAAGGCGAAACCTAAAGCTAAGGGAGAATTTTGCCCCTCCCATGGCCGAGTATATGTATCCGGGTATGGTCGCCATTCTGCAGCTTACCCATCCCAAATTCCCTTTGATTGCTCCACGCCCTCAAGATGCATCTTCAAGTTCTCATTTGTTTCGGCGCCATTGCGCTTACTGCAACGGCCGCTCCTACTTCCACATCTCATGTCGTGCACGAGAAGCGACAATCGGAACCTCTCAACTGGGTAAAATTTTCGCGAGTTGATCCTTCGACTGTCCTACCCGTTCGCATCGGCTTGACGCAGAGCAACCTTGACAATGGCCCACGCCTGCTTGATGAAGTGTGAGCATGCCTCCTCTTATGTATCTTGCCCCTATGCTATCATGTCAACGATGGATGTCTTTGCTTGAGACCTTGTTTCATTCTGGGTTTCTCAGGCTTTTGTAGTATTTTATATTGTTAGCTTGCCAACTCAGATTATTCCATCGCGCAGCGTCCAAATCTTTTCACGTGAAACGCCCCAGGTCACTTATTTGACTTCTATGTTGACTGGAAGTTTAGTTCAAACCCAGCATCACATAGATATGGCCAGCATTACAACGTGGAAGAAATCCATGACATGTTCGCTCCGCAACCAAACACTGTCGAAACGGTGAGCGCATGGCTACAAGACTCCGGAATCGCAGCAAACCGCGTTTCTCGATCCGTCAACAAGCAATGGCTGCAATTCGATGCTACCACTTCCGAAGTAGAAGCGTTGATCAAGGCCGAGTATTACAACTATGCTCACTATGGCACTGGCAAAACCAATATTGGATGCGACGGGTAAGCAACCACCAGCCATACTTGCGAGATCCTGCGTTGACTAGAGATAGATACTCTCTCCCACACCATGTCCGGGAGCATGTAGATTACATCACTCCGGGCTTGAAGCTCTTGACCCCTTCGAGATCTAGGAAGGATCCGGAATTGCAAAAGCGAACTTTTGGTGTAACGAGCAAAAATCAGCACATCACTAAACCAAAGATGAAGGCGTTGCCCGAAACGCTCGCTTCAATCTTGGCGGCACCTCTAAGCTCTATTTGCGATGTGGCTGCAATCCCCTTGTGTATCAAGACTCTTTACAACATCACCACCCCGACCAAGAATGCCGCTGGCAATCAACTGGGAATCTTTGAGGACTTGGATGACATGTACAGTCAAACAGATCTGAATGATTTTTTCTTGACCCTTGCTCCCAATATCCCACAAGGAACCCATCCTACCCTTGACAGCGTTGATGGTGCAACTGCTCCAACCACTGTAACAGATGCCGGACCCGAGTCTGATTTGGACTTCCAAATTTCGTATCCGATCATTTACCCTCAAAACTCTATTCTTTTCCAGACCGACGACGACGTCTATGAGGCCAACTATACTTACGAGGGGTTCCTCAACAACTTCCTTGATGCAATTGATGGCTCCTACTGCACCTACTCGGCCTTTAACGAGACCGGAAACAGCGTTCTCGATCCTCCGTACCCCGACCCTCAACCTGGTGGCTTCAAGGGCTCGCTCGAATGCGGCGTCTACAAGCCAACCAATGTCATCTCTATATCGTACGGTGGCCAGGAAGCCGATCTACCGGCGTCCTACCAGCAACGCCAATGCAACGAATTTATGAAACTCGGCATGCAGGGAATCTCTCTCGTCGTCGCTTCCGGCGATTCCGGCGTAGCGGGTCCAGCTGGTGACGACAGTGCTGACGGCTGTCTTGGTCCCACCGGCAACATCTTCTCCCCTGACTTCCCGGCCACTTGCCCATATCTTACAACCGCCGGTGCGACGTTCCTGCCTCCAGGCGGTGACGTGACCAAAGACCAAGAAGTTGCCGTCACGCGTTTCCCATCTGGCGGCGGCTTCTCCAACATCTACGCCATCCCCAGCTACCAAGCCAGTGCTGTGGCGACTTACTTTTCGACCGCTGGGACTCAGTATCCGTACTACTCAAGCACCAACAACAACAGCTTCGGCGCCAACGGAGGCATCTACAACAAAAATGGACGGGGCTACCCAGACGTTTCTGCCATCGGTGACAACGTTGTCATCTTCAATATGGGCGCTGCAACGCTTATTGGTGGTACATCGGCTGCAGCGCCGACTTTTGCCTCCATTCTGAATCGAATCAATGAGGAAAGGATTGCCGTAGGAAAGAAGACCATTGGATTCGTCAACCCGACACTAGTGAGTGGCCCCCCAGCCATTGAGTGTTAGATGTCCGGCCACTTCCTTGCTGACTGCGCCTCAAGTACTCCAACCCTCAGGTCCTCCATGACATCACCAACGGCAGCAACCCTGGCTGTGGGACTCAAGGGTTTGCGGTCGCCAAGGGATGGGATCCCGGTAAGTGCTCCTGCGCGCCTAGCTTTGACGGTGATACTGACAAGACTACCCGTACTAGTCACTGGTTTGGGCACGCCGAATTATCCTGCGATGTTGAGTTTGTTCATGAGTATGCCATGAGATATGGAAATGGTGACCGCTTCAAATACTTAACTCTTAGGCTTTTGGAGATCTTTTCGGTATGAAAGAATATTTGTCTGTTAGTACTATCTTCGACTTTGCCGCATGCTTCCTTTATCCTTGTATCGCTGAAGACACTCGTACTCAATCCACTACCGCACAAGTATTTCCCCAATACAATCCAATCCTATCCCATTCCATCTCCTCGCCCTCAATCCACAACCCTCACACCCCCACTCTCAACCTCCTAAACCTCCAACCCCCCACCCTCCTCACCCACAAACCCCCTCCTACCCCCCCCCTCTCCAACCTCCCGATCAAAAACATGATCCTCATAACTCGGAGGAGCGTCTCCGAACCCACTCTCCCTCCCTCGCAAACCCTGATCCGGCCTCATCCGACGCTCTGACAACCCATCTCCGTACACAGGCGCAGGCGGCGCCTCGATCTCGTACCGCGGTCGCGTGGACTGACGTCGAGGACGACGTTCGTGGCGAAGGATATCGCTATCATATTCGTACGGATACGAGTGCGGTGGGGGTAGGGAGGAGCGCCGTGGGAGCTGGTGCGGGGGGAAGTGCGGTGGGGAGATGGAAGCCTCGCCGTCGTCGTCGTCGTCGTCCATCTTCATCGTACGACGCCTCCCGTTGCAGAGCGCCACGTTGCGGAGATGATCGATACGGCAATCTGGGAATCTCGCCATCGTGGCCGTACTGATATTCCAGCCGCAGACGTTGTGGCCGCTGCCGCTGGCGCTGAGATCGTACGCCGGGGAACCGCGCTACGTCTTCGTCGTGTCCGTACTCGTAGTCCACGGGCAGGGACTCGCGTCGTGGACGCTGAGCGACCTGGCGTCTGTAACTGGGAACTTCGTCACCGTGCTCGCTCGAGTACTCCAGCTGCAGGGGCTGACGTCGCGGGACTTGGACTTGGCGCCCGGAGAGCTGTTGTTGTGATACGGGTCGTGCTGGCAGGGGAGCTTCGTGCGGGTAGTCGGTGATGGAGACGTCGTTGGCGAGGCAGGAGAGTGTGGCGCCCATTGTTGGTGGAGGGTTGTGCGGTTGCTGGGTTGGGTTGTGGGCGTGGTGGATTGGTGGATGATATGTGGTGATGGGTAGAAGAGTATGGCGTATGAAAGGGAGCTATGAGTGGTCAGAGCAGGTTGTTGTGTGAAAGAGGTGAGAGCTGGGTGTTGAGTTGCTTTCATTGGCATCAACACTACTGATTGTGCCAGCATGCATTTCGGTTCGGCGCCGGAAACAGTCGAGGCTGATGCAAGAGTGAAGCAGCGAAAGTGGTGCGGATGGCTACTATTGCTTTTATCCGCCCAGGTGCCGCGAGGCCTGCTTGGTATCCGCACGCGGATTTCTGCCGTGCCCACCACTTGACATGACACCTGGATCGAAACACCGTGAATTGCTTGTGAAGCACCCAGCGATATCGCCTTGAGTGCAGGATAACAATCTAACTCATAACCCACGACGAAATCAAACTCACATCCTCAAGACCGCCGCCATCCCCCCCCAACAAACGCCAGGCGCATCTCTCACACATTTCCAACCCAACCCCCCACTCTCTCAACTCCACCCTCTATCCTCACAGTACTCCTGCAATCCATGCGCCGTAGAAAGCTTGCTCCTCGCCGTCAGCCGGTCGTACGCATCCTCATACCTGTCCGCCGCGACATCCTGCTCGTATTGCTGCCGATGTTCTCGGTATTCGGGTCCAGGTTTGTATCCGTCTACGTTGGCGATGCGGTGGCTGCGGTAACGGCGGTGAGGGGGTTGGGCGGGTCGGAAGTATTCGTCGTAGTAGTTTGCGGAGGGGCGGGACTGGGCGCAGCCCATTGTTGTTGAGTGGAGTGGAGTGTAGTGGTGGAGAGCACAGATTAAGGGGTGGTGGGTTAGGTGGGAGAATGAGTTGGCTCTGGTGCTCGGGAGGGGATATAATGACGAGATCCGAGGGAGAGGTGTTGTGGTGGCATGTGGATGTGGTGTGTTATGACTTTCCATGTGACATTATACAATGGTGTTCTCTGTGTGGTCCACCGCTCGCTGTGTCTTCGTTCACCGCGCTTCCAGTCATTGTTCGCGAACCACAAAGCAGTGTTATGTGGACACAAAGAACAGCCTCCACTCAGCGCAATGTATCGAGCCCTACGCACTCGGTCTCTGCAGTGGAGGCGTCAAGCTAACACTTCCACGATGGGGTTCCTCTTTGGTTGGTGGTATCAAGGCGTGCACCGCTGGCCTTGTTGTCTCTGCTCCCAAACTGATTTGTTTGGACTTACTGGTGGCGCGGAATCACATTGGCTGTGCATTGAAGTCGCTCGGTCAAGAGACTTGACACGCCGATATTGCCTTCTCTTGACCAAACACTGAGGCTTTGGGTTGCTTCAGAAGAAGCCCATCTGGTATCAGAACGAAAGCTTTTGCGGAAATGATAGAAGAAGGACAGGGACGGAGATGAGTTACCGGAACCCCAAAAATAGTTTCGCCGCAGCCATGCCAATTCTCAATCTCGGTTTTATTTGAAACAAGAAATCCAGCCTTGAAACATTTTGCCATGCGGCCAACCGAGTCTGGTAACCTCTAGGAATGCTTGCCTACCTTTAGTACACACATCTCAACATCTCATTTTCTTTATCAGTGCGATCCTCCCACAACCGCTGCTCCGTCCCCTCGAAATGTGTTGGCTCGTTCTGATCTTCTACCGCCACCGCCACACCAGAATGCATTGCCTTATCCTTACGCCTGTTAGCCCACACATGGTATCAAAACACCACTCCTGCGACCCCGGCCGCGGCAGCCTGGGTCGCCAACAGTGTGATCTTAGCCGGAATGTACCACGGCGCATCTCTGGCTTGGAAAGTCTGCAGCCCAATACCATTCCCTACGCTAAAATTACCCGATACAAGGCTCATGGCAACCACTCTCTGTCGCGCAACGTTGGATGCAGTCCACTGATATATGACGATCAGTGAGGGAGTGATGGCGTTGACGAGATAGACGCCTGTGAGCTGCGCGTAGCGAAGAAGAGGAGTGCGCCGCCGAAGATGCCGGGTATACAGCAGAAGACGAGCCAGGCCCAGCGATGCGAGGTGTAGCGGATGTCGTAACCAACGGTGAGGGTGCTGGGGATAGAGACAAAACCGGAGGGTCTGCCGAGTAGAGCAGATTTGGGCCAGGAGAAGCCGATGGTTTATATAAGGGTTGCGGAGCACGTTGTTAGTACGCCGCTTGAGATTGAGATCTAAGCCGCAAGGTAAATCAGCAATGAGATATCTTCGGAAACCAATAACGCATACCAGGATAGTCAGCAACGTCATGAACCACAGTTGCCCATCAAGCACGACTTCAAGTCCCTGCCTAGCCTTGAATCCTCTATTTCGAATCCTAGTCCGATTAACCGCCACATGCCTCAACAACACCACCTTCTCCCCCTCCCCCAAAACCGCGCCTGCATCGAACCGGACCCCCACCGTCACTGCAATTACCACAGTCACCACCCCCAAGACCGCAAATATGATGCGCCAGCCCTCCAATCCCTCCTTCGTTTCGTCTTTGACCTGCTGAAATGCATACAACAGCATACCACCGGTGATCTGCCCCAGCCCGAGTCCTGCAAACCAGATGCTGAAGCGTGGCGCTTGTTCGGACTTGGTGTACCATCGGCTGCTGCTGAGCATCGGCGAGGGCGCGATGGCGGCTTCAAAGATGCCGAGGAAAAGGTTGTAGGTTTTGATGGTGAAGAGATTAATGACAAGGCGTACAGATGAAATTAAAGAGCACGGGAGGGTGCGATGGCGGCTTCGAAACCCAAGGAAGATGCGTTGGCAAAATTTGATGGTGAAGAGATTGAATGATAAGGCGTACAGATGGCAAGTCAATGCCCATGAATTTCCACACGCGGGTTAGAATCGAAGATTCCTAATGGCATGTGACCATCTTTACAACGCCCTGTACTGCAAGGTAGATGATGCCCGGTCCCAAGCATTCCGTTGAATTTTCTCCCCATCGATTGCCCTCGTCTTTCTACCCTCGCCCACTTTCCTCCCATAGAAACATGGAAACCCGCTATCACCTTTTTTCGATGTTGTAACTCGATTTCTTTCCAGATTAGTTAATTCCGACCAAGCAATCTGTCCTGCAAGCCGATCGAACGGACCAAAATCCGAACACACATCGAGCGAGTCAAGAGCATCATCACGCTCCGAACCTGCCGTCATTGAGGGTTCATGTGGGGAAGCTAGCTGAACAAGGCGAGCCGAGTAGAGTGTGTGATATCTGATTTTGCTGTTTGTAATCTCTGTGACATGATTGGAGGATTTTTGCGAAAGGCGGGACGGGTTTGAAATGTGGGTCTTTCTTTCACGACAGGGTCCTCGAAGTCTCTGTTCTGTTCTGCTGAGACCTGCTTAGTAGTCTGTGATCCATCGTTCCAGTGGATAGTGGTAGGATGATACATCTCGCACAGGGTACTCGCTTGCCTGGACGAATAAACTCAGATGATGCGGTTGCCTTAGAGAACGGGAAGCTGTCGATGAAGAAAGATTGCTGAACAACTCGGAAAGACTTTTGAAAAACTGGAGAGTACTCTGGTAGCCGCGGACTCCTTTACAAGAATGTGACGAGGCATAGTGAATTCGACGATGACCTAAGTTTCGAAATCATCGTACAAGTCACTTGCAACTTCACGGCCCAAGAAGAGTCCGTGTCTGGCAGTCAGCCTCGGCCAGACCAACCAGGTTCGTCGTCGAAAGGCGAGGTACTTCAGAACTGTCGAATCTTATTGAAATCAATTTAATTCTTGCTGACCTCCTGAGACCCAGTGAATCATTGAGAGCAAGCAATGACACATGAACGCAGCTTACTGAAGCTGTCATGTCATTCCTGCTGCACTACACTTCACTCCTCGACACTCCTCGACATCTATAGCCCACAATAGCACAACCATTGACCTCTTCTTAATCATCCCCCCTCCCTCCCTCCCCCCTCACCACCTCCACCTCCATCAAGGTTCATTCGACTATGACTAAACTGGAGGAATACCGCATCACCGGTCCCTCCCCGCCTCCCCTCAACAGCAACCTGTCAACTTGAACAAACCCAGACATCCAAATAGACCTACGACATGGCTTCAAACCCAGCCTCGTTTACTATCAGCGCCCTACACATCTCCTTCCAAACGACCCCAAGCTCACGATATTTTCCTGTCTTACCTCGCCCATCTCACACTCCTTTGCAAAGCGCAGCAACGCATCGTACTCGAATCCCGCCTCACAATCCTCCACTCCACCGCACCCAGCCCTCCTCCCGTCGCCTTCCCGACCACCGCATTTTCATTGGTACAGAAGAGATGGCCTACTCCAGAAGGCCAAGCGAACATTCGCCCACCTCTTCGCTGAAAACACTTATCGCTATTACGGCTGTGTGACCGTGCTGCCTGTGATGAGACTCAGGTGTGAGGTGACGATGCTGGCTGAGAATTGTGGAGGGCGGGGAGCTGGGGAGCGGTGTGGAGGAATGGGATTGTGGTTAGGAGGGAGGAGAAACGGGGGCTAGGGGTAGAGAATGGAGAGGCTGTGGGGCTTACTGGGCTGGAAAAAGGAGGGCGGTGTTCGTCGCGGTTGGAGAGGTGGAGGGTTGAGAGAAAAGCAGGCTGGGATGGTGGGAATGTTGTCGGACAGATCGTGGGACATGCAGTGGTTATTGTGGAGGCTTTTGGAGTCAGGCATTGATCTCATAACCTAATAGCTGCTAAAGATGCAAGACTTGCGTCAATCCATGTCCGATCTAGCCAGATAGCACTACCATATTCATTATCTCATTGTGCTGTAGCTCGTGCGTGCTTTGGAACGGCACAACAGCTGGATTCTCCTTGGCGCCTTGACAAGTCCAAGCGTGCCCATACTCCGCGCAAAGCAACCTGTGACTTGACCCTCCGAGTTTTGTGCCTAGCGATGCCGAGCATGAAATTCCAAACACGTACCGATTTCATATTTCCCAACCGCCTTCTTCTGCACCCTCTTCTTCCCCGGCCCCCGCGCTCTGCTCGAATTCTCTCCTCACCAAATCGTCGCTGAAAGTGAAAGTATTGAGAGTGAATGGCAGTAGAGCAGTCTCCGTATAGACTTGTCTGCAGACACGTAAAAGGCCGAGGTGGTAATCAGTGATGGAAGGCTTGGTCCTGGGGAAAGAATCGGCCGTGGAATGATAGGGAACGTCCGCACCGGTGACGATAGTGGCCGTACTGTGCTGATCGGGGTCCCTGGGGTTGTAAGTTTTTTCTGGCTTCTCCAATTCGACTTTGGAATCACTGTGGGCAATCCACAACTGCTTCCCGCCGAGCACGAGCCCGTAGATTCGGACGCGGGTTTCGGGAGGGAGGCGAAAGAGAGGGGAGGCGGCATAGTTGCGGCTCATACTACTACTGGTCAGCAATGACTCGAGTGAGAGTTAGAAAGAGGGGCAACAAACGTTTCTTTTTGGGGAGCTGATACGTCACGTTTATACGGTTTGAATAGGTCGGTTTCGAGCTTTTGAAATCGTCGGGCCTCCGTTTCTTCAAAGTCTATATTTTTTGTCGTTGGGTGCCATTCTTTAATCGTACACACCATGGCTGCTGTAGTGGCGTCAATGTAGGATGAGGGAACAGCCGCTACTGCTCAAGGGTGGCATACAACGTTGAAACTGCCGAGATGGTAAGGACCGAATTCAAATTGACTCGTTACAAAGCTCTGATGTTGGCTTTTATCGGCGTTTCCAAGCTGCTGTGTGAATTGACTAGTAAGTAATATATGGAAATGTAACGACAGACCAAACGCGGGTGTTGAAAAGGTGACAGGCCTTTCCATTGCGCTTGCCTCAACTCACGCCAGCCGGAAATCCTGTAGATCGACCCCGCGTTCTTTTGATGCCTCCGGGCTCATCCTTGGGTCGTATCCGACCTTTACTTTACCAATGTCGACATTCGAAAAGAAATTGACTACGTTATCATAAGGATGACCCACCAGACACCATCCCGGTGGTATAGGTATATCGTCAAGCCGAGGATGATCAAGTCGAACTTTACCAGTCATGTCGTTCACCGACACCACGTAGACCTGGTATGCTCGTGGGCAATAACGCATCACGCGCCCCCAGTCACTCGGCATGGGACCAAGAAAGGCCGCGCCGTCCATCATTCCATGCATGTAGCACTCACCCACCACTTTGTAACTGTCAAGCCCATCCGGTCGCCAAGACTAAAGGAGTGCGGCATCCGGGAAGGACGCAGATGTGATCTCCGGCTTTGATGGTGCTTGGTGCTAAGCCCGATGTAGCCATCTGTGGTGATGAAAAACACCCGTTCCTGGACCGCTCGAACTACATACCCTGTAAACCATCGATAAGGGGTAGGTCTCTTGGACTCCATCACTCTGAGCAGGTAGTCCTTGCTCTTCTTGAAGTCTGGGTATCCTTGCGGCAGGGAAAGACTAGATTCAGAGAATTGGTCGCAACATAGTGTGCGACAAAGGGCCTCGATCATGCTAACCCCAGCTATGTAGTTGTTTTACTTCAGCTTCGGTTTCAAAAGCTGCTGGAATGACAATGCTGTGCCGGCTTGTGGCGACACGCCCAGGTCATCCCAGAATAGGATCGCCTCGATAGTGCCAAGTTGTTCCTGCGCGACAACCGGTCGCTATCATGACACTTTCATTTTGGACAACAGCATGTGCCTTAGACCCTGAAGGAGCCCCGAAATCCCGGAGTCTTGTGCATTTCCTGCTCCTGGTGAAGTCTGGAAACCAAGACGGAAGAGCTTCAACGTTGATTTCGCCCAATTTGCATTGAGAAAAAGTCTCAACCCCTGTGTCAAATTCAGATCAAGTACAATGAGCCCTTTGTAGACCTCACTTGTACTTTTCGAGTAATCGGGCTCAAGACCAGACCGATCAGAGATACGTATTAAGCTCAGATTTGCATAAACTCTGTCCCTGTCATCGGAGTACTGAAATCCGCTGGTTTGTTCCAGAAGATCATGCCAATTGCGCAGTGTTCCATCATAGTTGATGATGATGTGGAACACCCGTTCTATGCCAGAGAGGAGTTCGCTTGCTTTGCGTGTAGGTTTGACGTGCAAGCAGAGAATCGCACTACGAAAGCTGGCCCATGATAGACTATCGTAACCACAACGGATCCCAGCTCCATTTCTGGCCAGACGAATCTCCTGCCAAATCCAGAGACGTGTGAACCAGGCACGGTCTAGTAGATGTGCTATTGAATTAATGATGTCCTGGTTGCGCGCAAAGGAAGTGGTTCCTTGGTCCACTGGTGATAATCTTCTCCTGACAACGGGGTAATACCCTGTGTTGTCCAATTGACTTCAATTTCAGATCCCCGATCGGTCAATGCCCCAATTGCTAGCGCGCTTCCATCACGTCCGGGACCTAGCCAAACAATGACCACTCTAGCCTTGGAGTATACGCCAGTCATCCTAGCGACTTGGTGGCCCCTCTCGGAGATATTCTGCCGGTCAACACAGATGGCGTCAATCCACAGAACGCGTGACCTGCCACCATCATACCGTAGGTACTGCAACGCTTCTGCACGGTTCTGTGTCACAGCAAGCCTGCCTGCTGCCTCCGTCCACTCCGTCAATCCGTAGGTCAACAGGATTCTCTGTGGAACCCCACGTGTAGGGAAGCGCCTCGTACGTCGGGATTTGACTACCTGACAATACCATGGTCTCAAGCTTGATGTGGATTTCTGTTCCGGAAATTCCATGCAGCAGAATTATGAGCCTTATCTCCGAAGCTTCTTTGTTGAGAGGTGTGTATTTGTAGCGATTACCAGTGGACCGGGGAGTAGTCCGGGGGGAAGGACTTCTAGATAAGTCTCATCGATTGCAGCTAATTAGGGCCCTCATTTCGGCCGCGGTGGGCTTCCTAGCCTTGGCCTTTGGGGCAGGTTGCTGGACTCCCATAATTTGGCTGAGCTTATGCCCAGGCCCATCGGTCTTCCTTCGAACGAGTAACGACGCCTGTAGTGAAGAATTTGGACGGTAAAGACGATGTTTTGTTGGCGAAAACAAGGCTGAAGGTAGGGTACGGCCGAGATTGATCTGGGAGCCAGTAAGTCGCTTTACGAGGTGCAGCCATACGGCAGTAGCTTCTCGCAAAGTCTATACAGACTACTGAATTTTCAATTCAAGATGGCAGTGGAAGGATGGAAGGCAAATACGATGGAGAAAGAGCGAACGAAGCCCCACCAACTCCGCGAAGCTGCGATACGCAAGCAGCTAGACCCTTTCTAGCCCTAGCGTCGTCGTCTCCTGAAAGACATTCTCGACACACCCGCCTTCTAAGTCGCTTTTCACCCCTCATCTCTGTGAACTGGAGGTCCCATCCCGAAGTCAATACTACTTCTGTGGGTGCGCCAAATAAGCTATTGCGGAGTACAGTGTAACCACTAGCTAGTATACAATGGCAGAAATCCGATTTGCCCCCTAAAGTAGCCAATACTTTCTAGCAGGAGCCTCGTACTAGTACTCCTCCTCTATTCACCCTCGCCCAAGAGATGCCTCCTCTCCCAAGCTCCGACGGCGCTCGTTCCTCAATGATTCCGTTTCGAAACTCATCACCCTCTGCGCAATACCTTGCGGTCCGTTGCGCACAACCTCGTAGAAGTTTGTTGTGCCTAGTTATGAGAGAGACGCGGGATGTAAAAAAAAGGTACAACCATGGCTTATGATTCGCCCTTCCCACTTTCAGAATTTTTGGCTAGTATATGTGTGTAGGATGACTATGTACCTATCTATCTATCTATCTATTTATATATACAGATATACAAATATACAAACGCCTTCCTTCCTTACTTACTTTACCCCCAACCCGATATCCCCGGCCACCACCACCGCCAAGGAAACCGTCTCCTTCACAGTCGCGAATACGAGCCTCCCACCGTGCTGTGCTGTGCTGTGCCGAGTCTGCCCCACCCCACCCCACCCCTTCCCAGCCCCATCCTTCGTATCCGAGCCCCGTCGTCCCTCCGTCCGCGCGCTGGACGTGGCGAGTGATATGGTAGTGGCTATGTACGTACAATGGAACGGCTAGATGTTCTTGTGCTTGGTATTCTAGGGGATGGGTTGTTAAATTTGGAGGTAAGTACCATGTAAACATGTATACACGTACCACCCATGCCAAGGCAAGCACATAAGGCTGACGGCGGGGAAAAAATTCCATCGGCGTGATTTGGAGGCTTGGCCCCCGCGCTGACGTGTGCGTCATTGTGCATCGCGCCACGTTGGGGGTTCAAGTGGAGGGAGAGGGGGTTGGTCATTGGTCTTGTGATCGGTCTACCGTTTTTGGCCCTCGCTGCGGATCGATCGATGGATGGATGGGTCTGGGATGGGTGGGTCGAGGAAGAGAGGGGTTGTGTACCGGGGTGGAATGCGAAGGTGCTGCGGACGGGTATGCGGTGTGTGGGAAGTGGGGTGGGGGAGGGGGACGGGTAGAAGGTTTTCTGTCGAATCGGTTGTCATTTATTCGCTGCGGCGGGGAAGGTTGGCAGAATGCGGCAGGGAGATTTGTTAATCAGTGCAGGCGAGAGAGGGAAAGTGCGGTGGGATTGGGTGGATGAAAGGGGCAAGATATTTGTAATATTACATTGAACAGGGATGGGATTGCGCAAGGCTTTGAGATAAGCACGCATGAATCCTCCGAAGGCTCGAGCCACACGTCCATCTTTCCGTCAATTCCCCGCAAAGACTTCTCGAGTCGGACTTATTAATTCGGATCCCTTTTACATAGGACCTGAGCCCATACCGTAGCCGTAGTCATGGTGTTGTGGGCCCGTGTACCCATGGTGCTCTGGGACCGTAGAGTCACAAAGCATCCCATGTTGGACTGGGATCGGCCACCACCCTTCGTCGCTCATAGGAGGCAGATTGTGCCTGTAGGCTTGCGGATACATCACTTCCGGCTGCCAATGATTCCAATGTTGACCGTCTTCTGGGGTTTTCGCCATGCCTGTGTGGTCGTTCGGACTGCTACTGCCATTATCCGACACTGTGAACTGTGAATGCTTGACTTTGCGAAGCTGCGTCATCTTGTCAAGTTCCTCGGCTAGGAGTTGGAGAAGGCTTCTGCTTCTCTCCGTGCTGCTCAGGTGGGGAGTAGCTTCGAAGACATGGTCTAGGACCTGGTTGATGCGATCGGCGTAGCGGGTAGAGGGTTCGCGATAGACTTCCATGAGGAGATAGATAGATCCCTGGTATTGCTGGTATGCTCTGGCGTACCAGGCCCAGGGTGCGAGGTCCGGGTCGGTGTCGAGGGCGACGGCGCATTCGCATACTGCAAGGCAAGATTCGACGAGTCTATAGATTATAAGTAAGCCTCGGAACGTTGGAGAAGTTGCTGCTGGCTCTGTGGGAAGGGAGATAGGCGTACGTTTCTCGGATGTTCATCTGCAATTCACTCTTAACGTCCATTTGCCAATGTTGATGTAATAGCATCGCATCGAATCTCGCGGTAAAGAGCCGCCCAACAAGTTTGGCGCAGCGCTGGATGGGTATGGCTTTGTCGAGATGATGAAGGTATTTGCGCTCGATGCGAGCTTCCTGCTCACCAACCTTCTTCCGGGCGGTCTTGAGATCAGTCTGGCCATTTTCTATTGCCAACCGCTGTGCGTAGATGAGTCTGATCACTATGCAGCATTCATATTGTATGATAGAAAAAGTCGCGTCTGTCCACCCAGACGTAGGGACTGACTTATTGTCTGGCCAGTCGAGAGCGTCATCGTTGATGTTCAACGGCAGTGTCGTATCGAAGCTACCATCGCGGATTACTGGTTGAGGTCCTTGAGCCTCGGTAGTGAGGAGGTCGAGAAAGCAAATCTGGTGCCAAAGCAGTCTGCGTACTTGACCTTCGACGGGATCCATGCTTGGACCGCTAGAATCGCGATTGAGACCAGCACTCATTGCAAGGCGGATGAGCGTTCCGACGTAGACGGTATGCGACCTTGAGATTTCTGCACGATATTGAGGGATCTGTCGTACGTTAGACAAGTGCATTGCTCTTGACCGAAGAAATTAGAGCTTACTAGGTAGACCGTGAAAGCCTGAAGAGTCTGTACGTTGACAGAGCTCATGGCATTGGCATCGGTCAAAGCCCTCTCGGTCGCAATTTTGAGCCTGCCGACAAGCGTCTGTTGCGTGACGCCCAATACCTCCTCGGCTTGCATAGATGGTAGACTGACTGCGGCGGCCAGACACATTGCGAGAAGAAGGGCTTTGAAAGATACGGGAGCAGCGTCAATGACCTGACTATGCAGCAAGTACTTGCGACAATCTCTTTCAAAAGAGGGCTTGTGAATGATGTGAGCAAGAGAGTCCACGGCAGACCAATATTGGTAGTAAAGTAGAGTGAGCTCATCGCCAGTTGGGAGCTCAAGCCCGGGTTGAGGGAGAAAGGACTGTGATGCGGTGGTCAGAAAGCCAGATGAAGGCTCGAGGGGTAGAACCCGTTTGACCAGAGCAAAAGCTGATGCGGCCCCCAGGTGGGTTGGACGCTGAACCATGGGTGCGCCATAGGCAGTCTGGGGGGTGTATGGGCGCGCGGTATGATCTGTGTCAGATAGAAGAGCATCAAGCTACAGAGAATAATGTTAGCTCTGAGTTGTGGGTGCTCTCCGGGTGTCACAGGTACCACCGAAGAAGGTTGCGCCCGAGAGAGGAATGAAAAGGTACTCACCTGACTGGCGACATGAGGCCTGAAGAAGCCTCCGATTTTTTCCGTGATGCTAAGTCTCCCAACCTGTATGGCCACATCTAAAGGCTCGTCATCTGCATCCATGTCGTAAAGTCCATGGTGCTTGGCAAGCGCGTCTGAGTCACAGCCAAGGCGGTGGTGAGTAGACGGAGAAGTTTGGACAAGACCGGTATGTTGGTTGGATTCGTATGATGGAAAAGCTCGGCCGCCACCTTGGGCCGGACTCTGGGCACTGCCTTCCCCATTGGCGTTATTTGGCGCACCGGACGGCCAGTCAGGGAAGGCAAGATACACGCAGTCCCTGCAGAATCTGTTGCAATTCTGGCACGGCCGTGATCTATTGCATCGCATTTTCCGGCGACGACATTCCAGACATGATCTTATAGCCCTTCCTCTACGGTAGCCTTGGTTTTCTTCGGCGCGGGGACTGGTCGGGGTCGCCGGGACCGCAGGGCGAGCCCTGGGGGCGGGCTTTGTCAAGGACATGGTATTGCCAGGATACACACGGATGTCCGATCAATCATAAGAAGTCGTTGGAGTTTAATATGAAGACCTACGTCTCAGACCTGAGGTAAAGAGGGTATTATGAAATCCGCAAGCTGAACCTTTTCGAGAAGGCTGCGTCGCTTCAGACTTTCATGTACGTCAGGCTTACGCTTGGCCTAATCAAAATTAGGTATTCACCCAGTGCTGTATCATCCTCGGTATGTTCAGGTACCAATCAGCCTTCTTTCCCACATGGATCGATTTACCCCCTATTATACCCTGCGTGCATAGGGGACCATAGGGGTGCAGGACTGTTGCTCGTGACTCTCCGGAGCAGTCGAGCCGAGACGTAGGGTTGTCCAGTCGGAGAATTCCATTATGCATGGGCGTTCAGGGATGAGTGATATGCTCGTATCCCGCGAGGACTTCATATCCAATCACTGGGCTGCTCATCAGGAAGATCCCGTGTTTTTTTTTTTTTTTTTTTTTAATCTCTCTCGGCACCAGAAAGTACCTTAGAAGTGGCGAGGGGATATTCATTTCCCTCCACGTTAGAGTCTGCCACGTATAGCGGTCTGCATTTGACGATGAATGAGAGATATTTGAATCATGGGTCATCTTCGCGCAGATGGAAAGATATTTGATTGGAGAGCAAGCCTGTCAATTATGCATTATGCATGATGAAGAAGAAGGAGGGTGACCGGAGAAGTGACCTTCTTTGCTGCTTCGGCATCTCGGAGTTCGGATAAGGCTGACTCTTGGCTTCCACTATGATTCTGATAAGGTAAGCTCCCGCCTAAGCGAGGCTTAGCGCACCTATCATTCTTCAAGCCGGAGGAAAGCGAAAGGATTTTCTATTTCTCCCCGGCACCCGTTACAAATCCTTCACCGCTCGCCTTCTTTTCAATCTAATCTCTTCACAGTAAACAGAAATCAGAGATCAGATTATAGACGCCTTGAAAACATCGTATTCGTTCCCCTTTTTCAAAGAGAGCAAATCCAAATTCGAATTCACCTTCAGTCATAATCATCGCTCAGCTGTCTAAGTACTCTTCAGCCTGTACGCCAGTGAAGTCCTTCGTGGGACAAATTCATTGCTGCCTTGTCTGCCTTTTGCTACAACACCTTCAATCAGCTGTGAACCTGTGAAGAACAGCTGGAGAGTCCCAAGGCATCTCTGCCAATCGCAACCGATCGCAAGGGAGATCTTGCGTTGATAGGGAGCGCCGACGTGCATGCTTGGGAGTTACGTGTTCTTCTTACCCGGGCGAGTCAACGGAGGAGCCAATCGCATCTCTGCGCTCTGGCGTTTAACTTATATCCGCACCAATGAAGGGCCAAAACCCCCTCGCTGTGCCACATGCGTCGTGCATCGGGGGTGACCGCTCTTTGATGCTGGTGATGCATTGAGTTCATGCATGTGCCCGGGACTTGCATGTGAGGCTGAGAGTTGTTCTAGAACGATTGATTCATTCCTTCGAGCCGCCTCCGATGCATGTTTATGTCATGCGTCTTTGCTCATCGTTCGCTGCAGATGATGGGGAAATGGAAAGTGTATCTTCTGCCTCGGTGCCTAAAGAGCTATCTTGTCCTCAACTTTGAGGGCTGGTTATGCCCCCGAATTATTTTTCGACAAGAACTTCGAAAAAAGTGTGTGAGGGATGGGGTAATAGGTAGCAAGAAATAGTAAGACTTCACAGCTCGGAGTCAGCCGAGGTGGGCCAAACATTTCTATCGCGATCAACTCCTCAGACGTGCTCGCTAAGCCTCTTCAGGTTACCCTAGCTCTGACCCTGGCTGACTGGCTGAACGTCTGAGCGCAGAATTTCCAAAATACATTACAGAGTATCCTCAGATTCAACAACGATGTCGTTGTATTTTACGATCGGAGAATGGCTTTGGAGTCAGATATTCGCATTGATTCAGATGATGCTTATGTTTTGACGAAAACACTGCGTTCCAATAGACGACTCCCATGTTAAATAACTTTCCATACGCAAATCAGAGGACCATGTTTACTGCGAAGATTGCCACAAATCTTCAGTAACCTTGGATGTGGAATCTGATTTCAACAATCAAAATTCGTGTCGAGCGAATAGATACGTAGTGAGTTCTTAACGCAAATGCAGGTGTGGATTCAGAAGACTGTCTGTCAAGCATTAGGCATCGCCGACTCCCTCTACCGTGTATCCAGCCTTAGCCGGCTTGGCGTCCAGGCTTCACACCCCTTTCGGACACACAGGTAGAGTAAACAGATATCCATCGCCACCACTACCATCACGACTGCCTGTCCCGCAGTATAACGGACACCATCATTATCACTACCATCATGGCCAAACTGTGTCATCTACGAGACTGGAGTCGTGGAAGCCTGCGCTCCTCATCGCATCCACCGATTGCCACTATACATGTGCTTTGTCTTACAGCCCTGTCCTCGTCACCTCCCCATTGTTCCCAGGGGGTATATCATCCTCCTCCACAGATCCCGCCCGGCAGCCGGAACATATCCCTAGCCGGTTTGACCACATAGTCGTTGATTTCATGAGCACCGAACTTCTCACCCGAGCCGTCCTTCTTGACAAGATAAGCGCGTGTGGGGTCCTTGATAGTGGGAGACGGCTCCGCGCCGATTGAAAGAAGCGAGGGCGATAGTAAGGAGGGCAGGGAGCGTGTCTTCGGTCAACTCAGGCTTCGAGGCAGCATGTCGTGCATGGGGACGTTCACCGGTCGCTTGGAGGCATTTGAGGCCGTGTCAAAGGCCATATCGGAGAACACTCTCGCAACAAGGTGTCTACCGCCGAGGCTGTTTGTAGTGATGCGAGTACGTTGTGGAATGCTTTGCGTCCGGTTATGAGTCGCTTGCGTCTTATTGCCGTAGCAATGTGGTTGTTAATGGATAGTGGTGAGCCTTGACTCAGACGTAGAGCAAGATAAGTCACTGTCTGATTGCGGGTGTCGAGCGCTTTCCGAAGAATGAGTTGAGCGCCGACGAGCACTGTGTTGACATTGTGGAAGATGCGCCCTTGAAGTTGTTGCGGAGGCTTGATTCAGGATGTGCCTGCAGAGAACAGAGCCTTACGGATTAGCTCCACACTTGTGGCAGGGGAAGGTTCTGTACGCGAGATCCTTAGCGCAGAGACATCTCAGGTAATGTCTGACATACCTTTGTCGTGTAATTACTCATGGCTTTGGTTTCCGTATCTGTCTCGGTTTGGAAAGACTGCCCCCTGCAAACTTCTTCAACGGTCGCCCCGAAACCGTCACCGAGACGATCAATCGCTCCACCCCAGCAAATTTCACAGCCCCATCTTCCGCTTCCTCCAACCCTTCAATGCCGACCCGAATCTTCGGCACGGCGTTTTGACGTTACAAGCGGACTGGTTATCCATGCTCTACAAGCCGTGAAGGAGTTTGTGGGTGGTAAGCAGATGCTATCATTTCTCAAAACGTTCGGCGGTCGACCAATGCCGACATCGCGGCGAGCTCATTAGCTACTTTTCCGCACCGGAGACCCCTAGAAGATCGGTGGCCGGCATCCTTAGGGATCTTCTTGACCAAGAACGCGTCAGTGAGTATGATTCCTAATCGTATAGTGGCAATGCTGGAGATGGTACGTCTTCAATTCTCGGAGTAGTGTTCTGGACTTCGTCCGCGGAGCAGTTCCAGTTTATAGCCATGTGGTCCAGGGCCGTGTGGTCTTTTTCGCCTCATAATCGGAACTGTCAGTTGGCGGCCTGATTGGCAGATTCATGACAAGGCAGGTCTAACCTCAATCTCGTTCACAGTATAGTGGACGAACGACTTGGGCACATATGTCAGAATTCGGTAGCAATATTTCTAATGAAACTCAATGCGGATCGGATCTTGGACTATTCATCTAGACCAGCTTGGACGTTTTAGCACTTGACGCGATTGCGGACCGTTTGTAGAGTTTCAGTCATGATTGATTTGACTCCTTAGAATGACTGATAGTCTGGACCATCGAAAGCCTCGATTGATAGGTGTACGAATGTCCTTACGTGAGATGACTCGCGTACGGTCTCCAGGCTCAGCCTCAGCCCATCGAGGTCTAGACGTCAACGCTTTCACAAAACTGTCGAGGTCCACGTAGGTATGAGATCAAGACTCCTGACCTCTTGAGGAGATCTTACAGGCTAGCAAAGGCGAGCAACACATACACGTGGTGAAACATGATCGGCGGAAGAGTGATAGGAATTGGGAGGCTTATCACAGCAAGAAAGGAGGGCATATGTGCGATGTGATAAAAAGCTAAACGATTGGTAAGAATGTCAGTATGTATAAAGACCAGAGAAGGCTAGCGAGATTAAATGCAGGGTAGTACGTGGAGGCTCCGTTGCATGGTGGTCAGCTGGCCCCTTCATTTCGCGCATTCCTTTGGAGGTCCCTCCACCCAAATTCCTACAGCCAAACCATGACCCAGGATGCTGGAAAAGACGAGACGCACAAGTGTGACGCTCAAGTCCGAATCTCCGAAAGAGCGGAATCGGTTATCGGCACGTCAGGCTGAAGCCCGAAGGTGTGCATATGGCGGTCAGGCCGAAGAAACCAACATAACATTGTCATTCCTTTTCAACACGTTACTCCAATCCGAGGGCACATGTAGGAAAGACGGAAATGAGGAAGGAAAAAGAGGAAATAAGAAGTGGGAAAATGCTGGTTGATTCTGAGTGACACTAGAGAAAAGAAAGCGGAAGAGAGAAGGCAAGAACATCGCTAAAGTATCTTGCGGTCACAGTGCAGGAGACTAGATCCAGTATGGGTTAGGCTGCTGTTGCTTGACCCATCATGATTTTTCCAATCAGTATCCATTCTTCTTTAGTTCGCAGCATCTTTACCTTGTCACCAGTAGCATTCAAGTTGATTGTCGTCATGCGTTGGTGAACCCTCATTCAGTGTCTTTGGCTTTACCGGAACACGAAAAAGCTATCGCCAATCCGAACAGTGGTGAACATCTTCGTGATAACAGAAACTTCTTTCTTCTTCCTGCTCATCGTTCCCTTGAAGTTGACTCTCCGAATCGCCTGATGGAACATTTTCACACTCAGACATCCTTTCCATCAGCTTTGGCCGCCCCAAGATCCTACCCGCGGCACTTCTACCGCCCTAGGACAGACTGCTGAGGAAGTTTGAATTCCAAAACATGGACCATGAGATCGGAGGCGAAATTTCAATCTCCAGTACTGTCTGTCCCGTCATCGCAGATTTCAGGATCCCGATCGAAGAAGACTCGCGACTTTACAAACCCTTTCACCACAGATGTACGATCAAATTCCCACAGACCCGCCACACGACAACGACCCCATTAGGCAGCCCCAAATCTGTGACCACACAACAATGCCAACGACCCTCAACCTCAGCATCCATGGCGCACCCGCCTTTGCCACAGCGAAGCACAGATCGACGTACCAATCGCCCACATGGCCAAATGGCCTATAGGCACTCTTGCCAGCTGCGCTCATTCTACCCCACCCTAAGGTCAATGCCTAATCGCGCAAGATACTCAATGAGTGGGCGCTTTTTCTCGCCACGTCAGACCCAAGATGTGTGCTAGGGAGCGACAAGGATACAGCTTGGCCCGGTCCAGCTGCAATGGCTGCCATGCCAATCTCTGACTCGGATTTGCTCTGCGATCCGGCGACTCCATACCACGGCTTCACTTTCCGGGATGGCTACTTCACGCACCAGTGTTGGCCTGGGGTCCGTCTTATTGCATGCACTGGAGATGAAAGCGTTGTCATCGATGCCTGCGAGGCTGCTCCATGCCGTGGAGGTTGGGGTATCGAAGCATATGATGGTTCCCGGCTGAACGAAGAACCCTACTCGCTCCATCATATGCTTGCCGGCGAGGCTCTCGCACCACAATTCGTTGGCGGCAGAGTCTACCAAGCCAATCTCAGGTTCGCTCAATTATCATCGCTGGCACAGTCCAGCCACCGGTACTCTCGTGGAAGCATACGTGGTTCCTGGAGCATACCACCCTGAACGTTCAGTAGAGTATTTGGATGGCACACGGTCCGAAAAGTCTGTAGCACATTCCACGCACTTCAACACAAGAGCCAGCATTTTCAAGAAAGCGGAGAATCCTGACATGGGTCTCATGTGTTTCCAGGATGTGGGATTGTGTGAAGGTTACCCAAAAGATGTCACGGCCCATGAGGGTCAAGAGGCAGCTGGGTATGTTCCGTTTCGGAGGAGCTACATACTGCCTTCTTTTCCGGCCCGAAGTTGATGTTGATTTCGAGTTTCGTGGCTAAGCACCTGGGCTCAAGGCAAAGAACGTTCACGTTGAAGCTAAAATTGCTAATGTCACTAGACGCATTCGAGCTATACAAACGACGTGGTGCTTCTGGCACTACTGGAGCAGGGATACTGAGTTGATGCGCTTCTCCAAGTCGTCGCTACTTCGCTGCACGCTTGTCGCTTGCTGTCATCGATCGCGGCTGTCAGTGTGCTCGTCTGTTGGGAGATGCCATCACGACAATGCTACATTCTTCGCCTCATTTCCAGCATTTGAGATCGAAGACTAAGCCATCTTCGAGAACATATGTATCAATTGATGACCTTTCTGCTCGTGTGCCTCTTCGTCATCTTATCCGCGAACCCGCTCTCGTTCCCTGCAGCTCGACTCTCTCATCACGACGCTTCAGCCACCAAGACAACCACATCCGATCCAAACAGCCATCCGCACGATCATCTTCTTCCGTCCATCCCGCACAACAAAGTCGCACCCGTCCCAAAAGGCGCCACGATCCACACAGCCACCATCCCCGGCGTCCCAGGCACCCCGACCTGGCGCGTCCGCTACATCAAAATCGCAACCATGCTGCCCGTCCAACTCGTCGCCACCGCCATGGAAACATTCTACTCCTCCAGCCTCAAAGAACTGCAGCAGACGTCCGACTCCGCTCTCAGCCACCTGCTCGCTTCAACGAAAGGGGCGTTCAGGATCGGACGGGGCGTTTTCCATTTGAATTTCATGACCGCGAGTGGCCGGTTGAATCGAGAGTTTGTTGAGGGTGTGCTGGAGGAGCTGTTGGAGAGTACGCGGCTGGGGTGGGTGACGCAGTTTAGGAGTGAGTGGATGGATACGGTGGGAGGGTTTACGGTGTGGGTTACTTGTACATTGGGGGAGGAGTTTGGATCGACCGGGTTGATTCCTGGGCCGATTGATTGAGTGGGTGAGAATGCAATGATTGGGGAGCGGAAGGGGTGGATCTTGAGATTTACCAGGGGTCAACGCGACATCGCGTCCGACGTTGTCCTGCAGGATGTTATCTGACCGTGCCATCATGGCCGAAAAAGCTAAGGGTATAGCTAAAATGTCCTTACAACAAAATCGCGTTCTCCAATAAACCTAAACAGAGGAGTTCCGTCTTCAGCGCACCGTACCACACAGATCCTCTCCGCAGTCTACTCGCGTCCTACAATAAAAGCTTACCGAAAACACGCGATCCAAAGGCCTTGCAAACCCTAGGGCAGACTCCGCACTGCCTCTACCCAAAGTCTCTTCGCCTAAATCAGCCCAGCATCTCCCAAGGGTCCTAGCTCCTCGACCTCAAAGAGACCCAACGAAGCAACATGACCTCATCCCCAGAGCGTTAAGCATGGCATTGCGATCAGCGGCTGTATTTCCCTCTCGCTGGCTAATATACAACCATTCAACGCACGAGGAGGATCCAGACGAGCGGCAAATCGACCCGCCGACTCCTCCGCCAACAAATTCGCTAAATGCCAGCGCACTCGGAGAGGGCATCAGCAGCGAAGTCGTCCTTCCTGTCTCCACTCGTAGCCTTCTTTACAGACTACCGGAATCGCGTCCGCCTGCACAGGGACCGTCGAGAGCGAAAAACCGGCGCGGGGCCCGAGCAATGTCCTCTTGATGCATGGTGTTGAGCGGATTGTTGAGCTTGCGCAGAGCACAACGAGGGGTGCCAAAGGGAGGGTAAGGCTGTCGTGCGGAATTGGGGTTCCACGGTTGAAGATGGGAGGGGAGGGTCTGTCGGACGTGGATTCCGCGCAGGGGGGGGGGTTTCTGCTCTGCATGTCAAGGGACTAAGAAGGTGGGATGATATGAGTACCGTTCGGCGCTTAGTTGGCTGCTCGTCCGTTGTGGATTGGTACGAGAAGAGAAGACGTCGACGCCGTCGGACTGTCGAACTTCAAAGACGGGGTCGTGACAGCGGCGTTGTATGTTACGCTCAAGGGAAGCTCGGATCATCACACATGTGGATCGGTAAGGGAGTCTGAGTGCACATGGCGGTTCTTTCGAATTCGATCTGGGGCCTGGGAACGAATCTGTCTTTGGACGGGCTCTTGTGGTGAGTTTGGGTGTCTTCGAACACTCTGGGGTACGTTGAAGGAACATTTGGGAGGCGGGAAAGGGACGGCTCATTTACATGGAACTGTGTTCCAGGAAATATGTGGCTTGGTGTTTGTAGATGTCTTGGAGATCAGTGTGAAATAATTTCGCTGACGGGTATATATGTAATTCGGCCTTGAAAGTTCGAAGCTGGCTCGAGGCTCTTCTTAAGATACTTTCTAAATCATCGAGTTACATATGATCTAATTCGTTTTTATTAATCTTTAAGCTATTTAAAATTAGATATAAAATTCTCTTACTAATAATTATACGCTTAGAAAAAAATTAAAATAGATAATATATATATAATATTTAAAATATATTAGTATACTATAATAGAATAAGATAGAGCTGAGCTTGAAAACCTTGAATTTGTATGTGTAGCCAATCATTAATTCGATAGGTCTACGCTTTTTGATTAGACATCGCGGGTAAATAAAGTAACGTCCGCAACCATCAAAATCTCGCCCTCCTTATCAAAAATTAGGTGTACGTTATTAACACATAAAATAACTTTTTTATTTTCTATTAAAATTTTGAGATTTTTTTTTAAATTATAGAACGAAATGTGGGCTTTCAGATAAAAAAAGAATTTCTAAATTTAGTCTTATAATTATCAAAGCGTAAGGAATTCAAATATCGCTCATCAAAGTTCGCTCGACAGTCGGACAGCCCTAATCAGATACACATTATTTAATTTTAGAATAACTTTTTTATTTTCTATTAAGATTTTGAGATTTTTTTTTTAAATTATAGAATAAAATGTGGGCTTTTAGATTAAAAATAGATATTAAATAGGTTTAAAAAATTAAATTTAGTCTTATAGATATTTAAAAGCAAGGAATTCAGATATTGCTCACTAAAGATCGCTTATTAAAATTTACTCGACAGCCCTAATCAAAAAAAATGATTATGAATTTAATTTATAGGTCTTTACTCGTTAAAGTATATTATAATTAAAGAGATTAAATTTTTAGATTTGAATTTTCGAATATACTTAAGACTTTCGGGTATTAGTCGAAAAGATATGGGTTTTTTAAACTTAGAATTTTTCAACTTTTACTTCTTTTCTTTAAAAATTTATATCTTTATAATCTATTTATAGAGGCTTATAATTCTTAAAGCTCTATAACGAGACTAGTTTATTTTATACGAGAGGATTTTAAAATACGATAATTTATATATAAAATACTAAGTGAAATTAGAAATATCCTATATCTTTTAAGATGATATCTCGAAAATTACTTGAATTTCATATTATATATTATATCTTTTCGATCTTTAGATCGATCTAGATTAATTTTATAACTCTCGAATTAAGTCTATAACTCTTAAGCGAATTCTATACTCTTAAGTATTAACTACTATTTAATTACTTTTATTATATAAGTAAGTTTTTTTTTAATATATAATCTTTTAAGTATACTCGTTAAAGATATATCTATATAAATTTTAATAGTATATCTCTATAATTTCGAAAAGTTATTATTTAGAATAATTTCTACGCTTAAATATTATTAATATATATAAAAGAATAAGATAGAGCTAAATTAGAAAATCTTAAATTTATATATATAGCTAATTATTAATTCGTTAGAGTCTACGCTTTTTAATTAGATATCGCGAGTAAATAAATTAACGTTCGTAATTATTAAAAAAATAGGTATATATTATTAACATATAGAATAACTTTTTTATTTTCTATTAACTTTTTAAGATTTCTTTTTTAAATTGTAGATCGAAATATAGACTTTCAGATAAAAAAAGAATTTCTAAATTTAGTCTTATAATTATTAAAGCGTAAGGAAATTCAAATATCGCTCATCAAAGTTCGCTTCATCAAAGTCCGCTCGACAGCCCTGATTAAAAAATAGATATATATTATTTAATTTTAAAATAACTTTTTTATTTTCTATGAAAATTTTAAGATTTTTCTTTTAAATTATAGAATATAATATAGACTTTTAGATAGAAAAAGAATTGCTAAATTTAGTCTTATAGATATTTAAAGATAAGAAACTCAAATATCGCTTATCAAAGATCGCTTATCAAAGACCGCTTATCAAATTTACTCGACAGCCCTGATTAAAAAAAACGATTATGAATTTAATTTATAGGCCTTTACTCGTTATAGAGATATTATTATAAATAACTTCGTTATACTCGATATAATTTCTTAATTAGATTTTAATATATTTTTCTTTATATATATTTATCTATAAACTATAAGTTTAGATCTATAAATTAAATTTATAGAAAGTAATTTATTTTTAAATCTAATTTCGAGATTGAATTCGATTCTCGAACTTCGAAGAGTAAAAATATTTTAATTTAAGATTTACTTTAAATTAAAAGATTAAACTTTAAAAAAATTTAATTATTAAAAAGCGTAGATTAAATTTTATAATTTAAAAAAATAATAATAAAATTTTAATAGAAAAAAGAGAAGTTATATTAATAATAGATTTCTAGAAAATTAATTTAAAATTAATTAATAAGAAATTAACTTTAATATCTATTATAATCTTTTTATTATAATAATAACTATTATTATTTTTATAATTTTTAAAGTTTTTATTAGTTTTATAAATTTTACGAATTCTACGATTTTATAATTTTACGATTTTTACGATTTTACGATTTTTTAGCGAGGGTACGCTACGTATAGAAGCGAGATAAGACGATATTTTAAGTATTCTATATTATCTCGCTTCGAGTTAAAGTTTTAATAAGATAGAGTAAGATTAAAATAAGATTTTTCTATCGAGATAATAAGAATATCTTATTACTTTATTAAGTCTATTAATTAAATTAACTTAAAATTATTATCTTTATAATATCTTTCTAATATCTTATAAATATAATCTTATATATATTCTAAATATTTTTTTAAGTATCTATATTTTATACTCTAATTTAGATTATAATATTATATTCTATACTTTATTTTACTCTATTTTTAATATATAATATTAAAATTTAAAGAAATCGCTTAGAAGTCGCTTAGGGGTACTTAAAATCTATCGAATTAACGGAGTATACCTTAAAACTTTACTCCGAGTTAAGGCGAGGTCGAAGTTTTAAGAAAACTCGAAACCTCGATCCGAAACCTCACTCCGACCCCAACCCCCCCCCCGAAACCCCGTCGAGGTCCCTCGCCCCATTACTTAGCGTAAGCGAGGGAGATTAATAAATTCGAATTGAGAACGAAGCCGAAGCGAAATAGTTTTTAATATTTTTTAAATTATTATTATTTAACTATCTAAGCTTATATAAAAGAATATTCTAAATAAAATAAATAACTTTTTAATAAGTAATATTTAAATTCTCTATTTTAAATATTTATAAGACTAAATTTAAAAATTCTTTTTTTATTTAAAAGCTTATATTTTATTCTATTATTACTAGTCGAAAAGATATAATATATATTATAGAATATTCTATATTAAGTAATATTATATCGTATTCGAATATAATATAAATAAAGTTAGATATTATATCTTTTTTTTAATATAGATATAGAATCTTAGCGATATATATTAGAAGATAATATATATATAATATTATATTATAGAATAATATATATATAAAATTTCTTAATTAAAATTTCTATATTTAGAAATATAAGTAGTTATTTAAATTATTATTCTAGTTAATAAAGTAATAATTCGATAAATTTAATTTAATAGCTATTATTACTATAGCTATTACTATTATAACTATTATAGATATTATTACTATAACTATTATTAAAATATAATTCTTATATATTTTAATTATCGTATTTTTTAATTATCTAATTTTATACTATATTTAAAATCTAGTCTCGAAGAGATTTTAAAGAATTAATCTATTCGTTCTATATATTATATATCTAATATTTTAATAGCTATTACTATTATAGTTATTACTATTATAGTTATTACTATTATAGTTATTACTATTATAGCTATTACTATTATAACTATTATTATTTATTATTTAAATAATCTATTATTATATAATAGTTATAATAGTAGTAGTTATAATAGTAATAGTTATATAGAGATCTATATTAAAAGTTCTATACCCGTACTAGTATAGCTCTAACTCTACTTTCGAAAAGTAGTTCTATAGAGAAGAAGTTTAAAAATATCTTTTTATAGCGTATAGATGAGATTTTAGATATTTCTTTTAGCTTAATAGAGATATTAAGCCTCGAAATCTAATTAGAACTAGATGCGATTTTAAAGAACTCTAGACGTATTATTTAGATAGTTCTTTAGATAAGATATTATTCGAAGTCTAAGCGTAAGAGTCTTAATAGATATAGAACTTTCGATATAGATCTCTATAATAGTAATAGTTATAATAGTAATAGCTATAATAGTAATAGCTATTATATCGAATTTATTAAATCGTTAATTAGAATAATAATTAGAATAACTACTTATACTTTTAAATATAGAAATCTTAATCGAGATATTTTATATATATATTATTATTAATATATATAAAAGAATAATATAGAGCTAAGTTTAAAAATCTTTAAATTTATATATATAGTTAATTATAAATTCGAGATTATTACGCTCTTTTAACTAGATCGACTAAATTAGCTCGAATAGCTCTTAAATCGAGATCTCTTATTTAAAAAAATAGATATACGTTATTTATAATAGAAATAACTTTTTTATTTTTTATTTTCTATTAAAATCTTAAAATTGTTTTATTAAAATTTTAAAGCGCTAATCTAAGCTTTTCGAATTTTAAAGAATTTTAAAATTTAGTCTTATAATTATTAAAGCGTAAGAAATTTAAATATCGCTTATTAGAGTTCGCTCGATAGTCGAATAGCCTTAATTAAAAAACAGATATATATTATTTAATTTTAAAATAACTTTTTTATTTTCTATTAAAATTTTAAAATTATCTTTTTTAATTTTAAAGCGCTATTTAGGCTTTTCGAATTTTTAAGAATTTTGAAATATAGTCTTATAATTATTAAAGCGTAAGGAATTTAAATATCGCTTATTAAAGTTCGCTAATTAAAGATCGCTTATCTATTTACTCGATAGTTCTAATTAAAAAAAAAATTATAAATTTAATTTATAAACCTTTACTCGTTTAGAATAAATACTTATAGTTGAAATTATAATCTAAATAAGAGAATAATTATAAAGATTTTAGAAAAGTATATATAAGTTATTTATATAGATAGTATTAGTATATATAAAAGAATAAGATAGAGCTAAGCTTGAAAATCTTAAATTTATATATATAGTTAATTATTAATTTAGAGTTATTACACTCTTTAATTAGATCGACTAAATTAGCTCCGCTAGCCCTCTCGAGCTTTCTTATTAAAAATTTATATATAGAAGTTTTATACTCTAAAATAATCAGCTCTCTATAGATATTATTACTTTATAATTTCGAAAATTATAGAGCTTAGTTTACGCTTTCTAATTATATAAAAATTATAAAGTTAAATTTACTATTAATAGATTAAATAAATATTTAAATATAGTAGTTATAATAGTTATATTAGACGCGTTCGAGATCGAATAATAATTCTTTTATCTATTTATATAATTATTCTTTTTTATACTATTCTATTAATTTACTAATATAAATATATTTATTCTCGATATATTACTAAATACTTTAAATATATATATCTCTTCTATTTATCTCTTAAAGTCTCTTATTAACGCTCTAAGATTATTTTTTAATAAATTTATTATTACTAGTAATCGAGGCCGTAAGCGAGCTTAATAGCTATCTATTACTACTTATAAACGCGTTAAAAAACTCTTAAAAAGAGCTTAAAGGAATATATTCTCCTCTATATACTTCTTTTAAGCTAGCGATAGATAAATTAAACTAATATTTAAATATTATAATTATATTAAACGCGTTCGATTTAGATATATATATCTCTTTTATTTATCTTTTAAAGTCTCTATTAATACCCTTAGATTATCTCTTAGCGAATTCGCTATTATTAATAATCGAGGTTATAAGCGAGTTTAATAGCTATCTACTACTACTTATAAATATATTAAAAGACTCTTAAAAAGAGCTTAAACGAATACGTCTTTCTCTATATATTTCTCTTAAATTAGCGATAGATAGATTAAATTAATATTTAAATATTATAATTATATTAAACGCGTTCGAAATTAAATAATAATTCTTTTATCTATTTATATAATTATTCTTCTTTTACTATTCTACTAATTCTATTAATTTCATTAATATAAATATATTTATTCTCGATATCCTCGCACTTAGTTAAATAAGAGAAGAATCTATAATAAACGAATATAGAGAATACTACGAAAGAATACTACGGAGAATATTATAGAGATAGTTATTAGCAGTAATAATATAATAGATCTACTCTTTATAATCTTATATTAATCTACTTAGCTAGTATAAGAGAAGTTAATATAATAAATAAATATAGAGAATATTATAAAGAAATTAAGCGATAATAAAACTTCTAATATTAAGAATACGACTTAGCTCTCTAAGATTTTATATTATATACTCTCTACGATTTTATATTAAATTATTACTTAATAAGCGAAGAATATTATTATAACTTAGCTTATTATCTCTACTATATTAAGAAATAAGAGAAGAAACTATAATAGATAAATACGGAGAATACTACGGAGAATATTATAAAGAATATTATAGAAGAAACTAAGCGGTAATAAAGATTATTATCGTTAAGAATACGACTTAGCTCTTTAAGATCTCATATTAAATTATTACTTAGTAAGCGGAGAATACTACTATAACTTAGTCTATTATCTCTATTATATTAATATAATATATTATTATAATAACGTTATAAGAGAAGAATTTACTACGATAATTATAGTTAATTAAATCTCTATAGAAAGAATATCGAATAATATATATTTAAATAAATTAAAATTATTCGATATCTATAGCTATCTCATTATTCGAAAGATTTAATTACGATAGAAGATATTATAGAATTTATATTACTAATTAATACGTTATTGTTAAGGAATAATATGGTGTGACTCATATATGTGGTGTGGTGTAAAAGATGTTCATTAATCTATGTGGTCTGCAGGCACATATGTGCGGAGAGAGGCGCGCTAAGGCCTAATGAGGAAGGTGTACCGAGTGTGGAGGATTGATCCGTAACAATTGCCCACAAAAAAACAAGAATGGCCATGTCCTCATGGCAAGAAGTATGCATGCATGAATGAGTCTTCGAAATGCTGGAAAGGAATGGAGACACCGGGCTAATTAGTGGTGTGGATCTCACAAAATCTCCTGCCGCAGTGAAAGCTTTTGAATAATGAAATGGATGTTGAAGCAAGACATCGGACGGTTTCAATTGCCTCCAAATATGCATCGTCCGATGTCCTTCAATGATAGTGGGTACAGCCCTCATGAGTGCACCGGTGATCATCGCCTGCAGAGGCCCAATGGACCATAGCTTCATTCCCACTACCGTCATGAGTGTTGCCATGGCGACGTGGTGTATGTCCTGCGGGATGGTATGTAAGGGCCATATGGTAGCTGTCGGCCGGTGCATCGTACACGTAGTCCTCCTCTTCACCCCAGTAGACCTGCGGACGTGCAGGCTGTGGCTGTGGCTGCGGCTGCACCTGCGGCTGTGACTGGCGATATGGATATGAGGGTTTGTACTGCTGCTGTTGCTGTGGACGAGGTTGGTAGGACTGTTGGGGCCTCGGGTAGGGATCAGGTGGACGTGGCTTCCCGTAGCCAGCATAAATCTGGAACCAACCCTGCTGTCGTATCTGCACTTGGTCAATGAAGCTATTCAAGTCTGACGGCGGATCGAGTGTTTGCTGAAGGCTTGATTCGAAATGATGAAAGGCCGTGTTAATTCCGGATTTGACGTGATCGTTCCAATCAAGGCCTTTGGTAATACGTAATACCTCCTGAACGTAGCTCGTAGCATCCTTCTTATTGGCCGCATCTTTTCGGGTGTAATGACACGCCTCTAGCTGAGTGATGAGATCGATGTAGCGAGGCCCAAATCGCTTGAGAATTGCGGTGCACCATGGCTTAATGGTAGTGGCTTAGTTTAGGCCTAACTTGGAGCCGTCTATGAGTTCGTAATGGTATCATTTGAATGCTGTTTCCTTCAACACCGTGTCAAGGTGAGTCTGTACTAGTCGATGACCCTTGTGGCTAGCCACGCTTCGGATACGATCAATAAATGCTTGCACATCACCGGTACCGTCAAATTCGCCAATCTCCTCTGGTCTCCACCTCTTGTCTTTCGGTTACGGGGCGGGGACTATGGTAGATAAGGTTTGCTGCTGAGAAGGCTGAGGAGGCTGATTTGATTGCTGTGGAGTCATTTGCGGAGCAGGTGAAGGAGGTCTTGATCTGGCTTCAGCTATTCTGGTGTTCATTCTTTCTTCCATGGCAGTTATATTAGTAGTCATGCTGATAACGACACGCTGCATTATTGCTTCTAGCTCTGACATGGTCACGAATGATGTGTTATCGCCGGCGGCTTGTTTCTCAGCCTCTTGTTGTTGCTTTTGACCTCTCGTAGAGCCAGACATGATGAGATCGACAGGCCTATCAAAAGGATCGATTTGGACGTGGGTTTTTGTCAAAAGGTACTCGATAACAGCGAGTGTGTTGGAGGTCCGGCTTGGAGCGTTGCACTATTAGGTGTTGATGCAGGCTTTGCGTAAACGTCTGATGACGCCTGGATATCCTATGAAGTAGGGCCAGGTGTTGCTACCATTTGTTAAGGAATAATATGGTGTGACTCATATATGTGGTGTGGTGTAAAAGATGTTCATTAATCTATGTGGTCTGCAGGCACATATGTGCGGAGAGAGGCGCGCTAAGGCCTAATGAGGAAGGTGTACCGAGTGTGGAGGATTGATCCGTAACAGTTATATTTATTTCTTTTCGATATTTTAATACTTCTTATTATATTTTTTTTTTTTTTTTTTTTTTTTTTTTTTTTTTTTTTTTTTTTTTTTTTTTTTTTTTTTTTTTTTTTTTTTTTTTTTTTTTTTTTTTTTTTTTTTTTTTTTTTTTTTTTTTTTTTTTTTTTTTTTTTTTTTTTTTTTTTTTTTTTTTTTTTTTTTTTTTTTTTTTTTTTTTTTTTTTTTATTTTAAATTTTTTTTTTTTTTTTAAAAAAAATTTTTTTTTTTTTTTTTTTTTTTTTTTTTTTTTTTTTTTTTTTTTTAACCATTAATTAAATTTTTTGGGGTTGATTTTTTCTAAGTCAAATCGAACTCTAATCGCTTACTGTACGTTTTTGACCTACATATAGATATATATGTACGGAGAGAGGCGCGCTAAGGCCTAATTAGGAAGGTGTATCGAGTGTGGAGGATTGATCCGTAATAATTGCCCACAAAAAACAGAGAAAGGCCATGTCCTTATGGCAAGAAGTATCGAAATACCGGAAAGAAATGGAGACAACATGCCAATTAGTGGTGTGAATCCCACATTATCTCCTGCCGCAGTGAAATCTTTCGAATAATGAAATAGCTGTCAGAGCAAGACATCGGACGGTTTCAATTCGTCCAAATATGCATCGTTCCGGAGTGATGATTTGATGTAGAACCGTGGAGAGCATATAAGGTGGGATCTTGGAGAGCTGAGCCGTGTTCTTGACGATGGTGGCCTTGTTGCCGCTTAGTTTCTCCGCAGTGTTCTCCGCATTTGCCTGTTGTAGTTCCTCCTCTTGCTCCTCAATGCAGTGGGGATGATAGGCCAAGTTGCAGTGGTATTCTCCGCTTGCTGAGTGATGATTTGATGTAGAACCGTGGAGAGCATATGATGTGGGATTTTGGAGAGCTGAGCCGTGTTCTTGGTGCTGGGGGCCTTGTTGCCGCTTGGTTTCTCCGCAGTGTTCTCCATAGTGTTCTCCGAGTGTTCTCCGCATTTGCCTGTTGTAGTTCCTCCTCTTACTCCTCTTGAATGTAGTGGGGATGATAGGCTAGCTAGTGGCAGTGGTGTTCTCCGCTTGTTGGGTGATGATTTGATATGGAACCGTGGAGAACTGATATGACGTGGGATCTTGGAGAGCTGAGCCGTGTTCTTGACGATGGTGGCCTTGTTGCCGCTTGGTTTCTCCGCAGTGTTCTCCGCATTTGCCTGTTGTAGTTCCTCCTCTTACTCCTCAATATAGTGGGGATGACAGGCCAAGTTGAGTGATTCTCCGCTTGCTAAGTAATGATTTGATATAGAACGGCCAAGTTGCAGTGGTGTTCTCCGCTTGCTGAGTGATGATTTAATGCGGAACCGTGGAGAGCATATGACGTGGGATCTTGGAGAGCTGAGCCGTGTTCTTGACGATGGTGGCCTTATTGCCGCTTGGTTTCTCCGCAGTATTCTCCGCATTTGCCTGTTGTAGTTCCTCCTCTTACTCCTCAATGTAGTGGGGATGACAGGCCAAGTTGCAGTGGTGTTCTCCGCTTGCTGAGTAATGATTTGATGTGGAACGGCCAAGTTGCAGTGGTGTTCTCCGCTTGCTGAGTGATGATTTGATGCGGAACCGTGGAGAGCATATGACGTGGGATCTTGGAGAGCTGAGCCGTGTTCTTGACGATGGTGGCCTTGTTGCCGCTTGGTTTCTCCGCAGTGTTCTCCGCATTTGCCTGTTGTAGTTCCTCCTCTTGCTCCTCAATGTAGTGGGGATGACAGGCCAAGTTGCAGTGGTGTTCTCCGCTTGCTGAGTAATGATTTGATGTGGAACGGCCAAGTTGCAGTGGTGTTCTCCGCTTGCTGAGTGATGATTTGATGCGGAACCGTGGAGAGCATATGACGTGGGATCTTGGAGAGCTGAGCCGTGTTCTTGACGATGGTGGCCTTGTTGCCGCTTGGTTTCTCCGCAGTGTTCTCCGCATTTGCCTGTTGTAGTTCCTCCTCTTACTCCTCAATGCAGTGGGGATAACAGGCCAAGTTACAGTGGTGTTCTCCGCTTACTGAGTGATGATTTGATATGGAATCGTGGAGAGTATATGACGTCCGGACGCGTTTGGTGTGACTACAATATTTGAATGTTAGTTTAACCCACCTATCGCTGGCTTGGGAGGAGTATATAGGGGAGGACGTATCCGTTCGGGCTCTTTTTGAGGGCCTTCTAACGCGTTTATAAGCAGTAGTAGGTAGCTGTTAGGCTCGCTTGCGGCCTCGATTGCCAGCAGTAGCGGATTCGCCGAGGGGTGGCCTGGGGGCGTCAGTAAGGGGCTCTAATTGGGCGAGGGGTACCGAAGACGATTGTGTTCATATTGGTGGAATTGGTAGAATTGGTAGAATTGGTAGAATTGGTAGAATTGGTAGAATAACAAACAGGTGGAAGGATTATTATCCGATCCCGGACGCGTCTGGTGTGACTACCATGACTACCATATTTGAATGTTCATTTAATTCACCAATAGTAGGCCAAACTTCATAATTTTTACAGCGTTAGAAAGCGCAAAGCGAGCTCTACAATTTGAGGAATTATAAAGTAACTGTATAGTATCGCAAGCTGAGTACTTCAAAGTGTAAAACTTCTACACACAAATTTTTGATGAGGGAGCTCGGGAGGGCTAGCGGGCTGACTTAGCCGGTCTAACTAAAGAGCGTAGTGACCCTGAATTTATGATTGGCTGCACATACAAATTCAAGGTTTTGTAGCTCAGCCCTACCTTATTCTTTTATATATACTAGATTTAATTTAAAGTTATAATATTATTAAAATAAATAATTAATATAATTATTATTTATTAGTATATATAAATAAATAAGATAGAGCTAAGCTATAAAATCTTAAATTTATATATATAATTAATTATAAATCTAAAGTTATTACGCTCTTTAATTAAATCGACTAAGTTAGCTCGCTAATTCTCTCGTATCTCTCTTATTAAAAAAATACGATATATATCTTTTAGAAATAGAATAACTTTTTTATTCTCTATTAAATTTTTTATTTTTTTTTTTAATTATAGAGCGTAACTTACGCTTCTTATTTCTAAATAAATTTTAAAATTTAATTTTATAAATATTTAAAGGTAAGGAATTTAAATATCGTATACTAAAACTTCGCTTATTAAATTTACTCGACAGCCGACAGCTCTAATTAAAAAATAAGTGTATATTATTTAATTTTAGAATAACTTTTTTATCTTCTATTAAAATTCTAAGATTTTTTTTTAAAAATTATAAGACGTAGGTTAGGCTTTTAAATAAAAGAAGAATACTTAAATTTAGTCTTATAATTCTTCAAAGATAAGAAATTCAAATATCGTCTATTAAATTTACTCGACAGCTCTAATTAAAAAAATAGATTATGAATTTAATTTATAGGCCTAAACTCGTATTAAATAAATAAATTAAAATAGTAATAAATTTTATTTATAATTTTAGCTGAGAATTAAACTTTAATGAGATAAATTACTTATAGTAAAAATGAGGCAATTATTATAGAACACCGTAGTAGATCTAACCCCCGAGGTAAAGCCGACGTCGCAGTTATCGCTCAGGGCAAATTTCTGAATTCCCCCACGATCGAAGACGAAACACTCGACCTGTAACAACATGGTCTGTCTCCACGATCCTGGTGCTTCTGCATCAATCAGGCGCAGTCTTTTCTATATAGAACCAGTGCATAATAACAGCTCACGGCGCATTCAATCTTTCCACCAAATTTCTGTTGCTGTGAAGTCAGAACCACCTCACTTGACATTCGCAGCTACCGAATCGGCAGGTGTTTTAGGAGAGACTCCTCTAAGCCCTTGATCGATATATAGTTCCTTGAAGATGCATGACATTTTCCAGCAACTCCCGGCTCCGATCCTGCTCATGATCATCAAGCTCATGCCAGGTTTCTCATCTCTCGATCATCTTACACAAACCTCACCTACCGTCAATGGAATCTTCGAAGAGCTCCCGGTCGAAATAATAGAGGCTTTGATCGATAGACTGCCATCAGAAGTGGCCGAGCTCATCCCGGCTATATCTGGTTCATTTTCAAAGGCCTGGACAGACGATGGGGTACCTGAGTCTGGCCTGACCCATATGATGGAGCAAGTCTACAAAACCTCTCTCGCCGAGCTAACTTAGTATCCGCTTCTATGCGATCCCACACTCGTATCCGTCCGAGAGCTCCTTCGGGTGGCATCTCGCATACACAATCTTACAACTTTCTTCTTCGAAACCTACATCAATCGTATCAATGCCATACGACCCATGCACCTAGTCAACCCAAGCCACAACTTTGATAACGATCCGTTCGTGACTTGGCCTGAGGGTCGCATGTGTACACCTTTTCGGACTGGGCCAGCGAGCTATGTAGAAGCATTGCGGGTCGCTCGCGCGTTATGGCGTTTGCAGTATTATGATGCCCATACGTCTTATCCCACAGATGATATGCGGAAATGACTTTTCAAGTTCAAGCCCTGGGTGATTGACAAGATGTATTGCGTTCAAAAGTTCTTGCTTGACAACCACATCTCTCCCTACTCGCGCGACCCCGATCAGCCAATCCAAAAAGCCTCATCGCATCTCGCATCCCCTACACTTGAATCCCAACCATTACACAATTCTATCCTGGCCAGTCCTCCTACGGATCCCATCTTTCGAAGCCTGGAGACAAGACGCGGAGGCAGCCAACGGAGCAAGTCCCGCGAACCACTTCTTACCTATCCACGAGCGGATGGATCGTAGGTCGCGACTCAAAAAGTCATCTTGGCGACCTTTCAGAAGGCTCGGATTTAATATCTGGGACCAGAAGAGGATGTGCGCTTTGGAGCTGATGGATGTTCCTGGAGAAATGCTGATGGGGGGGGCGTAAGATTAGGGATTGGGATTAGGATGAGTCCAGGGCTTATGGAATTCACTTGGAAGAGCATTGAGCAGTGGGAAAAGGAGTCTGACAAAGTGATATCGGCAAGATCCCCAAATGTTACCAGTCCCTATCGTTTCTGAGGTTGAATGGAGGGCACCAAGTTCCTTGGGAACGAGTACGAGAACGAGATTCTCTTCTGGTCCGTATTGAGACTAGCTGCTGTTGCAATCACGAGAGTGTTTCATCATCCAATCACTCCCTACTTCCAATCGTTACCAGGAATCCAAAATACCAATACTACGTATGCTAGTATCAGGCGCTGGCATCGCCGGTCCAACTCTCGCGTTCTGGCTTGCCGAACACTCGCAAAGATTCTTCATGACGGTACAAGGGAGGAGGCTGAGTATATCTTTGACGCTTTCGCCAACCCCACGCCCCAACGAGAATTCGACCTCCTCGTCGCAAGCGACGGCCTCGGCTCACCTACCCGCTCTCTCATCTTTGCCCACGCGGAAAAGACTTGCATACGCTCTCTGAACCAGTACACATCCTACTTCAGCATCCCCTACCAAGACTCCGACGGTACCTTGGCACGTTGGTACAATGCCCCAGGCCGCCGCTGCATACTGACGCGCCCTAACAATGCGGGCAAAACAATAGTGTTCCTGTCCATCATCAGCATCTCGGAGAAGCTCCAGAGCCATAGCAAGCTCTCCCAAAATGAGCAGAAACAGTCGACGCACAAAATCTTCCCCGACGCCGGCTGGGAAGCCTCACGTGTGCGTGCTGGTATGGACACAACGGATAACTTTTACATGCAGTCGAACGCCCAAGTTAAGCTCGACAGCTGGTCGAAAGGCCGTATGAGCGTAGTCGGCGCTGCAGCGTTTTGTCCCTCTCCCATCAGCGGGATGGGCACCACCGTCGCTATCGTCGGCGCGTACATCCTTGCTGGCGAGATCTCCAGGTATGGAACCGACTACGAGAAGGCTTTCGAGGCGTACGAAAGTATCATGAGGCCGTTCGTCGATACAGCGCAGAGTTTGCCGCCCGGGGCGCCGGCGATAGCGAATTCGGAGACGGCGTGGGGCATTAGCGTGATGAATAGACTGCTTGGGTTTGTTAGTTGGAATGGGTTGGAAAGCCTGTTGGGGAGGTTTGGAGGGCCGCCGGCGGACGCGATTGTGTTGCCGGGGCATGAGATGTGAAGTATCTGCTGGGACCACATCCTAGCTCGGGCTGCTCAATCGGCGGTTTGTTTCGCGGCATGACCTCGTTGTAGGCCTCCTGAACTTCCGTGATGCTTCATTTTGGAACTTTTAGTGCGCTTCGAAGAGTGTGAGAACGCCAGGCCCGCACTGCATCATGTTTTTCTGACTAGGCAGAAAAAGCTAGTAAGTGAACCTTACGTGGGTGTATGGTGTAGATGAACAATGCCGCACGACCTCTCATCGCTTGGTGTTGTCCATTACAATTCTCTCTGCTTGTATCTTTTTGCGCGACTCGACGTCATAGCCTCCTTTCTACTTATCACATAATCTAGATAACATACGGTGATCATAAGGCCCCTTGAGTCGTGTAGAGACTGCAGTCTTTTGAGAGTGAACGAATGTTGTTCGAGGGTTTTGAATAGATAGGAATAAAGTTGGTGTCGGGGTATGAAAAAGATCGAGAATAGAAAGGAGGAAGAAGGGTTTGAGTGAGGGAGAAGGTGATTATGGGAAAAGAGACGGCGGGGAAGAAAGGGGTGTTAAGGTAGTAGATGGGGACTCGAAGATCTAAGCCGAGGATGAGGAGATGTGAGGGAGCCGGGGCTATTGCGGCGTGCTGGGCGGGTACTCAGGTCAGCTCTGCGTACATTACATCGCAGCAGCTTTTCCTGCGAAGTGCTTGCGATATTCAGCGACAGCTGGACACGCGTAGCGAGGCACGTTTGCGAAGACTATCTAAGTACAGCAAAGCATCACACATAATGAGCGCAAGAACTTAGAACGGATGGAAGCTGAAGAAGCGCTTGCCTAGTCGTGACTCATCTAATGTTATTACATCCGTTAGCGAGGCCAATTTCGAGCTTCACATCTTAGCTTTGATTTCGTGTGCCGCAAGCCTTTCATACATGGTCTTTTCGAAAAGCGTGATCATCTTTCCAACCTTTGCATCGCCAGGCGGCCGTACTTGACCGCCGTACAAGCCGCAAAGGCCGGCTTCGCGGTCGATAAACTGTACCAAGGTCAACATCATGTCGTTCTCCATGCTACTTCGGGAGAGAAGAAAGGAAGTTGGGAAGGGGCCAGCAACATACCCAGAACAGATTCGGCAACCCGCTCCACATCAGCGTATTCTTTCCCCTCCACCCTTCATCCGCCTCCCTCGTCAATATACCACCAATGCCCCAATCCAAAGGCACACGTTTGGGAAATTCTCCCACAAAGAGTGCCGTGTTCTCCGGCTTCGCCATCAGTTGTTTCTGTGCTTCTTGGCTCTCTTTCGTCAACTGCGGCTGGAACATCTGCGCTGCCGTGGAGCGCTTGAGAATGATTCCATCATCGAGGAGTAGAGAGCGGAGAATCTTGAAATAGTCGGGCATAGATGCAAAAGCGCCATGGCCGCCGAAACAGTCCTTGCCCCCTGGCATCTTGGCGCCATCCAGGTCGTGGATTACTTTTCCGGTCTCCTCGTCTCGGACGGTCAGGCTCGCCATACGGTGCTTCATGTGTTGCTGCTCAGGCCAGAATGTAATATCCTTAATACCCAACGGGTGCCAGATGTTTGCTTTCATGTACTCCTCCAGCGTCTGGGCCGTGATGCGTTCGACCAGCTTACCGGCCCAGTCGATGCTGGTACTGTAGAGCCAGCTGGTGCCGGGTTCATAGATGAGAGGCTGGGTGCAACATTCTTCTACTGTCGCACCGGTAGCCATCTTGAAATTCTTGGTGTGCTTGCGATAGCGCTGGACGCGCTGACTCATCATTAAATAGCAAAGGCCGGCGGAGTGGGTTAGAAGATGGCTGCCTTTCATCAGCCTCAACTTCCCTGTTCTCCGTGTAACCAGGAGACGAGGCCTGATTGATTACCGTAACGTTATCGTATTTTGCCGCTTGTTAAGGATTGGTTCGCCAGAGGCCTCGTCAAATCCAGTCAAGATACCCTGGTCCGCAAGCTCGGGTAAGATTTCTGCTACGTCAGTGTCGAGGGTTACAAGACCGCGCTCAACGCATTGCATGGCGGCGATTGAGGTCATCAACTTCGTGCAGGAAGCTATGTACAGCATGTTATTCATTTCGAGCGGTTCGTGGGTATCAAGGGATCGGACGCCGAACGCGTGGGCGTAGTGGAATGAACCTGATGTTCCGTCAGTTGCTGGCCCGAGATACGCAGCGTTGATAGTCCACCACTGCGGTTTGAAGCGAGCAGGATGACGCCGGGGATTGTCCCATCTTCGCATGCTGTCTCGAATTGCTCTTCCATCGAAGGCATGTTTCGGTGTTGCGGAAGTGATCAACAAAGATAACATCCATCAATTGTTGGCCAGAAGCGTATAGTCTGGGATTGGAGGTGTAGACCAACTGTAGAGACTGCTCATATATACATATACATATATATGTAAGTAGAACGTGAAATGTTGTTCTCCACACTGAGATGCAATGAAAGAATATTTTGAATGCTCAAGCCGATGTAAGTCGTGAAGACACTAAAAGAATAGTTTTCCCGACCGCCGATAGGGCTGAGATTTTATCCCGAAATTTGCTTCCCTTCCTGCTCCACCGTCGCTCGATGTTCCCTTGTGAATAACAGCGAGGATGGATAAGAGAACAAGCGTTCTTTTGACAATCCCGAGTCACTGTAATAGTAGCGAGTGGATCCGAGTTGGGAGTGCACTGCTACAATGCCATCTATCGCAAGCCCTGCACCAATGCCGCCGCTCGAATCAACGTACTTGGTCCCTTCTAACATTCAGGATATCTTTCATGCCCATATTAATGGGCTTACAATTTGGAACTTCTGTTGAGACATGGACAAGATCTTGCCATGTCTAAGTTTCCGCACTCGCTAGCTACATCGCCACTGCGCGAATTCCATGAACACCGGATTTTTCATCAATATCTGAAGGTGACTGCTCTGTAACCCAAGCTGCACCTCCACACCACCTTTTCTCCCATCCGACTTTCCATCCAAGCCTTCAGTGCTAGGTAAGCGTGGAAAAATAAGGAACAGACCGTCTGTGTGGAGCCTTCGCTTTCTGATCCTCTCACAAGCGCCGCCTACTGTGCGACCCCAGTCCAGGCTGTAGTATGGTTGTCTGGCCCAAGTACTGCAACCGAGACTATACTCAATGGATGGTCGCCTGCGAGGTGCAAGCCGACTAACATCATCAACGTTCCGAACCATTTGGATTACATCCCGGACATAGGCATCGTCCACGACGTTTACTGCCTTCCTGACCAGCGAGGCCGCTTTCGCAAGACATCCAGGTTGTGGAGAGAGTAAGTCATCGGCCTTCGACAGTGTTTTTGCAATGAGAACCACGTTGCCACAGTAGTCTGGGGCCACCGGCGGGTGAAGTTTACTTCGACCATTGACGGCCATCGCAAACAGGGGGAAGATCTCGCTCGTTGCCTTTGTACTCTCGGCCACTCGAGCGGACGTTATGCAGCACCAGAAGAGCGCAATGAGGGCATCATTGGTTGAGATCCACGCCGAGCCGTCATCCCCATTATTGGGGCCTGACATTGTCGCCACCATCTTCAAACGCTTGAGTGACTCATCAGAAAAAAGAAGATCGCTGAGTGCACATTTTCGGAACTCGGAAAGTAGACACTTGGATCTTCAGCTGCCCTCACCGTTTCTGCTTCCGGTGCAAGCGCATACTCCGGGTGATCTTCCAGTCTCCCAGTCCCTGCTCCTTGCAACAAAGGGCTCCGATCGAACCACTGGGGCGTGACAAAATGCAAATCGACGTCCCCTCGACAAGATGAGGACCAGACTTTCATCACATTGAACAGGCCCACCTCATCTAGCACGCAGTGATGGACAGCGAAAAACAGAAGCAGCCCGCCGCGCAAGAAGTTTGCTTGCGCGAGCATGACAGGTGCGGAGTCTGCCGCTTTTCCGAACTGTTTCGGTGCGATAGCATCCCATGCTATCTCGTCCGAAGGGAAGTGTGCGGCCCGCAGCTGTTCGTAATCATACTCATTACGCAGATCGTTGCTGGAAAGGATGTCTTCCGCCTCGAAGTATGGCCTCTGGACGCTCAAAGATCCCTTCTGAACTCCTTCTTGCTTGCTTGGGGCCACTGAGCCCGCAATAATTGGTATACTTTTCAGCGTGAGTGCAAGGGCGGCTCGAAGATTCGATGTGATGGCGGCTGGTTCAGCTGTAGAAGGGAAGTAGAGCAGCTTCGGAACATGCATACGCGGCATCAGCATGTCGATTGGAGAGATTGGAAAAACGACATTGTTCGCGTCGGACAGTTTGCAACCTGGAACAGTTGGACTGCGCAGAGTTGGGAGCAAAGCATGATGAGTTGGGGCCTGCGGTGGTTCCATCATCGTACAATTGTCCCTTGGAATGTCAGTCATCCACTCAAAGAGTCATTATCACTTGAGGAAATAGGCTTCCTTTTCGTTGAATAAGCTTGTGATCGTCAACGTTTGTTCCCATGCTATGTTATCTACCTATTGCGGCAAAGGGCGCCATTGTCGACGCTTCAAGAAAATTCGCGCAGTTGCAACCCTCCAGTGCAGGGTCTAGCCCTGTCGACTGGGTAGCGTCGTGGGGCCCTGACTGGGGCTGTGAAAATTGCCACACCACCTCGGGAGCTATGACAGGCGAAAAGTCGTCCCTAACGAGAAACAAGTTCTGGGTGCCAGCGGCATGCCCGAAGCCGCTCCCGGTTCACCACCAAACTAATCCCCGCATTGCGACATCGCGGCGAGACTATCCAACCAACGTGGTAGGGGATCGGCTTGTGACAAAAATAAAGTTGTCCGAGGCCGCACGGCTGTGAATGTAATCAAGTAGAAAGTTGCCGGGGGCAACAGAGCTTGTACGACGACGAGACGCAAAAGATCGAGGGAGACGGGATAGCAGAGGAGGTATGCTCCCATAGCAGTATCGATAGGCATTTTAAGTCTCCGCTCGATTTTCCACTTCGCACAAGCGAGAGTGAGATCGATGGGGTTGGTGTGGATGTGTGATCAAGGGTTGTTTCTGGTCCAACTGGCAGTATTGATAGATCTTAGCGTTGGCTGACGTACAGAGACCCTCCAATACAGTACACGACGGGTTGGGGCTTGCCGAGCGTTCATCGTACAACTCCCGATTGGCACTGACTGGGCTTTGCGCAAAACCCGCCGGGCGGGATAAGCGGAAAAAAAGTCTATTCTATTGGCAAGCCTCTAAGCATCAGGATCTGCATTGCGTTTTGCCATGAGAGTGAGCAGTTTGCGTACATAATGCTGTCATTGGAACGCCTCCAACCTAACTGAATCAGGTTCCTTTCTCATCGCCTGAGAAGGAACTCAACCTCGGACGTTCTACATCGTTTCACCGGTTATCTGTCAATTTTGTAGGCTCACCACGGCCTTCTGCAGGACAAGCGAGAAGAGAGCGAATGAATGTGCTGGGTCTGGGTTGCTGCATGCATTCAAGTTTCTTGATACCCCTGCATGTGGGGGGCAAGATGCTTGTGAGCGAAGCCAATATTGGGACTACGATTGTAACCTCGGCAACAAAATGAGACCCTGCATATGCAAGTTGTCGCAACGCTTCGCACGACCGTCAACTTTCCACCTCAATCAGGCACCCGAGACAGGCCCATTAGCAACCCTCATATTTCATGACCGATTGTTGGGGACCTCGGCAACAGAGTATATATGCAAGATGTCGCATGCCTTAGCCATGAATAAAATTTAGGGGAACAAATTTTTGCCTACATGCAGTTAGTTTTCAGTCTGGCGGTAACAACCTATTTCTAGTCATTTTAGGCCTTTTACAAATCGCTTGGCTGCAGCTTTGTGTGCATTCTGAAGCCTTCCTAACGCACATGAAGACTCCAAAAGGACGTTCGACCAATAGCAGACCCCGATAAAACGTTAGCTTTGTTGAGTTAAGCAAAGTTGCCGTACATTTAGAAGCCAGCGTGGACTTTGGTGGTCTTTATTATTATTCAAAATCGTCTTCAAAATCCCTGCAAACCCTACCTTAATGGACGTTCAGCTTCCAAAGGTGACACCCTTCTTTTGGAGACCTCGGCAACGACGCGCATATGCAAGTTGTCACACGCTTCCTTTGAAACCAGCCATCCCTACGCATCTGCTAGGAACAGATCGTTGAGCTTGACCCAACAACTGTCATTCCACAATCTTGCTAATGCAGAGACTGGTAGACTTTACTGTGGCTTTTTTTGATTCCACTGCTTTCCAGACTACTAATTCCCTGCCTCCCCCTTGGCTCGAAACCCACTGACAACTTTCTCACGATGACTTTGCTACCACTCTACATCGGGTGCGGTCTCGCCGCCCTCATTCTCACCAGGATAATCTCATCTGTAACAGAAAGGAGACGATGCCAAGCGGAAGCAGTACGGCTAGGCTGCAAGCCAGCGCCCGCTATACCCAAAAAGGGGATATTTGGACTGACCCGATTTCTGGATTATCTCAAGGCGATGCGCGATGAACGGAGCCCACAGCAGTTTGTGATGGCAATGAATGAGCTGGGCACGACAGGAGAAGTGCACACTGCTCGGCTCGAAGGTAATTTTGGCCCTCTGTGTTGAGCCACTGATGGAGAGGATTTTGCATTCTGACATAGACAGTGTTGGGCTCCGAAGTGCTGGTGACACGGGATCCAGAGAATGTGAAGGCCATATTCGTAACCCATGCTTCAAACTTTGAGATCGGTGCCTCTAGGTAAGTCTCTGTGAAAATCCCGTCTGCTCGGGACGCATTTCTGAGTAGCAAGACCCACCTGAGGCGACCCTTGCTGTGTATTCGTTTTGGACCCCGATCTTGGGTAAACATGTCTGACATGGGAAGTCTATAGGGCCGGGTGTTTCGAGCCATTGTTGGGCTTGGGAATATTTACTCAGCGTGGTGAACCTTGGCGTCACTCCCGGGCGCTTCTACGGCCGCAATTTGCGCGTGACCAAATAGCGGACATGGATCTTGAAGAGAGACATGTCGATGCCTTGTCCGCTGTGCTAAAGACGGGATCCGATGGCTGGACCGATGCCGTCGACCTCCAGCCCATGTTCTTGAAGATGACGCTTGAAGTGATGACGGAGTTTCTTTACGGGCATCTGCCGCCACAGATAGGCCAGATAACAGATGCTCCTGATACAGAGGAGTTCGGATCTCACTTCGATGCTGGGAAAGCTTATCTGGGCACTAGGCTGGCTCTGGGGAAGTGGCACTGGCTGGTCCATCCGCCGGCATTCTCTCGTCATTGCAAGAAGGTTCACGAGTACGCAGATTACTTTGTGAGAGCAAAGCTTCAACATGGATCAACAAATTTTGCAACGAAACCGGTATCCCGAGAGCCTACAACGAAAGGTAAGTTTGTGTTGATAGACGAGATAGCTAAGCATACCAACAACGCTCTGGAAATTCGTAATGAGACACTGAACGTACTGAGCGCCGGTCGGGACACCACTGCGTCGTTGCTGAGTTGGATTTTCTACTTCCTTTCGCGTTCCCCTCGAGTGTTCCACCAGCTCCGCGCAACAGTGCTGGCCGAGATTGGAGCCGACGCTGCCAGCATCGAATTCTCCAAGCTAAGATCATGTCAATATCTGCAACATTGCGTCAACGAGTCTTTGCGCATGACCGGCATTGTGCCAACGATGCAGCGAGAGAGCCTCGAAGATACAGTCTTACCCCGCGGCGGCGGTCCTAACGGCTCGGAGCCCATCTTCCTTCCCAAGGGTCAACAGGTCTTGATATCGATCTACGCTATGCAGCAGCGTTGCGATATATGGGGAGACGATCCCGAGGTGTTTAGACCGGAGCGCTGGGAGGGTCGGAAGGCTGGGTTTGAGTTTATTCCGTTTGGCGGCGGGCCCCGGAAATGCGTAGGTCGTGAGTCAGCTCCTTTTAACCCCTTTCGCGGTCGAAGCATTTGCTGAACATTGACTTAGAACAAATGGCCCTCACTGAGGCTTCGGTATGTTACGCCTCGCTTTTCTACATAGTAGTACCGCCCCTCGGATCACCAGACATGTTCCCAGAAGACGTGTTCTGCCTTCCAAAAGCTCCTCAAGCTACGTCTTGTAATCTTGTAGTTCACCTAGTCACGAAAACATACTGACTCCGTAACCTTCAAATAGTACACCGTCGTACGCCTCCTCCAGAGATTCGACAAGCTGGAAAACTGTGAGCCACCAGGGCGAATCAGACTCCAGTATGCTCTTTCGGTTCGCAGCGGAACAGGAGCAGTCGTCAGGCTCCACGAAGCAGAATCGAAATGAATGCCCCCCCCTCCACATCGTCGAAGCTCAGATGCCGTTTTTTTGGATCGGATCTTGCAGGGGAGCACATCATTCCTGCCCGGGCGAAGAACGATAGAGAGACGAGACTGGTCCGGGAGGCCTCGACGTCTCATGCGGGTACAGCGTTCGAAAATGTTAGAGGGAGCACATATGAGTCCACTGAGACGTTGGTGTATCCCATCGTCTGGCGCCTGGGGGTTCAGTAAGTCTTGGCGTCCCTCACCAAAAATCTATAGACATGGTGTTGCTTCTAGATACTCCTTTCAACAGGTAACAAGTCTAAATGCCCATGGATTAGATTCATGAAAAGTAAATAGTTTTAAGATCTAATTTCGAAATTAGATTCGACTCTCGAAGGGTGAAAAACTTTAATTCAAATTTATTTAAAATTATAAGATCGAAGTTTTACGTTTTTACGTTATTAAAGAGCGTAAATTAAGCTCTATAATTTAAAAAATTTAATAGAAAATATAGAAGTTATAATTTAAAAATAGATTTTTTTTTTTATTAAAGCTATCACGATTTTTAAAAAGTAGATTTTTAACTAAATTTCTTATCTTAAAGAAATATAAGATTTTATTTTTAAATTACTTACGTTACTTAAAATTTATAAGAAACTCTAAAGTTTTAATAGTATTAAAAGATATAATAGTTTTTTAATATTATTTTTTCTACTAGTTTAAAACTATTTTTAATTTTTTTAGATTACACGATTTTATAATTTTTTAACGAGTGAGATATATATAGATACGAATAGAGAATAGAGTTAAAATTATAAATCTTAAATCTTATATATAAATTAATTATAAATTTGACTAGATCTAAGCTTTTTAATTAAAACGAGTAAGTTCTTACGAATAGAGTATATAAGTTTTCGTAACTATTAAAGATAGCTAATATTTTTATATTTAAAGAATTATAAGATTAAAATTTTTAATTTTAAAGTTATTAGAAAGCTATAATTAGATTCTATAATTAAAAAAATTACGTAATAATCTAAAAAGCTAAAATTAAGATTATATTTATTCTAAATTGTAAGAATATTATATATCTACTTAATAAAGTTAAATAAATAATTTAAAAAGTAGATTTCTTAATTAATTTTAGAATTAGAATTTTTATTATTAACGGAATAATCGTTCTCTATTAAATTTTTTCTATTAAAAAAATAATTATTAAATTTACGACTTATAAATATTTTAAAATAAAGAGTTTATAAACTATTCTTTCTAATTAGAAACTTATATAAGCTTTAAAAATACTCTTTAATATAAGCTTTAAGAAGCGATATTTAAATTTTAATATTTTTTAGAAACTATTTCTAAAAGTCCGAAGTTCATAAATCTTTTTTTATTAAAAAAGCGTAAAATGCGAATAAATTTAAAAAAAAAATAAGTAAAAATTTTAATAGTTATAAGAATAATAATAATTAAATAATTAGTATAAATAAATTATAATAGATATTAAAATTCATTTATTAATTAAATCTAAATTAGTTTAAAGTTAATTAACTCTTTAAAAAACTTATTACTAATATAACTTCTCTTTTTTATCTATTAAATTTTTCTATTATTTCTATTAATTATAAAGCGTAGTTTAAGCTTTTAAATAAATAAAAAATTATTAAATTTAGTTTTATAAGTATTTAAAGATAAAGAACTTTAATATCGCTTATTAAAAACTTATTTACTCTATTTAAAATACTCTTTAATATAAGCTTAAATAGTCGAGTAGTAATAATTTTAATAAAATTCGAAACAATTCTATACTATTCTCGATTTAAATCTATTAATTTCCCTTACTAAAAAATTCTAAAATTCTAAAATCGTAAAAGTTATAAAAATAATAAAAATTCTATAAATTATAATAATAATAATAATAATAATAATTAATATAATAATTATTATTATTATAGAAATACTATAATAGATATTAAAATTATCTTCTTATTAATTAAATCTAAATTAATTTAAAGTTAATTAACTTTTTAAAAACTTATTTATTAATATAACTTCTTTTTTTCTATTAAAATTTTACTATAATTTGAATTAATTATAGAACTTATTTAACGCTTTCTAATAATTTAAAATCTATAAAATTTAATTCTATAGTTCTAAGTAAATCTTAAATAAAAGTATTTTTACTCTTCGAGAGTCGAATTTAATCTCGAAATTAGATTTAAAAATTAATTACTTTTTATAAACTTAATTTATAAGTTTAAACTTATTAAGAAATAATATAATATAACTTATAAATATACTATAATAAAATATATTTATTAATTATATATCTATAGAATAGATATATATAATATTAAGTCTACGCTAGTATTTTTAAAAATAGCTTTAAAAATATTTACTTAGATAGTCTAATTAAAAAGTATAGCGAACTCAAATTTATAATTAACTATATCTATAATTTTTAAATATTTAAACTTAGTTCTATCTTATTCTTTTTATATATTAATTAAACGATATAAAATAATACTATATACTTTAAAGCTTTATAAATTTCTTAAGATATTCTAATTTTATCGTTATTTATCTATAATCTATAGTTTAATAAAGTTAAGTTAATAAATTTAATAGTAAGTTTCTAATTAAATTAGAGAATTAAATTAATTAATAATATTATCTATTAAATTTATCTATTAAATTTATATATTAATATACTTACTAGTAAATAGCTCTTTTCGAGTCTAGTCTTTAAAATTTAAAAAGAAAGTATATATGAATTGATAAATCCTATTAGACGTCGACGAAGCTATTTTCTAGTCTCTCGTATTCATTATTCGAGAAGAGTTTTTAGGGGAGCCTCGGGCTTCAAGGGCCGAACTGCGCATATATCAGCTAGCGGGAATACGACCAGAGTCCAATTGCCACCGCCACCTGAGCAACTCGAATATACCCTCAGCCTTACACTGTAAGACTCACCCCGAAAGAATTGGCCCTGGCGTACAGAGTCTCCACCGAAAGTCCTGCACATGCGCTAGTGCAGCCCTAACCCTACTTTCGGAAAGCGGCCCTATAGAGGGAAGCCTAGAAATATCTTTTCACAGCGCATGGATAGGACTTTAGATACTTCTTTTGGCTTGATAGGGGTATTAAGCCCCGAAACCTGGCTAGGGCTAGGTGCGATTCCGAAGAACTCCAGGCGTATTGTCCAGGTAGCCCTTTAGGTGGGGCGTTATCCGAAAGATCTGTGCGCAAGAGTCTTGGCGGGTGCAGGACTTTCGGTGCAGACCTCTGTACATAAGCCCTGTCAAGGCCCTGAGGCCCTACCCTGCCAAGACCCTACCCTGCTAAGGCCCCCCTGTCCTTATCGCGATATCCCACCCCCCAGCAACACCTTAATAACAGCCACACGCATCACAATAGGGCACCCCTACATAATACCCCCCGCGTAGAAGTCACCCTAAACGACGATTTTTCGGGGTGATAAAAATGGGGTGTTGGGCCCGTAGAGCTACACTTCTAGCGAGTACGCTCGAGAGGCCGTGCTCTAGAAGAATATTACTTTTCTTGCCTGGTGCGGTACCCGAGTGACGAGATAGTAAAGTACCCGAGCAGCACTCGATACTTGAAGTTACGGAATCCGCTCTAAGCAATCAGCTCTAAGAGGGTAGCCGCGGAGCCTTGAGCGTAACCGGCAATTCGTTTTTAGCGAACCAACCTCACTGCCTAGTAGATTATAATACTTAAAAAATACGCGAAGTATAGCGTTTCATATATAAAATACGCTCTATAAAGTTTAAATATATAATATTGAAGTTTAATATACGGAGGTCGATATAAAAAGTTAAAAATATTATATAATATATTTTTTTTTTTATTTTTTTTTTTTTTTTTTTTTTTTTTTTTTTTTATATTTTTTTTTTTTTTTTTTTTTTTTTTTTTTTTTTTTTTTTTTAATTTTTTTTTTTAAAAAAAATAAAAAATTATTAAAATATTAAATTATTAATTATAATATAAAAAAAAAAAAAAAATATAAAAATTTTTAAAAAAATATTTTTTTTTATATAATAAAAAAAAAAAAAATTTTCTTTCTATTCTCTTTCTTAATTTTCTTTTATTAATATATTTAATACTTAGAGTATTAATTATAATAATAAGACTCGAATTTAATATCGTTAGAATAATCTAATACGATAACTCTTCGAATCTTAATATGATTAAGCCTTATTAGTTATAAATAAAACGTTATATTACTCTCGAAAAGATATATTAAAAACTCGTAAGAAAGTTAAAAGACGATAATTATATTATTAAAATTATAAGCTTATTTAAAAGAGAATTTAAAAGTAAATAGAGCGAATATCGAGATATATTACGAAGGTAATACGTTTTAAAGATAATAACGAGTATAGAAAAGACCGTAAGAGAGATAATATACGATCGTACGACTTCGTCGAGCGAGCTAATAAGTATATACGCAATTATATAAAGTATTATCGTTAAATAAATATAACTATATAGAAGTACTAAGAATATTAAGAGTATTAAGTATTTTAGCGCTATCTAGAACTTTTAATATCGATCTTCGTAATATTACTATAGTTAATACTCTTATACTTAATTATTAAAAGATATTTAAATATATATTAAAATTAATTTTTTTTTAATTTTAATTATATAATATTTAAAGTTTTTTTATTAGTATATATAAAAGAATAAGATAGAGTTAAGTTATAAAATCTTAAATTTATATATATAATTAATTATATATTTATTAAATCTACGCTTTTTAATTAGATACCGCGAGTAAATAAATTAGCGTTCGCAATTATTAAAAATCTCTTCTCTACTTTAAAACCTTTAATAACTTTATTGAAATTATTGGAATTCTTAGCCCTTAAGCTTCCCAGCCTTCTTAGTCACCTTATTAAATCAGTTATCTAAATTTATTCTATATATAGAACTTCGTCTTAGAGTGCTTCTAAAGTAATAAATTTATTCTTTTTAAATATTTTAATAGATTAT